TAAAGAACAAACATTTAATTTTTAAATTTTTTCAGTGACTACAACAACATCAGCTCCAACAACAACTATGACTACAACTACACCTGTAGCTACAACAACAACAAAGCTACTACAACAGCAGCTCCTACAACAACAACTACTACAACAGCTGCTCCAACAACTACAGCTTACAACAACAGAAGCTACAACAACAACAACAATGAAACCAACTGAAAGTACAACTTGAGTACAACAACTACTACTAGCACAACAACAACAACAACTGCTATGGTAACAACTACCACAACTCCAGCAAAACAACAACAGTCAAGATCTGTAACTTTGAAGAAGTATGGATGAACCACAATTTATCCCAGCTGACAACTTGAATCAAGCCCAGATACCACTGACAAAGAAAACAACCCATTGACAAACTTGAGACCAAAGAGTGGAAAGCTTTCGTATTGCCTTTCCAAAGAAGACTCTGATGAAAAGAAACCATTTGTCACAGTGTCACAGTTGACTTGACACCAACTGATGATACTGCTGCTCATTTGTTGAGAAGGTACGCTTCCCAGAATCAAACATTGGAAAGGTTACAATCAAGAGATTGGTACCAGCCAGTGAAAAGAATGCTGGACAATATGAAACTGTTGCTGATAATGAAACACCACCAACTGGTGATGATAATACAATCAAATTCACAAACACCAGTCCGCATGGATAAGATCCAAATCATTTGGAAAACCACAAAATGATGATGATCTGAATACAAACTTCATGTTGCTATACATGCCTGCCTTCAAGGTTAAAGTAACAACAACAACTCAACCACCAACAACAACAACTACAACAGCTGCACCAACAACAACTACTGAAGCTACAACAACAACAGCTGCACCAACTACAACAACAACTACAACAGCAGCACCAACAACAACTATGACCACAACAGCTGCACCAACAACAACTACTGAAGCTACAACTACAATTACTGTCCATCAACAACTACAGTTACTACAACAACAACTACAACACCAGCACCAACCACAACTGAAGCTACAACAACAGCACCAACTACAACATCAACAACAGCAGCTCAACCACAACAAAAACTACTACTACTACCACAGCAGCACCAACAACAACTACTGTTCATCTACAACAACAATGTCAGTTAAACCAACTGAGGGTACAACAACAACACCTGCCATTGTTACAACAACAACAACTGCTGAAACAACAACAACTAGGTCTGTCCATTCAAAGAGACAATGAAAGATTCAACAATCATTCCAAAGAAACTTATTAAGACAACTCCTGAAGATGGAGAAGATTCAATGATAAGGTTCGTTTGGGTAAGGAAGGCTGGATTACAAATGTTCCAACATCCAGTGATCAACCTAAACCAACTGTTGAAATTAAATTGAATCGCCAAGATGATCCTGAAGATCCCTATGTTGAAAAGGTTATTGTTAAGGAAATGCTGGCAAGGTATCTATATACAGAAAACAAGAACAGATGATGATTACACACCAATCCAAACTAATGTTGATGTACCAAAAGAAGGTGGAGACATTGTCTTCCCCAAGTTCAAAAGATCAACACTATCAAGATTGTATTGGAAGAACCTACATTGAATGAAGATGAACCCCAGCAAAGAAATACAAGGTCAACATTGGAATCAGTGCTTGTATCTCATACACTGGTAAGTATTAATATTAATTGTTTTTCCAACATTTTCTAATCTAATCAACTTATTTACACTTATAGTTACAACAACAAACCACACCAACTCCAACAACAACAACAGAACAACTACAACTATGGCACCAACAACAACAGAAACAACAACAACAACAGCTGCTACAACCACAACTGCTAGAACAACAACTACAACTTCTGCAACAACTACAACAACTGCTATGGTAACAACTACCACAACTCCAGCAGAAACAACAACAGTCAAGATCTGTAACTTTGAAGAAGGTATGGATGAACCACAATTTATCCCAGCTGGACAACTTGAATCAAGCCCAGAAACCACTGACAAAGAAAACAACCCATTGACAAACTTGAGACCAAAGAGCGGAAAGGCTTTCGTATTGCCTGTTCCAAAGAAGGACTCAGATGAAAAGAAACCATTTGTCACAGTTGACTTGACACCAACTGATGATACTGCTGCTCCATTTGTTGAGAAGGTACGCTTCCCAGAATCAAACATTGGAAAGGTTACAATCAAGAGATTGGTACCAGCCAGTGAAAAGAATGCTGGACAATACGAAACTGTTGTTACAAGCCAAAAACTTGATGATGATAATACAATCAAATTCACAACACCAGTCCGCATGGATAAGATCCAAATCATTTTGGAAGAACCACAAAATGATGATGATACTGAATACAAACTTCATGTTGCTATACATGCTTGCTTCAAGGTTAAAATAACAACAACAACTCAACCACCAACAACAACAACTACAACAGCTGCACCAACTACAACTACTGAAGCTACAACAACAACAGCAGCACCAACAACAACCACTACTCTTCCATCAACTACAACAGTTGTTGTTACAACTCCATCTACAACTATGCAATCAACAACAACAGCTACAACAGCAGCACCAACAACAACAACTGAAGCTACAACAACAACAGCTGCACCAACTACAACAACAACTACAACAGCAGCACCAACAACAACAACCACTCTTGTATCTACAACAACAATGTCAGTTAAACCAACTGAAGGTACAACAACAACACCTGCCGTTATTGAAACAACCACAACTACTGCAGGAACAACAACCAAAATCTGTCCATTCCAAGAGACAATGGACAATCCTGCTGTAATTGGTCAAGGCCAAATCAAGACTAGCCCATCTGAAGAAGGTTCAAATGATAAGGTTCGTTTGGACAAGGAAGGATGGACACCAAAGGTTCCAACCAGCTCAACTGAAGAAAAACCATATGTTGATATTGACCTCGATGTTGGTGATGACAGTAATGAACCATATGTGAAAAGGTCATTATTAAGGGCAATACTCAGATAGTATCAGTATACAAAAAGAATGTCAATGATGATGATTGGACTGGAATTGTTGAAGATGTTGAAGTTAAGGAAAATGGAGAAGTTGTCTTCCCCACAGTTGTAAAGGCCGATTCTATAAGAATTGTACTTGTTAAACCTGAAGATAATGAGGATGGTTCTCCAGTAACTAACTACAGAGTTAATGTTGGAGTACATGCTTGTATCACACCAACTAGTAAGTAGTCAATTGTGCTCAAAATTTTCTTTTCATTTGTTAAAGAACAAACATTTAATTTTTAAATTTTTTTCAGTGACTACAACAACATCAGCTCCAACAACAACTATGACTACAACTACACCTGTAGCTACAACAACAACAGAAGCTACTACAACAGCAGCTCCTACAACAACAACTACTACAACAGCTGCTCCAACAACTACAGCTGGTACAACAACAGAAGCTACAACAACAACAACAATGAAACCAACTGAAAGTACAACTTGAGTACAACAACTACTACTAGCACAACAACAACAACAACTGCTATGGTAACAACTACCACAACTCCAGCAGAAACAACAACAGTCAAGATCTGTAACTTTGAAGAAGGTATGGATGAACCACAATTTATCCCAGCTGGACAACTTGAATCAAGCCCAGATACCACTGACAAAGAAAACAACCCATTGACAAACTTGAGACCAAAGAGTGGAAAGGCTTTCGTATTGCCTGTTCCAAAGAAGGACTCTGATGAAAAGAAACCATTTGTCACAGTTGACTTGACACCAACTGATGATACTGCTGCTCCATTTGTTGAGAAGGTACGCTTCCCAGAATCAAACATTGGAAAGGTTACAATCAAGAGATTGGTACCAGCCAGTGAAAAGAATGCTGGACAATATGAAACTGTTGCTGATAATGAAACACCAACTGGTGATGATAATACAATCAAATTCACAACACCAGTCCGCATGGATAAGATCCAAATCATTTTGGAAGAACCACAAAATGATGATGATACTGAATACAAACTTCATGTTGCTATACATGCCTGCTTCAAGGTTAAAGTAACAACAACAACTCAACCACCAACAACAACAACTACAACAGCTGCACCAACAACAACTACTGAAGCTACAACAACAACAGCTGCACCAACTACAACAACAACTACAACAGCAGCACCAACAACAACTATGACCACAACAGCTGCACCAACAACAACTACTGAAGCTACAACTACAATTACTGTTCCATCAACAACTACAGTTACTACAACAACAACTACAACACCAGCACCAACCACAACTGAAGCTACAACAACAGCACCAACTACAACATCAACAACAGCAGCTCCAACCACAACAAAAACTACTACTACTACCACAGCAGCACCAACAACAACTACTGTTCAATCTACAACAACAATGTCAGTTAAACCAACTGAGGGTACAACAACAACACCTGCCATTGTTACAACAACAACAACTGCTGAAACAACAACAACTAAGGTCTGTCCATTCAAAGAGACAATGAAAGATTCAACAATCATTCCAAAGAAACTTATTAAGACAACTCCTGAAGATGGAGAAGATTCAAATGATAAGGTTCGTTTGGGTAAGGAAGGCTGGATTACAAATGTTCCAACATCCAGTGATCAACCTAAACCAACTGTTGAAATTAAATTGAATCGCCAAGATGATCCTGAAGATCCCTATGTTGAAAAGGTTATTGTTAAGGGAAATGCTGGCAAGGTATCTATATACAAGAAAACAAGAACAGATGATGATTACACACCAATCCAAACTAATGTTGATGTACCAAAAGAAGGTGGAGACATTGTCTTCCCCAAGGTTCAAAAGATCAACACTATCAAGATTGTATTGGAAGAACCTACATTGAATGAAGATGGAACCCCAGCAAAGAAATACAAGGTCAACATTGGAATCAGTGCTTGTATCTCATACACTGGTAAGTATTAATATTAATTGTTTTCCAACATTTTCTAATCTAATCAACTTATTTACACTTATAGTTACAACAACAACAACCACACCAACTCCAACAACAACAACAGAAGCAACTACAACTATGGCACCAACAACAACAGAAACAACAACAACAACAGCTGCTACAACCACAACTGCTAGAACAACAACTACAACTTCTGCAACAACTACAACAACTGCTATGGTAACAACTACCACAACTCCAGCAGAAACAACAACAGTCAAGATCTGTAACTTTGAAGAAGGTATGGATGAACCACAATTTATCCCAGCTGGACAACTTGAATCAAGCCCAGAAACCACTGACAAAGAAAACAACCCATTGACAAACTTGAGACCAAAGAGCGGAAAGGCTTTCGTATTGCCTGTTCCAAAGAAGACTCAGATGAAAAGAAACCATTTGTCACAGTTGACTTGACACCAACTGATGATACTGCTGCTCCATTTGTTGAGAAGGTACGCTTCCCAGAATCAAACATTGGAAAGGTTACAATCAAGAGATTGGTACCAGCCAGTGAAAAGAATGCTGGACAATACGAAACTGTTGTTACAAGCCAAAAACTTGATGATGATAATACAATCAAATTCACAACACCAGTCCGCATGGATAAGATCCAAATCATTTTGGAAGAACCACAAAATGATGATGATACTGAATACAAACTTCATGTTGCTATACATGCTTGCTTCAAGGTTAAAATAACAACAACAACTCAACCACCAACAACAACAACTACAACAGCTGCACCAACTACAACTACTGAAGCTACAACAACAACAGCAGCACCAACAACAACCACTACTCTTCCATCAACTACAACAGTTGTTGTTACAACTCCATCTACAACTATGCAATCAACAACAACAGCTACAACAGCAGCACCAACAACAACAACTGAAGCTACAACAACAACAGCTGCACCAACTACAACAACAACTACAACAGCAGCACCAACAACAACAACCACTCTTGTATCTACAACAACAATGTCAGTTAAACCAACTGAAGGTACAACAACAACACCTGCCGTTATTGAAACAACCACAACTACTGCAGGAACAACAACCAAAATCTGTCCATTCCAAGAGACAATGGACAATCCTGCTGTAATTGGTCAAGGCCAAATCAAGACTAGCCCATCTGAAGAAGGTTCAAATGATAAGGTTCGTTTGGACAAGGAAGGATGGACACCAAAGGTTCCAACCAGCTCAACTGAAGAAAAACCATATGTTGATATTGACCTCGATGTGGTGATGACAGTAATGAACCATATGTTGAAAAGGTCATTATTAAGGGCAATACTCAGATAGTATCAGTATACAAAAAGAATGTCAATGATGATGATTGGACTGGAATTGTTGAAGATGTTGAAGTTAAGGAAAATGGAGAAGTTGTCTTCCCCACAGTTGTAAAGGCCGATTCTATAAGAATTGTACTTGTTAAACCTGAAGATAATGAGGATGGTTCTCCAGTAACTAACTACAGAGTTAATGTTGGAGTACATGCTTGTATCACACCAACTAGTAAGTAGTCAATTGTGCTCAAAATTTTCTTTTCATTTGTTAAAGAACAAACATTTAATTTTTAAATTTTTTCAGTGACTACAACAACATCAGCTCCAACAACAACTATGACTACAACTACACCTGTAGCTACAACAACAACAGAAGCTACTACAACAGCAGCTCCTACAACAACAACTACTACAACAGCTGCTCCAACAACTACAGCTGTACAACAACAGAAGCTACAACAACAACAACAATGAAACCAACTGAAAGTACAACTTTGAGTACAACAACTACTACTAGCACAACAACAACAACAACTGCTATGGTAACAACTACCACAACTCCAGCAGAAACAACAACAGTCAAGATCTGTAACTTGAAGAAGGTATGGATGAACCACAATTATCCCAGCTGGACAACTTGAATCAAGCCCAGATACCACTGACAAAGAAAACAACCCATTGACAAACTTGAGACCAAAGAGTGGAAAGGCTTTCGTATTGCCTGTTCCAAAGAAGGACTCTGATGAAAAGAAACCATTGTCACAGTTGACTTGACACCAACTGATGATACTGCTGCTCCATTTGTTGAGAAGGTACGCTTCCCAGAATCAAACATTGGAAAGGTTACAATCAAGAGATTGGTACCAGCCAGTGAAAAGAATGCTGGACAATATGAAACTGTTGCTGATAATGAAACACCAACTGGTGATGATAATACAATCAAATTCACAACACCAGTCCGCATGGATAAGATCCAAATCATTTGGAAGAACCACAAAATGATGATGATACTGAATACAAACTTCATGTTGCTATACATGCCTGCTTCAAGGTTAAAGTAACAACAACAACTCAACCACCAACAACAACAACTACAACAGCTGCACCAACAACAACTACTGAAGCTACAACAACAACAGCTGCACCAACTACAACAACAACTACAACAGCAGCACCAACAACAACTATGACCACAACAGCTGCACCAACAACAACTACTGAAGCTACAACTACAATTACTGTTCCATCAACAACTACAGTTACTACAACAACAACTACAACACCAGCACCAACCACAACTGAAGCTACAACAACAGCACCAACTACAACATCAACAACAGCAGCTCCAACCACAACAAAAACTACTACTACTACCACAGCAGCACCAACAACAACTACTGTTCAATCTACAACAACAATGTCAGTTAAACCAACTGAGGGTACAACAACAACACCTGCCATTGTTACAACAACAACAACTGCTGAAACAACAACAACTAAGGTCTGTCCATTCAAAGAGACAATGAAAGATTCAACAATCATTCCAAAGAAACTTATTAAGACAACTCCTGAAGATGGAGAAGATTCAAATGATAAGGTTCGTTTGGGTAAGGAAGGCTGGATTACAAAATGTTCCAACATCCAGTGATCAACCTAAACCAACTGTTGAAATTAAATTGAATCGCCAAGATGATCCTGAAGATCCCTATGTTGAAAAGGTTATTGTTAAGGGAAATGCTGGCAAGGTATCTATATACAAGGAAAACAAGAACAGATGATGATTACACACCAATCCAAACTAATGTTGATGTACCAAAAGAAGGTGGAGACATTGTCTTCCCAAGGTTCAAAAGATCAACACTATCAAGATTGTATTGGAGAACCTACATTGAATGAAGATGGAACCCCAGCAAAGAAATACAAGGTCAACATTGGAATCAGTGCTTGTATCTCATACACTGGTAAGTATTAATATTAATTGTTTTCCAACATTTTCTAATCTAATCAACTTATTTACACTTATAGTTACAACAACAACAACCACACCAACTCCAACAACAACAACAGAAGCAACTACAACTATGGCACCAACAACAACAGAAACAACAACAACAACAGCTGCTACAACCACAACTGCTAGAACAACAACTACAACTTCTGCAACAACTACAACAACTGCTATGGTAACAACTACCACAACTCCAGCAGAAACAACAACAGTCAAGATCTGTAACTTTGAAGAAGGTATGGATGAACCACAATTTATCCCAGCTGGACAACTTGAATCAAGCCCAGAAACCACTGACAAAGAAAACAACCCATTGACAAACTTGAGACCAAAGAGCGGAAAGGCTTTCGTATTGCCTGTTCCAAAGAAGGACTCAGATGAAAAGAAACCATTTGTCACAGTTGACTTGACACCAACTGATGATACTGCTGCTCCATTTGTTGAGAAGGTACGCTTCCCAGAATCAAACATTGGAAAGGTTACAATCAAGAGATTGGTACCAGCCAGTGAAAAGAATGCTGGACAATACGAAACTGTTGTTACAAGCCAAAAACTTGATGATGATAATACAATCAAATTCACAACACCAGTCCGCATGGATAAGATCCAAATCATTTTGGAAGAACCACAAAATGATGATGATACTGAATACAAACTTCATGTTGCTATACATGCTTGCTTCAAGGTTAAAATAACAACAACAACTCAACCACCAACAACAACAACTACAAACAGCTGCACCAACTACAACTACTGAAGCTACAACAACAACAGCAGCACCAACAACAACCACTACTCTTCCATCAACTACAACAGTTGTTGTTACAACTCCATCTACAACTATGCAATCAACAACAACAGCTACAACAGCAGCACCAACAACAACAACTGAAGCTACAACAACAACAGCTGCACCAACTACAACAACAACTACAACAGCAGCACCAACAACAACAACCACTCTTGTATCTACAACAACAATGTCAGTTAAACCAACTGAAGGTACAACAACAACACCTGCCGTTATTGAAACAACCACAACTACTGCAGGAACAACAACCAAAATCTGTCCATTCCAAGAGACAATGGACAATCCTGCTGTAATTGGTCAAGGCCAAATCAAGACTAGCCCATCTGAAGAAGGTTCAAATGATAAGGTTCGTTTGGACAAGGAAGGATGGACACCCAAAGTTCCAACCAGCTCAACTGAAGAAAAACCATATGTTGATATTGACCTCGATGTTGGTGATGACAGTAATGAACCATATGTTGAAAAGGTCATTATTAAGGGCAATACTCAGATAGTATCAGTATACAAAAAGAATGTCAATGATGATGATTGGACTGGAATTGTTGAAGATGTTGAAGTTAAGGAAAATGGAGAAGTTGTCTTCCCCACAGTTGTAAAGGCCGATTCTATAAGAATTGTACTTGTTAAACCTGAAGATAATGAGGATGGTTCTCCAGTAACTAACTACAGAGTTAATGTTGGAGTACATGCTTGTATCACACCAACTAGTAAGTAGTCAATTGTGCTCAAAATTTTCTTTTCATTTGTTAAAGAACAAACATTTAATTTTTAAATTTTTTTCAGTGACTACAACAACATCAGCTCCAACAACAACTATGACTACAACTACACCTGTAGCTACAACAACAACAGAAGCTACTACAACAGCAGCTCCTACAACAACAACTACTACAACAGCTGCTCCAACAACTACAGCTGGTACAACAACAGAAGCTACAACAACAACAACAATGAAACCAACTGAAAGTACAACTTTGAGTACAACAACTACTACTAGCACAACAACAACAACAACTGCTATGGTAACAACTACCACAACTCCAGCAGAAACAACAACAGTCAAGATCTGTAACTTTGAAGAAGGTATGGATGAACCACAATTTATCCCAGCTGGACAACTTGAATCAAGCCCAGATACCACTGACAAAGAAAACAACCCATTGACAAACTTGAGACCAAAGAGTGGAAAGGCTTTCGTATTGCCTGTTCCAAAGAAGGACTCTGATGAAAAGAAACCATTTGTCACAGTTGACTTGACACCAACTGATGATACTGCTGCTCCATTTGTTGAGAAGGTACGCTTCCCAGAATCAAACATTGGAAAGGTTACAATCAAGAGATTGGTACCAGCCAGTGAAAAGAATGCTGGACAATATGAAACTGTTGCTGATAATGAAACACCAACTGGTGATGATAATACAATCAAATTCACAACACCAGTCCGCATGGATAAGATCCAAATCATTTTGGAAGAACCACAAAATGATGATGATACTGAATACAAACTTCATGTTGCTATACATGCCTGCTTCAAGGTTAAAGTAACAACAACAACTCAACCACCAACAACAACAACTACAACAGCTGCACCAACAACAACTACTGAAGCTACAACAACAACAGCTGCACCAACTACAACAACAACTACAACAGCAGCACCAACAACAACTATGACCACAACAGCTGCACCAACAACAACTACTGAAGCTACAACTACAATTACTGTTCCATCAACAACTACAGTTACTACAACAACAACTACAACACCAGCACCAACCACAACTGAAGCTACAACAACAGCACCAACTACAACATCAACAACAGCAGCTCCAACCACAACAAAAACTACTACTACTACCACAGCAGCACCAACAACAACTACTGTTCAATCTACAACAACAATGTCAGTTAAACCAACTGAGGGTACAACAACAACACCTGCCATTGTTACAACAACAACAACTGCTGAAACAACAACAACTAAGGTCTGTCCATTCAAAGAGACAATGAAAGATTCAACAATCATTCCAAAGAAACTTATTAAGACAACTCCTGAAGATGGAGAAGATTCAAATGATAAGGTTCGTTTGGGTAAGGAAGGCTGGATTACAAATGTTCCAACATCCAGTGATCAACCTAAACCAACTGTTGAAATTAAATTGAATCGCCAAGATGATCCTGAAGATCCCTATGTTGAAAAGGTTATTGTTAAGGGAATGCTGGCAAGGTATCTATATACAAGAAAACAAGAACAGATGATGATTACACACCAATCCAAACTAATGTTGATGTACCAAAAGAAGGTGGAGACATTGTCTTCCCAAGGTTCAAAAGATCAACACTATCAAGATTGTATTGGAAGAACCTACATTGAATGAAGATGGAACCCAGCAAAGAAATACAAGGTCAACATTGGAATCAGTGCTTGTATCTCATACACTGGTAAGTATTAATATTAATTGTTTTCCAACATTTTCTAATCTAATCAACTTATTTACACTTATAGTTACAACAACAACAACCACACCAACTCCAACAACAACAACAGAAGCAACTACAACTATGGCACCAACAACAACAGAAACAACAACAACAACAGCTGCTACAACCACAACTGCTAGAACAACAACTACAACTTCTGCAACAACTACAACAACTGCTATGGTAACAACTACCACAACTCCAGCAGAAACAACAACAGTCAAGATCTGTAACTTTGAAGAAGGTATGGATGAACCACAATTTATCCCAGCTGGACAACTTGAATCAAGCCCAGAAACCACTGACAAAGAAAACAACCCATTGACAAACTTGAGACCAAAGAGCGGAAAGGCTTTCGTATTGCCTGTTCCAAAGAAGGACTCAGATGAAAAGAAACCATTTGTCACAGTTGACTTGACACCAACTGATGATACTGCTGCTCCATTTGTTGAGAAGGTACGCTTCCCAGAATCAAACATTGGAAAGGTTACAATCAAGAGATTGGTACCAGCCAGTGAAAAGAATGCTGGACAATACGAAACTGTTGTTACAAGCCAAAAACTTGATGATGATAATACAATCAAATTCACAACACCAGTCCGCATGGATAAGATCCAAATCATTTTGGAAGAACCACAAAATGATGATGATACTGAATACAAACTTCATGTTGCTATACATGCTTGCTTCAAGGTTAAAATAACAACAACAACTCAACCACCAACAACAACAACTACAACAGCTGCACCAACTACAACTACTGAAGCTACAACAACAACAGCAGCACCAACAACAACCACTACTCTTCCATCAACTACAACAGTTGTTGTTACAACTCCATCTACAACTATGCAATCAACAACAACAGCTACAACAGCAGCACCAACAACAACAACTGAAGCTACAACAACAACAGCTGCACCAACTACAACAACAACTACAACAGCAGCACCAACAACAACAACCACTCTTGTATCTACAACAACAATGTCAGTTAAACCAACTGAAGGTACAACAACAACACCTGCCGTTATTGAAACAACCACAACTACTGCAGGAACAACAACCAAAATCTGTCCATTCCAAGAGACAATGGACAATCCTGCTGTAATTGGTCAAGGCCAAATCAAGACTAGCCCATCTGAAGAAGGTTCAAATGATAAGGTTCGTTTGGACAAGGAAGGATGGACACCAAAGGTTCCAACCAGCTCAACTGAAGAAAAACCATATGTTGATATTGACCTCGATGTTGGTGATGACAGTAATGAACCATATGTTGAAAAGGTCATTATTAAGGGCAATACTCAGATAGTATCAGTATACAAAAAGAATGTCAATGATGATGATTGGACTGGAATTGTTGAAGATGTTGAAGTTAAGGAAAATGGAGAAGTTGTCTTCCCCACAGTTGTAAAGGCCGATTCTATAAGAATTGTACTTGTTAAACCTGAAGATAATGAGGATGGTTCTCCAGTAACTAACTACAGAGTTAATGTTGGAGTACATGCTTGTATCACACCAACTAGTAAGTAGTCAATTGTGCTCAAAATTTTCTTTTCATTTGTTAAAGAACAAACATTTAATTTTTAAATTTTTTTCAGTGACTACAACAACATCAGCTCCAACAACAACTATGACTACAACTACACCTGTAGCTACAACAACAACAGAAGCTACTACAACAGCAGCTCCTACAACAACAACTACTACAACAGCTGCTCCAACAACTACAGCTGGTACAACAACAGAAGCTACAACAACAACAACAATGAAACCAACTGAAAGTACAACTTTGAGTACAACAACTACTACTAGCACAACAACAACAACAACTGCTATGGTAACAACTACCACAACTCCAGCAGAAACAACAACAGTCAAGATCTGTAACTTTGAAGAAGGTATGGATGAACCACAATTTATCCCAGCTGGACAACTTGAATCAAGCCCAGATACCACTGACAAAGAAAACAACCCATTGACAAACTTGAGACCAAAGAGTGGAAAGGCTTTCGTATTGCCTGTTCCAAAGAAGGACTCTGATGAAAAGAAACCATTTGTCACAGTTGACTTGACACCAACTGATGATACTGCTGCTCCATTTGTTGAGAAGGTACGCTTCCCAGAATCAAACATTGGAAAGGTTACAATCAAGAGATTGGTACCAGCCAGTGAAAAGAATGCTGGACAATATGAAACTGTTGCTGATAATGAAACACCAACTGGTGATGATAATACAATCAAATTCACAACACCAGTCCGCATGGATAAGATCCAAATCATTTTGGAAGAACCACAAAATGATGATGATACTGAATACAAACTTCATGTTGCTATACATGCCTGCTTCAAGGTTAAAGTAACAACAACAACTCAACCACCAACAACAACAACTACAACAGCTGCACCAACAACAACTACTGAAGCTACAACAACAACAGCTGCACCAACTACAACAACAACTACAACAGCAGCACCAACAACAACTATACCACAACAGCTGCACCAACAACAACTACTGAAGCTACAACTACAATTACTGTTCCATCAACAACTACAGTTACTACAACAACAACTACAACACCAGCACCAACCACAACTGAGCTACAACAACAGCACAACTACAACATCACAACAGCAGCTCCACCACAACAAAAACTACTACTACTACCACAGCAGCACCAACAACAACTACTGTTCAATCTACAACAACAATGTCAGTTAAACAACTGAGGGTACAACAACAACACCTGCCATTGTTACAACAACAACAACTGCTGAAACAACAACAACTAAGGTCTGTCCATTCAAGAGACAATGAAAGATTCAACAATCATTCCAAAGAAACTTATTAAGACAACTCCTGAAGATGGAGAAGATTCAAATGATAAGGTTCGTTTGGGTAAGGAAGGCTGGATTACAAATGTTCCAACATCCAGTGATCAACCTAAACCAACTGTTGAAATTAAATTGAATCGCCAAGATGATCCTGAAGATCCCATGTTGAAAAGGTTATTGTTAAGGGAAATGCTGGCAGGTATCTATATACAAGAAACAAGAACAGATGATGATTACACACCAATCCAAACTAATGTTGATGTACCAAAAGAAGGTGGAGACATTGTCTTCCCCAAGGTTCAAAAGATCAACCACTATCAAGATTGTATTGGAAGAACTACATTGAATGAAGATGGAACCCAGCAAAGAAATACAAGGTCAACATTGGAATCAGTGCTTGTATCTCATACACTGGTAAGTATTAATATTAATTGTTTTCCAACATTTTCTAATCTAATCAACTTATTTACACTTATAGTTACAACAACAACAACCACACCAACTCCAACAACAACAACAGAAGCAACTACAACTATGCACCAACAACAACAGAAACAACAACAACAACAGCTGCTACAACCACAACTGCTAGAACAACAACTACAACTTCTGCAACAACTACAACAACTGCTATGGTAACAACTACCACAACTCCAGCAGAAACAACAACAGTCAAGATCTGTAACTTTGAAGAAGGTATGGATGAACCACAATTTATCCCAGCTGGACAACTTGAATCAAGCCCAGAAACCACTGACAAAGAAAACAACCCATTGACAAACTTGAGACCAAAGAGCGGAAAGGCTTTCGTATTGCCTGTTCCAAAGAAGGACTCAGATGAAAAGAAACCATTTGTCACAGTTGACTTGACACCAACTGATGATACTGCTGCTCCATTTGTTGAGAAGGTACGCTTCCCAGAATCAAACATTGGAAAGGTTACAATCAAGAGATTGGTACCAGCCAGTGAAAAGAATGCTGGACAATACGAAACTGTTGTTACAAGCCAAAAACTTGATGATGATAATACAATCAAATTCACAACACCAGTCCGCATGGATAAGATCCAAATCATTTTGGAAGAACCACAAAATGATGATGATACTGAATACAAACTTCATGTTGCTATACATGCTTGCTTCAAGGTTAAAATAACAACAACAACTCAACCACCAACAACAACAACTACAACAGCTGCACCAACTACAACTACTGAAGCTACAACAACAACAGCAGCACCAACAACAACCACTACTCTTCCATCAACTACAACAGTTGTTGTTACAACTCCATCTACAACTATGCAATCAACAACAACAGCTACAACAGCAGCACCAACAACAACAACTGAAGCTACAACAACAACAGCTGCACCAACTACAACAACAACTACAACAGCAGCACCAACAACAACAACCACTCTTGTATCTACAACAACAATGTCAGTTAAACCAACTGAAGTACAACAACAACACCTGCCGTTATTAAACAACCACAACTACTGCAGGAACAACAACCAAAATCTGTCCATTCCAAGAGACAATGGACAATCCTGCTGTAATTGGTCAAGGCCAAATCAAGACTAGCCCATCTGAAGAAGGTTCAAATGATAAGGTTCGTTTGGACAAGGAAGGATGGACACCAAAGGTTCCAACCAGCTCAACTGAAGAAAAACCATATGTTGATATTGACCTCGATGTTGGTGATGACAGTAATGAACCATATGTTGAAAAGGTCATTATTAAGGGCAATACTCAGATAGTATCAGTATACAAAAAGAATGTCAATGATGATGATTGGACTGGAATTGTTGAAGATGTTGAAGTTAAGGAAAATGGAGAAGTTGTCTTCCCCACAGTTGTAAAGGCCGATTCTATAAGAATTGTACTTGTTAAACCTGAAGATAATGAGGATGGTTCTCCAGTAACTAACTACAGAGTTAATGTTGGAGTACATGCTTGTATCACACCAACTAGTAAGTAGTCAATTGTGCTCAAAATTTTCTTTTCATTTGTTAAAGAACAAACATTTAATTTTTAAATTTTTTTCAGTGACTACAACAACATCAGCTCCAACAACAACTATGACTACAACTACACCTGTAGCTACAACAACAACAGAAGCTACTACAACAGCAGCTCCTACAACAACAACTACTACAACAGCTGCTCCAACAACTACAGCTGCGTACAACAACAGAAGCTACAACAACAACAACAATGAAACCAACTGAAAGTACAACTTTGAGTACAACAACTACTACTAGCACAACAACAACAACAACTGCTATGGTAACAACTACCACAACTCCAGCAGAAACAACAACAGTCAAGATCTGTAACTTTGAAGAAGGTATGGATGAACCACAATTTATCCCAGCTGGACAACTTGAATCAAGCCAGATACCACTGACAAGAAACAACCCATTGACAAACTTGAGACCAAAGAGTGGAAAGCTTTCGTATTGCCTGTTCCAAAGAAGGACTCTGATGAAAAGAAACCATTTGTCACAGTTGACTTGACACCAACTGATGATACTGCTGCTCCATTTGTTGAGAAGGTACGCTTCCCAGAATCAAACATTGGAAAGGTTACAATCAAGAGATTGGTACCAGCCAGTGAAAAGAATGCTGGACAATATGAAACTGTTGCTGATAATGAAACACCAACTGGTGATGATAATACAATCAAATTCACAACACCAGTCCGCATGGATAAGATCCAAATCATTTTGGAAGAACCACAAAATGATGATGATACTGAATACAAACTTCATGTTGCTATACATGCCTGCTTCAAGGTTAAAGTAACAACAACAACTCAACCACCAACAACAACAACTACAACAGCTGCACCAACTACAACTACTGAAGCTACAACAACAACAGCTGCAACAACTACAACAACAGAAGCTACAACTATCATTGATTCAACAACTTCTGTGGCTGCAACTACTAGCTTGAGCACTGAAGGATCTACCAGCTTTGTGGTACCTTCTACTACCGTCTTTGTTACGACAACACCGGAACCCACTTCAAGTTCTCCTGAAACTTCAAGCAGTCCTGCTGGTACCACCTCTACTGTAGAGTCAACAACAACAATTGAACTTAGTTCCACTGCAGGAACCACCACATCAACGGCAGTTGTTTTTACATCAACGACACCGGTTGGAACAACTACTAAAGTTTGCCCATTCAGTGAAACAATGAATAACCCAGCGCAAATTAGTGATAAACAAATTTCTGTTTATCCTGCGGAAGAAGGTGTTGGAAAGAAGATTAGACCTAATGGAGTAGGTTGGACGCCTTCTGTACCAGAATCTGAATCTGATAATAAACCTTATGTTGATATTGACTTAAACCCCTATGATATTCCTGAGGAACCATTTGCTGAAAAGGTTATATTGAAAGGAAATGCAAAGAAAATCACTATTTTAAGAAAGAAATTAAGGGATGATACATTTTTGCCTGTATTGGAAAATGTTGATGTACCTGAGAATGGCGAAGTTGTTTTCCCTGAAGTAAAACGTGTTGACACTTTGAGAATTGTTCTTTTAGAACCAGAAGAAGATACTAATGGTACCCTTCCAGAGAATTATCAAGTTACAATTGGAGTACATGCTTGCATAAAACCAACAAGTTAGTTTTCAAAGTCAATTTTTTTTATTTTTTTTAAATTGTTTGATATTGTTTAAAAGTAACAACAACAATGGCCCCCACTACATCTGCTGTAACAACTGACGGAATGCTAGGTGAAGAAAGAACAACAACCGTTCCTGTCTTCACAGGTAGAAGAATAGTTTTGTAATTGTTTCTTTTTTAATCATGCTATTTATAGATGCTACAACAACCGAAGGTACACCAGAACCTACAACAACTTTACCTGTAACAACAACTGTACCTATAACAACAACTGAAATTGTAACTACCACAACTATACCTGCAACCACGACTGTTCCAACTACCACAGCTCCGTTATGCCATGGTTCACTTGTCCAAACTGACTGTGTTTGCCAGAAGACATGCGAAAGCTTGGCTGATTCATCATTCAAATGCCCAACACTGGGATCTGATTCATGTAATAAGGGATGCCACTGTGGTGCAGGATACGTTATGCATAATAGTAAATGTATCAAGGAAACTGAATGTCCATGCTTTGCCAACAATCGCTATTACCAATTTGGAGAGAAATTTGCCTTGGAAGAGAAGTGCATGCTTGGAATATGCACAGCTGAAAAGGGCATTGTTAAGATGGTTGATCCTACCTGCCAACAAGACAAGTGTACTTTAGGTAGAGTTTGGAGTGACTGTGCTTGTGAAAAGACGTGTGAAAATCCAAAACGCAAATGCGATATGGTCAATTGTAAACCAGGTTGTGCTTGCAAAGAGGGTACATTCTGGAATGGTGAAAAATGCGCTCCTCAAACAGAGTGTCAATGCAAGAAGGGAGATAAACTTTACAGTGAAGGTGAAAGATGGAATGTTGGTCAATGTGTACGCTGTAAATGTGAAAACGGTCAAGAAATTTGCTCTGAATATTGTCCACTTACAGAAGAAGATTGCAAGAAGAAGGGCAAGAAACTCGTAAATAACAATCTTGAAGATAAGGTTTGCTGTTCATGTGTGGCTGACGAACCACAGTGCATGGATGAATCAGGAGTATCACGATCTGTTGGTTCTATTTGGCACAAAGGAGTTTGCGACATGTACGAATGTGTCTTGCTTCCTGGTGGCAGTACAATGGTGAAACAAAACCACACTACATGTACGCCATGCAGACAAGGCGAAACTCCAGTTTATTCACCAAAGAAATGCTGTCCTGAATGCAAGGAACCACTTACAACAACTACAACATCCACAACCACAACTGCCACAACACCTGGTACAACAACCAGTACTGGAACAACTACTGAGTTGGTTACCGGCGGTCACACTCCGGAACCAGATACAACAACCGGAACCACAACAGTATCTACAACTGAAACAACAACTGTCTCTACCATAGGAACAACAACAGAACAAGTTACTGGTGGTCATTCAGAAGAACCATCAACAACAGGAACTACTACAACTGCTGGTACTACAACAGGAACTACTACAACTGCTGGTACTACAACAGGAACTACTACAACTGCTTCAACATCAACGGCAGGAACAACCCCAGGCACTACAACAGGTACTACAACAGAGTTAGTTACTGGTGGCCATACCGAGGAGCCATCTACTACACCAGCAACAACCACACCACAAACCACAACGCAAGGAACAACAACTACACAAACAGAAGAAACTACAACAGAGGGAACAACAACCACACCAACAGACGCAACAACAACACAAGGAACAACACCTGCTACAACAACAGGAACAACAACTGAATTAGTAACTGGTGGTCATACAGAAGAACCAGTTACTACAACAGCAGCTGCACCAACAACTACTGGAGTATCGACAACTGAAGCGCCAGTTACTAAACCACCAACTTGTGCAGAAGCTATGTCAAAGGACACAGTATTGACTGACGATTTGATTGATCTATCACCAGAAGGAACTGTTGACGATTTACGTCCTAATGGTTCAGGCTGGAAGGTTGATAAGACTTCTTCCCCATCCATCACAGTTGATTTGACACCAGATGATAAGGATGGTCCAACCAACTTGGAACAAATCACTCTGAAGGGTAATGTTGAAGATGTCAAGATATTGGTCAAGAAAACACCAGAAGCTGAATTTGAGACTGTTAAGGATAGCGAAGGTGATGTTGAATTTGATGCAACAAAACCAATCAGATTCACCGAAGTTTTGAAAGTCTATAGTATCAGAATCGTATTATTAGACACAATTGAAGATACAGATACAACTTACCTTACAACTCTTTCTGTTCACGCTTGTGTCAAGGTACCAGAAGTAAAGACATGCAAATATAATGGAAAGGATTACGATTTCAACTCTGAATGGTTCGTTGAAAAATCAGGTATTAAAACATGCGTTAAGTGCAATTGCAATGAAAATGGCGTCAACTGCGACGACATGAGCAAGAACTGCAACTTAAAATGCGATGGTGAACTTGTATATCAAAATGGAACTTGTTGCCCAGTTTGTAAACCAAAGAAACAATCTTGCAGCTTGAAAACTGTAAATACCGTTTTGGAAGTAGGAGAATGTAAATCAGCTAATTACGTAAAAAGAACAATGTGCGTAGGATCATGTAGTAGTGGAGCAACAGCAATGTTTACAGCCCCATACATGAAGGCAGTCTGCAACTGCTGCAAACCTGTCGCAATGGAAAAGGCTGTTGAAAGTCTCACATGCAAAAACGGAACAACAATAGAATATAATTATGTAAAAATACAACAGTGTTCCTGCAATCAATGCAGCTATAATCCATTTGCATAAATTCATTAATCATATATTGGAAATGGATAATAAGGACTGTCACATGAATTTTCTGATAAAGAAAGGCACACTACAAACTTTAAATTCTAAGTTAATATGTTAAAAGTAATTTTAATATTTAAATATCACATTGTTAATTCAAATTATGTTGTTAAAGATAAAAAAAATATTGTTTTTACCTCTTTGTTTGTTTTTTAGTTTCTCCAACAATTGTGTATGCAATTATGATTGTGACAGAACTTATTTCAACATAATACAGCATATTTTAAAATTTATATAAAAATAATTCAATGACTTAACCTTAGCTGAATTTTGAAAACCTTATTATCGTAATCTGATGATATAACTTTAAATTCCAGAGTTATTTGTAGTAAAGACCGTAATTCGATAGATCGATATTGTATTTATAATGATTAATCATCTATACATCTACAAGACATAAGGTACTAGTGTCATTTTATAAAATTTAATCTTCAGCCTCCAACTGCTTGAACATTTACGCTTTGTATCGTGTAGGACTAATTATGCTGTGCTCCACTTAGTAGTGGCCATTGTAATCCATGGATTGTTAGTTTCTTTTTACCATTAGTTTAAGTTAAACGATCGAGAAATAGTTTTAATTTCTGTGTATCTTTATAAACAATGATACCATGTTTATTTCGTGCATTGTCTTTACTATCGTGATATTTTACTTGCAGCAAGTCCAAATCCATTTTCTTATAATTTTCAATTGCTAAGTCGTATTCTACTATTCCTCCGCCCATTGATAATATGATTGCGTGGGGGCCGCAAATGTCCCATAAGTACGTAGTCCCTTTTGTAAGTACGTATATATCGGCTAGATCATCTAAAACACAAACGGATTTATAACCAGCTCCAGGTGCGTAGTATATTTTAAAGCCTTTAAGCTTCTCAATCACATCACTTTTTTCACTTGATGACATAACAATTGTCATGGCATCTTTCTTCTCCGTTTCTATTTCCTCATGTTGTTTTCTTGTATTCGCTGCATATCCAGTACGAATCCTACTGGAGCATCTAAATTTAAATAAGCTTAATTAAATTGACAAAATCGATCACACATTTAGGCTTTTTAGCCGGATAATGACACTAAACGCCTCATAAGGATTTTATAGGATTTTCTTAATTAGCTTACCTCTCGTTATCCATATGGTAAAATGGCTGATTGCAAACACCGGCTACTGGACAGCCAGTTTTCATGTCGTAAGCGCCAATTAAAACTACGCAACATGGTAGTCCACGTTCCTCTATTCCATTATCGAGAGCGTGACGAACGCCTATTTGACCGTTGATGTATTGTTCCGTTGCGTCTATTTCGCAATAATGTTAAATTAATCAGAACAAAAACAGAATAATTACACTTTATTTACCTATAGGATCAATCCATATGGCTGTTGTGGACAAATCTACGTAACCTTCAATGTCAATGTTAACTTTCTCTACGATAGTGTCATCCACTTGTTCTAATACACATTTTGATAACATTTTAGCTGCTTTTTCGTCTCCATTTAGAATTCTGCCTGTTAAATAATAGGATGAATTTTATAGAAAAAGCAAAATAAAAGCAGGCCTATTAAAAGCTCCTATCATATAAAGTATTCTATGGGCCCTTAACAGAACAAAGTCCGATAGAAGTGTAAGATTGCTTCGTTAAATGAAGATATATAATATAAATGAGTGTTAGGTTAATAAATAGTACAGAAGCGGATATATCAAGTTTAATACTTAAAAGGTTCGTCATATCTTCTTCATCCTCCAGAATGTTAACTTCAATTGACTCGTTTAATTTATTAGTAAAGATATTCTTTTCTTCGCCGAATATTCGATTTTCGAATCCGGGAAACTTTAAAAAGTACAACTAATAAAAAAAATTGATATTAGCCGAATCACAGTGATTACCTCTTTCGATAAATCATATCGAATAGATTCTTGAATGAGAACATCTGCGAGAGTTTTATAATCTTCTACAAACCTCGAATTAGCCGAATCGCCAGTCTTTTTTTCAATTAGAAGCTACATAGAATATTTATACCTTTAAATATCATTTTAAATAATTGTAGTATAATAAAAACAATAAACTAAACTACCATAAAAACTAGTAAATAACATCACGATAATTGATTAAGAGAACACACTTGGAATAAATATTTTTCCGATTTCACTAATCGAGCAATATTTGCCGCTTTTTCTGAACATTTTACTAATTCTTTTAAGAATTTAGATGAATTTATTCTTTTATTATCGCACATGACGATTTTTATCGTTAAAAAGTTCTTGATATGGTTGCATTTGAAGTATACCGGTTAAGGGGGTCCACCTGCTCACGAATCGATGACGTCACGAGATTTGCGATCGTTCCCAGAATGCAGCGCGAGACATTTTTATGTCAGTCAGTCTGTACTGGCGCATGCTAAAATCATAAAATATCTACTAAATTCGCAGTCTAATCCTAACATCAGCTTAATTTTTCGTTAGAGCAAACACTTAATTGGAACACTACCGTCTACTCGTGTCTCAAACATTCGCTATTAACTCGTATCGTGCTCAAAACCGTTTGCGGATGACGAAGAAACTGCTGTGAGTGCAAGGCTGTGTTCTCCCTTCTGAAGGAATATTTGTGGATTATAAACACGTAAGCTGATAGAAGAAATTCTCAAGAATATTTCAAGTCGGATAAAGAATTTTTTCGAATGGAAGATTTGTGAGAATAATCAACGCAAAAAGTGACTTGGTCACCTGAAGGTCGAATTATAGCGCCACCTATAATAATCGATCGAAGAGCCTCGCGCGGCGAAGGAAAAAATGTCTCGAGATCGGTATGGTAAGCCGGATAGAAGAAGACGGGACTCGTTCGACGATAGGGACGGCATCACCTCTAGGTCTACCTATGATCCAGAATATGATGCTCGGAACTACGCGGATAAAAACGATAAACATCGGTCAGACTACCGTAGCAGCTACTCTGACTCAAAAAAGAAAAAGAAAAAGAGCAAAAAGCGTAAGCACAAGGAAGGTAGAAGAAGCGGAGAAAGGCTTACAGGGAGCCGGTTAGTCGACTACGATAATGGCTCTAGTGACGACGACGCATATTCAGACGACTCGCACAGCTATGGCCGAATACAAAGTAGGGTAAGCCCAAAACATCCTAAATTGGAACGATCTCTATCACCGGCAACCGGTTTACGAGATTATAAGAGAAGCAGAGTTGATTCTGATGTCCGTCGTCACGATAGAACTTCTCCTAGAAGAGCTAGAAGAGAATACAGAGATTTTCCCAGTCGGGAGAGACGTCACTACGACTATGACCTATCTCCTTCGTCTAAACGCTCAAAGCGTGGAGGACGATCTCCTAGTCCAAATAGAAGCTCGAAAGCCAGTAGGTCTTCAAGGAACAAGTAAGTAACACTTCTTAACACAATAACAAATTACTATATCTGATACTGTTTTTAGATTTGGAAGAGATGATGCTCGGTCCAATCACTCCCCTAATCACTCACGTTCCATATCTCCGAAAAGACAGCGTAAGGCCTCAAGTTCATCCCCAAATCGAGAAGCATCCAACTTGGGTACACATACCCTTGCCGCAGAATTACGGAAGAGACAACAAATTTTATCAAAATCGCAAACTAATAGTCCTAATTTATCGGAACCTTCGAATAAATCAGGTAAATACGACGGTCGGAAATATAGTGGACACAACCAGTTAACTGTAGAGAAAAAACCCCCATCACCAACGGCTACTATTGCACCAACTTCTTCTCAGTTGGACAAAGATGTCAAGCCAAAGGATAAACGACGTCAGCTACCTTTGCCTCCAGGTGGCTCAAGCGATGTAGATAGCCCAGGACCTAATCAAGAGCTACAAACAAATCGAGTGAGCAAATTATATGATCTGCCAATGCCTCCGGTGACAAGTTCCCCTCAAGCTGATGAGGATTCGCTTAATCAACAAAAGATAGCGAAGCAACGGTCATCTGGGCAGACGCCTTTTAATGAAAAGGATGGAAAAGAGCAAAAAATACCCAATCGGTATCTGGAACAAAGAATGAAACAAAGAAACACTAAAATGAATGAAAGAGTTGATTGCGATTGGGGAGAGCGTTGTATAGATGTTTTTGAAATTCTAGCTCAAGTTGGGGAAGGTACATATGGACAAGTGTACAAGGCTAGAGATAAGGATACCGGTAAGTGTAAACGTGTGTCAAAACTTTCGCTGCGTTAATTACGTATCTTAGTTGTTTTCTTCATAACATACGCAGTCACGCAGCAAAATTAAAATAGTATATTTGATCGTTTTTTAATCAATCGCTGTTTATATCGACGTCGATTGTTAACGATGATGTTCACAAATTAAATTTTTTTACAGGTGAAATAATGGCTTTAAAGAAAGTTAGGTTAGAAAATGAAAAGGAAGGTTTTCCGATTACGGCTATCAGAGAAATAAAGATTTTACGTCAACTAAATCATAAGAATATTGTGAACTTAACGGAAATCATTACAGATAAGAGGGACGCTGTTGATTTCAAGAAAGACAAGGGATCATTTTATTTAGTATTTGAATATATGGACCACGACTTGATGGGTCTTTTAGAATCGAATTTAGTGACGTTTAAAGAAGACTATATTGCTTCCTTTATGAAACAATTATTACAAGGATTAGAATATTGTCATAAGAAGAACTTCTTGCATCGAGATATAAAATGTTCTAATATTCTAATGAATAATAAGGGCCAGATAAAATTAGCAGATTTTGGTTTAGCACGTTATTATGATGCTGAAACTAGGGAAAGACCGTACACAAATAAAGTTATTACTTTATGGTACCGTCCTCCGGAACTTTTATTAGGAGAAGAAAAGTATGGTCCAGCAATTGACGTTTGGAGTTGTGGTTGCATATTAGGAGAGTTTTTTCATCAAAAACCTATATTCCAAGCAAATACTGAATTAGCGCAATTAGATTTAATAAGTAAAGTATGTGGAACGCCGTCACCTGCTGTATGGCCTGATGTTATCAGATTACCCTTATTTACGACGTTCAAACCCAAAAAACAATATAGACGACGGATTAGAGAGGAGTTTTGTACTATGCCCGAAACTGCTCTTGATCTATTAGACAATATGTTAGAGCTGGATCCAAGCAAGAGATGTTCAGCTGAAGCAGCTCTCAATTCTCCGTGGTTAATTAACGTCAATCCTGATTGTCTACCGGCGCCAAAGTATATTTGTTTAAATATGAAGAAATTATGTTTTATTTTATAAAATTTTCCTTTTTTTTACAATTAGTTTACCTAGTGATCAGGACTGTCATGAAATGTGGTGTAAACGACGAAAAAGAAGTATGAGAGAGCAACATCAACTGCCCACACAAACAAAAAAGCCAGAGCCACCGTTGCCTCCTGTCCACGAAAATAATAAAGCATCAGCTGTTGCAGATAGTACAAACGATCGTCCATCACCTCCACCACAGCCGCCACCCCAACCCCCTCCTTTACCTTCCGGTGCCTCCCAGGCAATTCCAGGTCCTCCGCCACCACCTCTTGACTGTCAGACTAAACTGCTGAATTTAGGACAGTTGGTCAGAGATAAGAAAGGAAATTTCTCAATAGACGATATTGCAAGGACTATATGCGTTCCAGTTAACGATCAGACAAAAAGTTATCTTCTGTGTGTTCTGGAGCAACTAAATAATGCAAAAACACAGATGGATGCTAATAATATTATGCAGGTGCCTACACATCAAATGACTCAAATAACAAATCTGTTGCAAAATCCGATGGTGGAGAATGTAACATGGCCACGACGAACATCGTCTGGATCAGCAACAATGGATATATCGGACGACGATGTTAGTGATCATTTTGAAAGTGAAGAACATAACTTTATGAACGTGGAAGACAATAATCAGGTACCGCCAGCAAACAGGGGACTAAGAGGCCTACCAAGAGGTAGAGGCCCCGTTGGTCATATGCCAGGGGCACACCTTGTACATCCAAATATAATTAATAGTGCAAGAGCACCACCGCCGTTAAACATGCAGCAAATTAACCAGCCTCCTCCACCGCCACCCCCGCCCTTAATGAATGTTCCCGTTAATAGGAATAATGTACCAAGACCTGGGCGAGGAGGCCGTGGCAAGTTCCATCAGCAACAGCCCTGGTAAAACAGTCTTTCGCGTGTCTTTTTCATCTATTATTGTTAACAAAATATGGTTTTGTTGTTGAATGTTTATCACAATATTATCTTGTATGGTTTTGTATATTATACGTTTAAAACTTTTATTAATATTATACGAGTCGCTTTATTTTCTTATATATAGAATGTCAGATATGCTGCGTTATCATACGGCTTTTCTTCGAGATGCTACTGCAGTTCATTTAATAAATTTGCCAACTAATTGCCTATGTTATTGTCGAGGAGGGAAACGGGATCTTCGAATACAGTCTGCTTCTTGGAAAGAAATTGGCTTAAGATTCTTCCATGGATCAACTGTCATGCTCTCGTGATAGAAGGCACTTCTCTGTAAAAGAAACGCAGTTTGTACTAAGATCCTTCGTTAATTACATAGCTGGGTAATACCAACATATTTCTCGGCTTGTTTACCCTCTCGATGAACATTATCGGGCCCTGAATTAGACTGCGTATCATCAGTAAAGCGCTTCCTTGGAGGTTCTTCTAAATCCTCACCTTTTTGAGTATCAGGTACGTCTTCTTTCCTTCCCGTTTGTTCCATTTTCAACTGTAATTACCAGAATGACACCTATCTGAAATAAAAATGATAACAGTGATGTTAATCGTTACTAAATTCTGACAGTTCTTCGCTTGTTTTGTGTATTTTTGGTGAAATATACCAATGTTTTCCAAGAAAACTGGTAGAAACGCCGAAATATTGTCTTGTTAATTTATTGAATGAATAGGCAAGAAATTTTTTTTACCAAATTTTTGTTTTATGCAAAGCCTACAGAATTTTTAAATAAATTTTATAATATCTCCAAAAGTATTTGTTTTGAATGACGAATGTTATTTACTCCTTCAAAAGACCCAAAAAAAAACAAACAAACAATAGTTACATAATAGATAACAGTGTGCTCTAATAATCCCCAAGTCGTTTTGTTGACTTTATTTGACTATTAAAACCCAATTAAGATCAGTTATATAAACTAATATCGGCTTTGCTCAGTTTTGGCGCGAATCTTATATTTCCGGTTCGTTCAACATTTGAAACAAAGTCGATAATAGGTTTCGAGCTAACCAATCAGAATGTTCTTATCAACTAAACTTCAACGATTGACTTATTTCCCAACCAATAGCTATTATTTAATAACTGTTTACGAATGGCGACAACAGGGCAACTGTAATTCTGCAGGAAAAGAAATATAACTATGGATATTCCAAAAACGAAAGAATCTCTAATATCCAGAATCTTTCAACAATATGATAAAAACTTCATAGGCGAATTGACTGCAGAACAAATGCAACAAATTCACAACAATATAAGAATTGGAGGTATTAGTCTTCCACAAGTTTGCGCTTCCATTGAATATTCTTGTATTGGACCAACTGTTGAAGAAAGCGAAATATTCGATCTACTTCAAGAGATGGATAGGAGATATTATCTTGTTCAAGATTTTAGATGGGAATTTTCAATGTTAGATACTGAAAATTCAGACACAATAAGCGAAGAACAAGCAAAGTATGTTATTTCTATCTTAAACATAAATAACAGAATAACGTGACAATACTTTTAACAGATGGTTTGTTCAATCTGTTCATGGTAAATGGTTTTCTAAGAAAAAATGGGAGAAATTCCTTAGACATAGAGCAGTCCCAAAGAGTGGAGTACGCTTTTCCGAGATAGAAGTGATACTGTGCAACATACCTAGTAAAGAAGATTACCTACTCGAGCAGGGAGAAGACGAAAGGGAACGTCAAGGTAATTACAGTCTTAAAATAAACTAATTTTTCTATGTCCATTCATTAAATAGAGAGAGCTAGAAAAGAAGCCGAATTTCAAAGGCTACTGGAAGAGGAGAGGATTCGTCGCAAAAGTATGAAAGACGTGGCAATTCAAAAGGCTCGCGAACAAGAAGAGATGGACGAGGAGGAAAGACGAAAAAGACGTCTTCAAGATGAGGTTTTTCTTTAATATTTTTCTAGATATTCGTAATGAGAAAATTAAAATGAAAAATTTCTTTTAGAAAGAGAGACAGCAAAGACTACGAGAGAAGGAGGAAGAGAAGAATAGACAAAAGAAATTGGATGAGGAAGAAGGTAAAAATAGAATAAAAATTTTTAAATCTTACTAGAAAAGAGTACCTTTTAAAAAAATAGAGCGCGGAAGAAGAGAAGCTGAAATCAGAGCTAAGAAGGCTAATAAGGAAGATGAGGTTGTAGCTTCTTTCATAAAATACAGTATATATATATATATATATATATATATATATATATAGATTAACATAACCAATACATTCATGTTTCTTTTTTACTAATATTAAAAAATTTGGAACAGACTAACCCCGTAAGTTATACAATAATAAGTTTACTATTGTCACTGCCTTTTGTCATTCAAGTGATTTTTATAGCTTGGGTGTGCCAGTCAAAATTTCTTCTCAATTCTAAAATCCTTTCTATTAATAGTGTTTTACATTATCTATTTAATTAAAACATGATTTTATTTCTAGGAAGTGGAAAAAGAAAATCAGAGGTTAGAGAAATTAAAGAGGTTAAGGGAAGAACAAGAAAAACAATGGAAAAAAGATTTACAAGATGCGGATGAGTGTGAGAAAATATATGAAACTGCTAAAGCTGGTGAGGAAAATGCAAATAGGGAGGCGGATAACGCTAGAGATAGAGCTAAAAGAACGGCTGATGACAATGAACGAAGAGAGGCGGAAGAGAGAGAACAGAGGGCTAGATTAAACGCTAAGGAAAATAGGAACAAGAAAATAAGATATAATCTGAAGGTAGCTGTGAAGAGAAGAGATAGAGAACGACTTCCGCCTGCTGTTGACGAGTTTAAGAAAGCAAAACTTCCCGATGATGATATGGATTTGGCAAAAGCTGAAAGATTATTGAGGGAGTTCCAAGCCAGAGACGGTTTACAAAAGGCTATGTCTCAAAGAGAATTGAAAGCATTGGAAAAGGCCATTGCGTACGTGAAAAGAAGTGGATTTGAAATGGAATTGGCTCATGAACTATTAGAAGCCAATCGTATATTACTCCAATTAAGAAGACTTGAGAGAATCCGAGCTGAAATCCTTGAACTTAAACAATCGACTGTGGCCGAAATAAGAAGTTATCAGAAACCGCCAGAGATTGTACACGTCGTTATGACTGGTACATTCCTAATTTTGGGTCATAAAGAGAAGGAGACTAAAGTTTGGAAAACAGTTCAGAGTCTTGTTGGTAAGACTGGAAAAGAAGGTCTCAAACGTAGGTGTTTAGAATGTAACCCAGATAACATCAAAGATGAAGATGCAAAGAGGGCGAAGAAGTTAATGTCATCGTTTGATTTGGACGATGTTAGAGACGTTTCCGCTGGTGCAGCAACATTTTACGTATGGTCTATGACAATGATTGAAGAAAAGCAAATTCGTATAGAGGCGAAGAAACGGGAAGCGGAAGAAAAGTTAAAAGAGCAGAAAGAACGAGAAGAAAAGGAGGAAGCTATTAAAAAACAAAGAGCAGAGGCGGCCAAAACACCAATAGACACACAAAAAAGTTTAGATAATAGCGAAACAAACCCTACAAAAACTGATGAAAGTAACGAAACTGGGAATTAGTATAATGGCTGGTACATTAACATTCCTATATAGATGTAGAGCATTTTTTCAATTCTATCAATGTCTTCCATTTTTCCAAGTTAAGCTTACTGCCTTGGTACTTTTCGAAATTCTTAAATATTTACCAATTTTTCTAATAAAATATTTATCGATTGGTTCTCTAATCCCCCCTCATTCAGAGTTAATTTGCATACCTTTATTATGTCGTAGTTAATACTTGGAATAAGTTATAGATGGAGATTTATCGTTTCTTTTCAAATGTTATGCAGACGATTTTCGTAAAAGTACGGTCTTAACTCCTCACCGATTTTTTCCTCTTATTTTAAAGATAAAATCGAAATACGATTCTTTTAAAACTATAAATAATATTTATCATTCCTTGAACTTCATAATATCGAATATATAAGTTAAATTACGAAGTTAAATATTAATACGAAACTATCCCGTAAACCGGAAATAAATTCACGCGGAAAATTTTGCAAGGAGGGTCAGATTTGTAAGCTTTTATTCTTTAATTTATTGAAGTAATAAATCATTTTCTAATTGTAAAAAGTAAATAGTTGTTTATATCATTGCATTCGTAGAATTGAAAGTTTACAAGGCTATCAAGAGAAAAAATATATAGGAACTTATAGGAAAATAGGATAAACATTTCATGTTAGGAAGCAAAAGTTTATTAATATCCTCTGTCAAGCCTTAAATCTCACTCAATTAACAGTTAAAGTTCGATAAAATGGCATCGGAATTAAGCAAAAAAGAGATTCAAAAGATAACTAATACGTTAGTGTGCCTTGCAAAGGGTACTGAAGGCTATCGCCTAAAAGTCCATCAACAGAATGGTGTAATCGCCGAAGGACTGGTGGATAAAGTGGACGGTTACATGAATTACGATATGAGAAATGTTCGCATTCAATTACCAAACGGTTCAATAGAAAATTTGGACCAAATGTTAATTAATTCAAGAAAGATAAAATATATAGAGATACCAAAAGAGATGAATATAAAAAGAACAATGGAAAATCAATTGAGAGTATTTAATAAGCCAGTGCAGAAGTACTTGGGAAAGAAGGGTACATCAAATCTTATGCAAAAGTTGAAAAGGATCGATGATGATGCTGATGATAATGATGATAATGATGATGATGATGATAATAACAATAAAAAATAATGATAATATTGTTGTTGATGACTCTTAATTGTAATATTAAACATATTTGAATTTGTAGCAAAATATTCTATATATAGAAATCTAAAATAAATAAAGCTTTTCTTAGCTTAAGAGAACATAAAAAGCTAGTTTTTAAGGTAAAAACTATAATAATTAATAAAAAACTAAAATATGTTGAATTTATATTTTTCAGATTATAATGAAAAAGTCAAAACAACCGACATTGGATTCATTTATGAAATTAACCAATAAAACACCAAAAACACCTTCTAATAATGATAATACTACTGATATCGATAACGATGATATTATTGAATGTTCACCATTATTAAAAACTAAAGTAACTAAATTAAGTAAAGTTAGAAGTTTTAATGGAGCAGCAAATTTTAAAACATCATTAAATGGCGAAACTTTAAAAAAGAAGAAAATGAACGATAAATGCCAAATTTTAAAAGAAAAAAGTCAGAAAGAAGTTAAAGAATTAATTAATAAGATAGCAACTAAAATGCAAGCTGTACCAATTAAAGAATGTAATATTGAAAGTGAAGATTTAAATGATATTTTACAAGATATTGATCCTACTCTTCAAGATAAAGTCATAAAGGTTAAAAAATTAATATTTTTACTTTCATATCTTTTAATCTAATTAATTATCTTCTCATCTTCTTTTTCCTTTTACATATTAGAAATCTAAAGAAGAAACTTCTTCCTCTATGAAAAGTGACGCTCAAACGTCTATAAAAACGCCAAGAGAAAAGTTAAAAGTATTAATACTATTAAAAATAATAAATTCTTTTTAGTAAATTATTTTCCATTTAAGGAATTAAAACCGGTTAAAGTCAATATTAAGAAAAGGAAGGAGACGTCTTCCAGCGATATACCATTTAAATTTCCAAAAAAAGAGACGCAAATCGTTACTAAACGCGAACGAGTAAAGGGATACAATTCAAAGTGAGATATTCCTATTATATAATCAACGTTTTGGAATATATAATCCGAAAGGAAATATTTTGCAGTTGGAAAGAGAAGCTCTATAAACCATTAATGAAAACTAAGTGGAGAGTTACAAGTGTAAAGCAAGAGTAATTAAATACCAATATTTAATTATAATTATCTTTTACCGAGGACTTGACCTAATTACTCATACTTTCTTCTTTTAGAAAGATGTGTAAGATTCTAGAAGTTTCTCACTACTTGGAAGGAACTAACGAAACAATTGAACTCTTCGATTATTGGTACAGATAAACACTTTTAACTATTATTTTTTGATATAATGAATTAATAGTATCATTATTCCAATTAAGGGATGATAATACACCAGTTGGAGCAGGAGATATAATATGCGCTTATGGTGAAAAAGAATCGTGCGCAAAACCTATTAAAATTGATAAGAATCATGGTTTTGTGATCATTGATCCCGATCGTTTAATAAGCGTTACATCCGTTGTCGCGACGCGTAGATGTATGAGAAGGTTTGTATTTTAATTAGGTCACTAAAGATATAATACAAATTTAATTTGATTCTCCTTCAATTTTTATAGACAAGTTTTAAAAGACATCTTCAAAGTTTGTACATTTCTTATTAATAGATACAATACATAATAGATAATTCTATATCATTGTTTTTAATAGGAATATCCAATGCAAGACGGTAATAATGAACTTCCAAAATCAGCTCTATGCGGTTCTATTGTTCACGCAGTCTTTCAGAGAGTACGTAGAGGATGCTCGACAATCGTTTTACTTTAGGTAATTAACTAAGAAAATACTCTTTTCCTTTCGTAGGCCCTTGTCGAGAAGAGATTTGATGAGAAAACCCTATTTTGGTTCTTGGAAAAAACAATTGGGAATTACTTAATTGATATGTTGGTTATAATTTAAATCATTATGAATTAATTAATATATTTTCGCTTTTAAGGTACGCTCTTAATTTTGATGAGAACTTTTTAAGGGCCTGGTTTAAGCCTATGGCTGAGCAAATGAGAATATGGAATGGGAAATTTGTTAATAATCCATCAAATAAACCGAATATAAATCAAATAGTTGATATAGAAGAATGTATTTGGTCGCCAGAGATTGGTATGAGAGGTAAAATTGATGCTACGGTTGAATGCGATGGAGAGATTACACCATTGGAATTAAAAACTGGTAAAGTTAAAAATAACGAAGAACACGATGGTCAAGTTGTTCTATATAATTATATGCTTGGTTTAATAACGAGAAATGTAATTCAAACTGGCCTCCTTCTATACGTTAGAGATGGAAATCGTATGAAACAAGTTGAAAGTAAACACGCCTATACAATGCGTATGTTAAATGATTAAGATAAATAGAACACAATCTATTTTAATTATATATTTCCTATAGATTTATTTCAAGCAAGAAATGAATTAGTTAAATGTTTAAAGAATGTTGAAACATATTTTCAACTACCTAAACCTATTGAAAATGATTTTATCTGCTCAAAATGCCCTCAAAATGTTACTTGTGGACTATTAGAAAGGAAATTAAATGGAGAAAATGCATCAAAATCACATATTCAATATTCAAATCATTTAAAAGATGAAGAAATTGATTTTACTATAAATTGGTTATATACTTTAAAAGATGAAGCAGATTTTAATAATAATTATTTAACTAAAATACTGAATGATCCTAATTCAACAAGGTCATGTTCATACGCAGGACTTAACTGCGTAAGTTGTAAGAAAGTTGATGAAAATTATATAATTGATTTTGTTCATGTTTCTCATGGGTATTTATTATTTATTATTTCAAATAATTACTGAATTGTTTTTCCTTTTTCTTCAGTTTAATCGATAGGAAATTATTAGATTTTGAAGAACAAGATTTATTGATTATTAGTACAGAATATCCAAATGCAAGATTATGTTTAGCAACTGGTAGACTATTGAAAATATCTTTGCAAACCATTCAAGTTATTATTGATAGGTATTAATAATTGCATTTTTTATTAGATATTAAAATCTCAATTCATTTTTAGGCAACTTGAAAGTGAACAAAATGGAATTTGTATTATTTATAGAATTGATAAAAGGGACTATTCACCTTCGTTACATTTTAGCGAGAGTCTATTACAAATGATGACAGATACGCCGAAATATAAAAGATTAAGAGATCTTATTATTTATGGTTCACAACCTAATTTCGAATCTAAATTAACTAATGAAATGATTGAGAAAGGTAATAAATTTGTATTTATTGTTTGTTTATTTATTTTTTATCTCTCTCTCTCTCTCTCTCTTTTGTAATTAGTTCGAATTGCTAGCGGAAATGAGATAAACGAGAGACAGAAAGAGATTTTAGTCTATTCTGTATGTTGTCAAGATTATTTACTGGTTAACGGCTATCCTGGTACTGGAAAAACTACTATTATAGCTAAACTTGTCGCATTTCTGACGTCTCTCAATTACAAACTACTCTTATCAACGTATACAAACTCGGCTTTGGATAATATTTTCATTAAATTAAAGAAACATAATGTTAAAGCTATACGATTGGGAAATAAATTTAAATGTCATCCGGATGTTACGCAATACGCTGAAGATGAAATTCTTAGGGAATGTTCATCCGTTCATAATATAAGAGATAGAATTAAAGATATACAAGTTTTTGGCGCAACAATGAACCATTTGGCTAGTTCACCAAAAATTATTCAACCTATTCATTTCGATTATGCCATTATTGACGAAGCGTCGCAAGCAACTCTCCCAGCATGTTTAACGCCTATACTTAAAGCTGAAAAGTTTATCCTTGTTGGTGATATTAAACAATTGGCTCCCTTACTTATAAAAGGTTCCGGTGAGAGTCTCCTCGAAAGATTATCGGTATTTTGTCCAAACAATTGTAAAGTTGATATGGTTGAACAGTATAGAATGAACGATGAAATCTTACAACTGAGCAATCAATTATACTATTCAAATAATTTACGATCTGGCAGTAAAGAAGTAGCTAATCAAACGTTACAATTATCCGGAAATAGTTTTGGTAATAAGGTTGAAGAATTTATTATAAATCCTAATCATTCGGTTTGTGCACTACTCACCGACGATTTAGGATTACAGGCAGCCGAATTTCAATATTGCGCTGGTATTTTAAACAATTACGAAGCTGATATTGCAGTAGAAATAGCTAATAATTTAATAATGGTAAGCCATTTAACCATTTATTATATATATATATATTTCATAGAGTTCTATCATCCTTATTGAACATTTCATTCCAACCTATAGAATGGACTAGACGCTCAAGATATTGGAATAATTACACCTTATACCTGTCAAGTTAAGTTAATTAAGGAAAAATTAGGTCCAAAAAGCGAAATTGAAGTTAAAACAATTGATCAATCTCAGGGAAGGGATAAAAATTGTATTATTTTATCGTTCGTAAGGGCAAGATGGACTTTGAATGAAGAGGGGAAAGAGAGCGATACTTGTCAGGAAAAAGTTAACGAGCAGGGACTGAGCGGAATCCTCTCGGATGAGAAGAGGTTAAACGTATCGTTAACAAGAGCAAAATGTAAATTAATTATTATAGGAAATAAAGAAAAACTCTTATCCTATCTACCTTTTAAACGATTCTTTTCAATTTTGAAAGATAATCAAATATTTCGTCTAACTTCTAAAAATTAATTAATTAATTAATTAACTACTAAATATTATGCATGTTTATATTTGACCTTTTAACCTTTAATTTAATGAAATATAACGTATTAATTGTTTTTATTTTTACTCTTTTAATAATAAAACTATACCCGTTTAAACAGTTTTTTTTTAAAAGCTTTAATATAGATATATTGACGACTGTTTGATATTCCATCTTGTTCATATACTTCTCAACAGTTATCTTTTACAGTTTCTCAGTTAAAACTAACTAAAAAAATTGAATCTTTTCAACTCTTGTAGGCCTAAGATCGGCTACATTTGCTAACTATATTTCAGCTAGACTAGCATACGGGTTCTAACTGCCAGGTACCGCGCAGTCCCGCGCAGTAGGTAGTTTAACCCTCAAGCTAATATTTTATTTTCTGCCGCTTGTAGTCTATTTATGAACTAAAAATGAATATGGTTACAAAAGCTGTGCAGGACAAAGGTAATGCAGTTGATTTTGCTTATTTTTTTATAAATAAAGTTAGGTATAATACTTGCGTTTGATACCGAGCGATATTAGGCGTTTTTACCCACTCGACGTTCCCGCGTAAAGTATACGCTGCGTCGTTTATTGCTTAATTTTTGAGCATGATGCAATTTATTCGTTGTCGGTGATAGTGATATGACCTGTCCAACGCCTTCCTTTGATCTCTACGACGATTTGGTGTCGTTCGACCATTTGACAGAGGTTAGTTAAGTCTCTCTTGAACAGAGTTAGTTACTTCATCGGTTTTGTCTTGAAGGAAGCGGGTAAACTTGATAAGGCCGAATCGGAGATCACCAGTTTGAACGATCGATTAGAATATTTAACCAAACAAAATTCAGATTTAGTAGAAAAGAATCTTCTATTAAGGAAAAACATATCGAAATTATATAAAACTGCCAAGAAGGAAATCAAGCAAAAAAATGATGTAATTAGAGAGTAAGTGTTTTATTAAAAATCAACAAAGATACAATCTACTTATTAATAAATAACATATATAGTTTGAATGAGAAATTAGAAGAATTTGAGCGGAGAGAACGAGCAGATAGATCCCACTCCAAATATTCAGATAGAAGACGACATAGTAGCAGAAGATCACCTATTCGGAATAATAAACGTTCTCCTACAAAATCTAGATCGCCTAAACGATTTAGAGATAGATCAATATCGCCAAAATATAGTGGAAGAGATTGTAGACATTCCTCTAGATCGAATAGACACAGATATAGTCCTCGTACACCTAGTAGTGACCTTAGGAAAGGGGAATCGAATAAATATCGTAAAAATGAGAAAAAAGACATCAGTATTAGTCAGAATTTTAGTGAATCCCTCGAAGATGGAGAAATAGCCGATAGCAAATACCCTTCGGTAAAGACTAAGAAAGAGGATAGAGCTGAACATTCAAAGAAGATTCCTCCCAATAAGCGTTTTGATAAAATAACCAGTCTTACAGATGTTCAATCGTCCTCCAGCGATATTTGCGGTACAAGAGGTGATAAGAAAGCGGATGAATCTAATAAGAAAGAGAATAAACGAGATAAAAGGAATCTTAAACGATCTAGTCTAGAATCGGTGGTACGGGTAGTAACGCCGTTACAAGAGAGAAATGTTACAAATCATTCATATATTGATAAAAATAAATCCATACCTAGAAGTCGACAGAATAGCTGGGATAAAAATAACGATATTTTAAAAACTGGTAATGAAAATATCGCTAAAAGTACTACTAATCAAGTTGATAAGTTACCGTCAAATGAGAAAACTAATATTTCTCCTGATGCTGGGAAGCAAGACTTGAATAAAGTAACTGATATATCGAATGATAATAATGATAATGATGACAACCGCCATGATAGGAAAACTTTACATTCTCACCTTCTCAAGAATACGGGACTAGGTAAGAAAGAATTGGACGCTAAAATGGAAGAGATTTCGCAAAGAAATGAAAAAATTATCAAAGAACAAGAGGACTATTGTATAACTAGCGATTATAAACAGGCTATGCACGCTGTTAGAACAATGGATAGGAATAATAGGAAGCGGAAGAGACAAAGTTTAGATTTTTGTAAGAAGGACGATGAAGAACAATTAGAAGAGATAAACGATATTGTATCTATTCCTTCTGTACAATCTATTACTTCTTTGAATTCCAGTTTATCTACGCAAATAACTACAGTTGATAATATTATCGAATTAGCTCGTAAACAAACAAAAATCAATCAAGATAAATTAAAAACTTGTCGTAACGAATCGAAAATGACGGATAGTAATTATTATTTAATTCCTATTAATTTACCACCTTGGTCAAGGGTCAAAATGCCGAAAATGGCTGAGAATAGGCCAAGGTCACAAACGGCAAATATACCTGAAAATAGGATAGGGGATATTAAAGATCCAAGAATAAATCATTATCGTTTAAAATGTTCATTAACGGATATATTATTAACGAAAGATGATAATTTAAGAACATGTTGGGGATCGAAAGATACGCATTCAGATAATATTAAAGAGACGCTTGAAACGAGTCATCATTCAGAGATGGATATATCGAAGACGTCTTTTAATTCTTCGAAAAAGTCTACGGATAAGAGTCTGTCAATTTCCGCAGGCGAAGAGTTTGATGGAAAAATATGGTAAACAATATACAAAAACTAGCTTTTAAAGTCTTTTTAGATACGTTAAACTTGAAGATAGAGAGAAGCGTTTTTATTTTTAATTAGTAATAATTAATTAACTTTGTTTTTACGTAAACAACAAACATTAGCTATGTAAACATTTTCCATTCAGCTCTTCGAATAAGGAAGAAGGCTCAAGAACTAAACCGATTGATAGTAGTACACCGTTCTTCAAGCATAAGATAAACAACGACTTTGCAGTTGACGTCTCACCTGTAACATTTTCGGATTCGAAAAATTGTATGAAGGATAATTTTATGAAGCCTCCTCCTACTAGAAATTTACCAATAATTAATCTATTCGGAACAAGAACAGATAAAATTGAACGCGCTAAAAGAACTTGTGTTGTTATTGAGGACTCTTCAATATCATCATTACTCCATTGTCTCTTGGATTTTGCTGATAAATCATTAAAATTGAAGGATAATGATAATGATAGGAGAAATGATGATCTAGATAAGATGTTCGAGAGAGCTTTTCACATTTATAGTACTCCTGATAAAGATCTCTACCTTCCAAGATTAATTGGTGACGATACGAATACAACGTCACTATCTAACTGGCCAAATCATGACTTTGTACCCCCAATGACCGACGATACAACTATATCGTCACCTTCAAAGTGCTTTGATAAATATATTAATAGAATGGCTTCGCTTTCCGATACAACTAAGTAAAAACGTCTAGCCTTTTTTACTATATATCAGCGTATTGTCAAATTATATTGTAATATATCCTGTACCTTTTTTCCTTATCAATTATTAGACATAGTTAACATTTTTGAATAGAAGGTCGAAAAAGTGAATATATATGTCAAAATAAATTTATATTAAAGTAATCTAAGGCCGCCTTTATTGTCTCTTCCTCCCCTCCCTCCTCTCTCTCGTCTCTCGTCTCTCTCTCTCTCTCTCTCTCTCTCTCTCTCTCTCTCTCTCTCTCCCTCTCTCTCCCTCTCATTCCTCCGTTTCTCGCTCCTGTTTTTTATGTTTTTTTGTTTCATTTCGCAGCCCCTTTAGGAACCTCTGAAAATCTTCAGACGATGGGTATTTGCGTAGAGAGTCCTTTAAATTGTTTATGCTTAAATAAGGACAGTAGCTACGTTGCGGTTGCAGGTAGAAAAGGTAAATATTATAATATCTCTTAAATTATGCTTAATAAAAGTTAACATTTTTCTTTCTTCCTTGTTCAAGTATTCAAGATTTACGCTCTCACTGAAGATACATTTGACGAATGTCATAATTTAAGAATTGGTAAAAATATTAATTTAAATTACTCCACTTTAGACGTTGTCTGGAATCAAAAAGACGGTAGGCGTTACTTTTTCTTCTTTTTTTTTCTGGTTTTGTTTAATCTAATAATTGATAGATCATATTTTGGCGTCTGCTGCAACAAATGGTACTGTAGTATTATGGAACTTGGGAAAGGTTTCAAGAGCTAAATTCGGTTAGTTGAGTTATTTAATAATAAACTAATTAATTAATGTTAATTAATATTAACTAATTAAATTAAATAGATAGAGCTTATAAGGCTCATAAGAGAACTGTAAATAAACTGGAATTTCATCCAAGGGAAGCTCACTATCTATTGAGCGGCGATCAAGAGGGTTTAATAAAATTATTTGTAAGTATTTTATCATTTTCAATTCTTAGACGTTAAATAGTCAATAATACTAAATGATTTTCAATATAGGATATAAGATCTAAAGAAGCTAATCCATCGACAACAACGTTCAATAGTAAAGTTTCGCAAGGCGTTCGAGATGTTAAATTTAGTCCTCATTCGGATCATCAAATTGCAGCTGCATTTGATAACGGTTGCTTCCAAGTAAATATCGACTATCTTTTATCTATTATATTAGTTATTGTATTAAAATTATAACGTAAAACAATATAGCTCTGGGATAGGAGGAATCCATCTAAACCTGAGAAAATTATTCCGTCCCATAATGGACCAATATTTAGCGTTGATTATCACGCAAAAGAACCTTGGATAGCAACGGCCGGAAGAGATAAGTTTGTAGTTTGTTGTTGTTGATTGTTAATTGTTTTAAAGTCTATTATTTTTAAGATCCATAAAAGTTTGGAATGTTGCCGATGGTAGCTATAATTGTTTATATGCCGTACAAACAATTAGTCCAGTTTGGCATATAAAATGGAGACCTCAACGACAATATCATTTAGCATCTTGCGCAAAAGTATTAGATTTCTCTATAAACGTTTGGGACGTTCAAAGACCTTTTATTCCTTTTGCTACATTCGAAAAGCACGTTGACGAAGTAACTGGTACGAAAATATAAAATAGAAACAATTTCATAATTTATTATTATCTTATCAATTTTTAATGATTCTCTTCTAGATATCGCCTTTAAAAATAATAACGATATCGCTATATTATCCTGTAGTAAAGATGGTTATTTATATCAGCATGTATTTAAAGATGCTAGACGTCCTATTGAACGAGTTAATCAAGTCAGTATAGATATTAGCGTTTCCGGTGATATTGCTAGAGCAGTTAGCGACGAATTCTTAAGAGGTATTCTATATTATTTTACTTATAAATATTCATAAATTAATTAATATTATTATCTTTCTCAATTTCCTATTGGTCGAAAATAAAGTTAGTAAAAGATCATCATCCTATTCGGCTGCAAAGTTTACAAGTGTATTTCGTAAATCTAATGAGAAAATTGAAGAATTTAGTAATGCTCATTCATCAGTAGAAATCTTTATGCCTTCCAACAACTTGCCCGACGCTTCGATGGAATGGTTTGTCGAATGCGCTAAAAAATATAGAATAACTGGTGGTAGTATAGAAGAAATGAGTAATCATAATGCTGTAGTTTCCGTTGAATTGGGAAGATATCACGTGATTATATTCTATTATTTATTTTAGTTATAATTTGAAATATTTTTTATTTATTCTAGGTTGCTCAAACTTGGAGAATGTTGCAAGTTTTATATACGGCAGCTAGTAATACACAGTCAATGAATTGTGCTAAAAGTGACGCTCTAGCTCTAAAAGAAACTGAAGGTAACTTACGATTTTTATATATAAATCTATTAAATACGTCTATAGGGGCGTTATGCTTATTTGTTTATTTTGTTTGAGCAGCAGTAACAAAGTTAATTCAAGAAAAATCAATTGACGAGAAGACAAACGAATCTATTCAGGTATGTAGTACAGCCGAAAAGGAGAATTTGACTGGAGAAGAGTCGGATATGGATGAGAAGAGTAGGCTAGAGAATATGCTCTTAACGCAAATAGCTAGAGGAGTTGATCATAACGAATTAGAAGGATTTTGTTCGGAGAATACGGATATTGATAATTTCGATCTGGACGAAATGGAAAATCACGATTGGCCTATGCCAGTTGAAGGTATTAGTACTCGACACGAATTAGAGATGGGATCGGATTCGCTAGAAGGTTGCTTACAATCGAATCCCGTCTTAAACAATTGCGAAGAGATGATCTCCCATCAAGTTATTGATCACGGTCTATTAAACGTACCAGATTTTACTAACTCGTTAATCTCTTGGGATTTTAGTGATTTTGTTCATTCAACGATGGAGTATTTCGTCGAACAAGGCGATGTTCAAACGGCCGTTTGTATTATGTTGGTCGTTGGCGATAAAGTGGAAGTTGATGATGTGAAAAAGTACAATTGGCTTATGTCATATGTAGACCTACTCAGTCAAATGAAATTATATATTGAAGCAACAAGGGTTATGAGAGCTAGCTCATTGGAGGACGTTTCAACACTGAACTGCACATCGACTACTTATCTTTCAACTTGTGCAAGATGTGGTAAAAACATTACAAAAACTGGTTGGTTCTGTGTTAAATGTCCAAGAGTAGTAACGTGCGTTGTTTGCCATCAACCAGTCAAAGGTCTATTTGCCTGGTGTCAAGGCTGTGCTCACGGTGGCCATATTAATCATATGCGGGAATGGTTCTCATCGAGGAGACAATGTCCTGCAGGTTGCGGTCATTTATGCGAATACATATAGGAAGATACAAATTATTAAATATTAACAGATTTATTATTATTAATGAAAAGGAAACGCCTACAAAGTTCTAATTTTTCTTGTCAGCCTTTAAAGAATTGCTAGATTTATCGTTAAAGTCAATCCAAGATCTTATATAATCAGGACAGTCCATTTTTAATTCTTCTTCCGGAAGATTTTCTAATTGTTTTAGAATTTCTAGTGGTGAAATCTTACGAACTGAAACTTTAACGTACGCAACGGCACTTGTGAAATTGTCTTTTAATGATACAAACTTTTGTTCAACATAGAAACTCTTATCGTCGAAATAGACTAGTTTCGTAATTATTTCGTACTTTTCCCAATATTGAAGTGATCTCCTATAGCGGATTGTAGACCCTGCCACTGAAAGTATAGCTTGTTTCGCTAATTTCTTCATTGAATGATATATACCTTTTTTTTTTTAAAAAAAAAAAAAGAACAAAAAAGAAAGAAAAATTAAACGCTTATTAAAATATTGTTTCTATACCTTACCAGTTGAATAAAAGAAGCTTATTCTAGAGAAATCCATATGCCATAGGTATCTACTATTGTTCATGTGTAGAAAGATATCTAAATCTCTAAGACCTACTTGCCCCTTCCATTTAAGAGAATTTTTAATGGACTTGTTAAGACTTCTCTTCATAGAGAAAGTTAATAAAAGACATTGCCAAAGATATTGTAAGTCGAATAAATGATATAAAACAATACCAATTAATGGTAATACAACTTTGTAGCTTATTTCAATCATTCTTTTTTAACTCTTTTTTTTATAAGTACATAGGGTCACCGGAAACCGGATGTAGAATTTTTTCATCAAGACATCACGTGACACGTCGAAGAATAAAATTTAAATCTATATATCTGTATTATGTAACTATGATAAAATATACTGATTTAATTTAAATGAAACTTGATCGTTTTACAATTGTGTTGTTTTTACAATAAAAGCAGGAATGGACGAATAGAACCTCGTTTTGAGTATATTGTTAATAATAATACGATTCGATTTATTCTATAGTTTAAAAGTCGTCTTTTAAGAAAAATACATTTATTTTAAGAATAAATTAGATAGATTGATAAATAGATAGACAAACAAACTAACTAATTTACTAATTAATAAACATTTAATCATTTATTCAATGCTCTTTTTTAAAGATTGACTGGAATGTTCTTGGAATTCCATCCAAGATTTTAAAGCTTTTGGACATTCCAACTGTAATTCGTCCTCCGATACTTTAAGGTAAGATTTAAACACGTCAATTGGCTTTACTTTAACAAACGCCAACTTAAGATAGGCAATCGAACTAATAAACTCATCTTTCTCTGATATAAATTTATGTTCCATATAAACGTTCTTTTCGTCGAAATAAGCTATTCTTGATACTATTCTATATTTTTCAAACAACTGTAAAGATCTTCTATAACGAATTGTGGAACTTGCCGCCACTATATAACCATTCTTGTTGAATTTATACAATTCCAAATTTAGGCCTAGAATTTTCAAAATTTCAAAATTTATTAATAAGCTTAAATTTTTTCTTACCGGAAGTGATAAAGAATATTGCTCTAGAGGCGTCCAAGTACCATAGATATCTGGCATTGTTCATATGAAAATAACTATCCAAATCTCTCAAACCGACCCGACGTTTCACAACTAGCGTCTCCTTAATCGTTCGAAGTAAAAATTCATTTTTCTTTGAAAAGTACTTAATACGTATAAATTGGAAAAACCATTGTATATCAATGAAATGATAAAGAAAGCAACCAAACACTGGAATTAATACTTTGTAGTTTACCTCAATCATAGCTAAACTTGAAGAGAAACTGGGATGGGGTCACCGGAAATCGGAAGTGAGGTAGAGACGGAATAGAGGGAATCACGTGATCATTTGAATATGATTTCAAAGAGGGAAAACAAGAGATAACAGCTACAATAATTTTATTCTCGTTGTCATTGGTTGATATCGTTTTCTTTATTTAATAAATCAATAGGAACTCCAAGAAAGCAGGCTAAATTGATTCGTTGAGTTCTAAAAACTAAAGCTACGAGATTAGCAACGAAATAAGAATGCAAGGAAAAATAACAGTATAAACTATCTTCTTAACCTTTGACCTATTATAGGAGTAAATTTTATGAATAATTAGATGAGATTCTTTATTGTAATTCATTTAATTTAATATTTCTTGACCTATACCCTTAAGAGAAAGGGAAACCCGTTTTAAACATTGATCTATTGAAAGTCCCTTCCACCCACCTCTCCATCCATTCATCTACCTACTCGTACACTGTACTGGGATAAAATCTAGCCACCTTTTATCGTTCTATCTCCATTCTTTTCCAAAATATTGAGTTGGAAGCTCATTAAACTCTACCCAGGATTTTAAGTGCCTGGGACAATCTAGCTCAACTTCTTCCTCCGACAATCCGAAATGATACTGCAGTACTTCTTTTGGTTTTAAGCCTATAAAAGTTCCTTTTACATAGGCAAGAGCGCTGATGAAGTCGTCCTTTTCCGAAATGAACATTTGTTCAATATACATGTTCTTCTCATCATAGAAAATCAATTTCGACACAATCCGATAACATTCCCTATATTGTAGAGATCTTCTATAACGAATAGTAGCTCCTCCCATTACAATATAAGCATTCTCATTCAATTTTTTCACAGTCTTATTCAGACCTTAAAAGATTTTCAAACTTAATTTAAACATTTAACTATTTTGAAATTTGTTCTCTTACCGGAAGTGAAAAAGTATTGGTATCCAGCGGCGTTTAAATGCCACATATATCTAGCATTGTTCATATGAAGGTAAACATCTAAATCTCTTAATCCGACTTGCTCTTTTATTTCAAGAGTATCTTCAAATTTTTTAAGATAATACCTTTCCTTTTTATTGAATAGTTTCATATATAGAATTCTTATAAACCATTGTAAATCCAAGTAATGATATAGTATACAACCAATAGCTGGAAAAATTATTTTATAACCTAATTCAATCATAGTAGCGTTTCGAATAAAATTGGGATGCGGGTCACCGGAAACCGGAAAGTTAGGTACAGCAATTTAAATCACGTGATCAAAGTGGGAATATTTGAACAGAGAAAAGTTTTGACGTTTCATATGTTCAATTGAATGCTATATTGAATGAATGAATAAATAAATACAGTATGTACAACATATATAGGTCATAACGCTATTTAATGTTGTTGTTTAATGATTGCCGAGAGTTTTCATTGAATTCTAACCAGGCCTCCAAATATTTGGGACATTTTAATTCAAGCTCTTTTTCATTCGCTCCAAAATGTAGTTTAAGTATATCTATTGGTTTAACTCTTAAAAGTGCCGCCTTGACGTAAGCTATTGAACTGACAAAGTTATCTCTCTCCGAAATGAACTTTTGTTCAACATACATATTCTTTTCGTCGTAGTATACCAGTTTTGATGATATTGTATAGTTTTCTCTATATTTTAAGGATCTCCTATGATGGATTGTTGAACCAGCTACCAAAGCAATTGCTTTCTTATCCAACTTAAACATTGTTTTATCCAGACCTTTATTTTTTTTATTTAAGATGATCATTTAATTAAACAACTTTGTTTCTTCTTATAAAAGATAATACCTGATGAGAAAAAGAATTCGTATCTTGAAGCGTCCATATGCCATAAATATCTGGATGTGTTCATACGGAAGAAAATATCTAAATCTTTTAGGCCTACTCTCTTTTTTACTTCTAGGCTATCTTCTAAGTTTTCAACCGATACTTGTCGAGGCTTAGTAAATAGTTTTAAGAATATGGTTCTTGAGAACCAAGGCAAATCGAAAAAATGATACGCCAAAATGGCAGAAGCCGGTAAAACAAATTTCAAACTCGACTCTATCATAGTTTTTAGCGTTCTACATTTATAGGATGAGGTCACCGGAAATCGGAAGTGAAATTTTCTTGTGACGGTCACGTGACTATATTTGATTATTCTTTTTTTTTTATTATCTTTAAAATTTCTCACTATTTCGTAATTGTTGAGATGAAAGTTCATTAAAATTCAACCACGATTTTAATTGTTTTGAACAGTCTAATTGAACTTCTTTATCGTTAAGTTGAAAATGAAGTTTAAGTAAATCAATTGGTTTAAGATTTACTAAAGCTCCTTTTGAATACGCAATAGCACTAACAAAGTTATCCTTTTCGGAAATGAACTTTTGTTCAATATAAATGTTCTTTTCGTCGTAGTAAGCTAACTTTGTAGATAATTTATAAGTTTCTCTATATTCTAATGACCTTCTGTAACGGATGGTGGTACCCGCCCCCAAAAGAAAGCTATCTTTATTTAGTTTCTTCATCGAATCGTATAGTCCTAGAAGGAGGGAAAGGAAACACATATAGTTTAAGATATATAAAAAATAGGCCTATCTTTTGTCTTTATTACCTGTTGATACAAGAAATTTATTTCTTGACAAGTCCATGTGCCATAAATATCTTGCGTTGTTCATATGAAAGAAAATGTCCAAATCTCGAAGACTAACTTTTCTCTTATCAATAAAACTATCATTTATAGACTTTAAAGAATGTTTATTGCTGAATACTTTTAAATACATGAATCTGGAAAACCAATGAACATCTATAAAATGATAGAGTAAGGTTCCAGTTGCTGGAACAAGAAATTTATAACCCAATTCCAACATTATCGCGCGTTTAAAGTAATAAGAAAACTAGGATGAGGTTACCGGAAGTCGGAAGTAGTAGTATGGTTGTAGAAATCATGTGATCATTTTCAAAATTAAAGAAAAGATTAAGTTTTTATCAAGTATTTTTCGAAAATAGGTATTATTTATTGGATATTAATTTGAAGTTTTAGCAGCTTTCAACATATTACTGGATTTATTAATATATTCTATCCAATCTTTTAAATCTTCTGGACATTCCATCTTAAGTTGATCTTCTGGTAGATTTGTAATTTCTTTCAAAGCTTCTAAAGGTGTTAAAACTGGTAAAGCTATTTTAGCATAAGCAGTAGCACTAAGAAAACCATCTTTATCCGATACAAAATTGTGTTGAATATATATGTTTCTATCGTCAAAGTACTTCATATTTGAAATAATACTATATTTTTCCATAAAAGCTAATGATCTTCTATATCTAATTGTACTTGATGCCAATAAGAAATGCGGTTTAATTGACTTTTGCTTAAGTAGATCATAAATTCCTGGATGGAACATTTTTTAAAGTTATAACAACATATTATCATTTAAATATATCTTTACCCATTTCGAATACATGGAATACTCTGACAAAATCCAAATTCCATAGATATCTTGCATTGTTCATGTGAAGATAAATGTCCAAGTCTCTTAAACCTACTCGGCGTTTTAGTACTGTCGAGTCTTTAAATGACATTTTATTAGCTTGTTTCCTGGATAATCTAAATTTATTTATTAGTGAAAGACATCTCAATGCATAATGTACATCAAAAAAATGATAGGTTGCCAAGCCTATTACAGGTGTTGCAAACTTTAAGCCATATTCAAACATTTTCCAAATTATATCTTCGGTCGAAACTAGGATGCGGGTTCACGGGAAGTTAACAGTCCTGCAGTAAATATATAGAATGTCACGTGATCAAGTTTAAAAATTATATAGTTTATAGATATACTCTATATACTGTATATCTTATACTAAAGCATAATAATGACAAAGAAGACGATTGAAATGATATACTAATAAAAGTAATAGTATTTATTTATTCAAATTTATAGAACATATAGATCTTATTGAAATAGAACATTTAAAAAAAATACCACTTTTTTTAATATTACTTAGTTCATTATTGTTCTTTTACAAAATAAATATTAAAGACACTTTAAATAATTAGAACAAAAATAGTTAGAAAAGAAAGATTTTATAATGAACGCAGGAAGAAAAAAAAGATTATGGCAGTTATAAGATAAAATGGCATATTTTCCTCTAAAGATGATATTCTTCAGGTAGATGTTTTGTTATTATTAATATTATTATTATTATTATTATTATTATTATTATTATTATTATTATTATTATTATTATTATTATTATTATTATTATTATTATTATTATTATTATTATTATTATTATTATTATTATTATTATTATTATTATTATTATTATTATTATTATTATTATTATTATTATTATTATTATAAAACCTTCATTGTTGTTTACTTATTCGGATATTGATTTTGTTATAACATTAGCTTGTTCTTTAGCTTTTAAGATTCTAGATATTCTCCTTAAAGGTAAGCAGATTATTCCTGCCATGGCTAGAGTAGCTCCAGCCAGGACGAACGAAGGTGTATATGACTTTGTAGCGTCGAATAAAGCTCCTGTAAAAAAATTTCACAAACACAGCTATATGATATACTGTTCCAATGCCTATTCTGGAAGAGGATTACTTGTTAATTAATGCTTGTTCTTACCTGCTGCAGGTGCTCCAATAAAGGAGCTAATACCTTGGCACATAGTAACTAGACCAAATGCATTGGTTAATTTATCTAAGCCTATAAGGTCAACCATGATAATGGAACGCAACGACACGAAAACAGCTGAAGGAATGAAAAGATAAATGAAAAGAGACAGACCGACCTTAGATTAATTTTACCTATGCACATTCCAAATATCGACGATACAAGGCACATTGACCAATAAGTCGTACAGAGAGGTATCATCATTGTTGCAGTTCCACCAATTATTAATGCTATATTATTAATCAATAAACTATCTGCCCACGGTTGATCGGAGATCCAACCACAAAGTACCCTGCTAATTGTGTTGGCAATACCAATAATTGATATTAAGAATGATCCCTTAGATTTAGATACGCCATTTTCAACAGCATAATCAATCAGGTATGTAAAAGGAATAAAGAAACCTAAAATAAAAGCAATTAGCTAGTAAAAAGCAATCCGATAGATGGCCTTATTAAAGTAATCTTACCAAACATGCACAAGAAGCAGCTAATCCCATATATTTTGAAAACGGGATTGAGTAACAATGAAAAATCCATAGTCTACAAATAAAGTAACACAATTAAGTAATTCGTTTGAAGGATGTGCTCTGTTCAATAAAAATCTTACCTGTTTCATTGATGCAAGAAAGCTACTGCAATATTTTGAACAGCCGCTACTCTTTTCTAAATCTTCTTGTACTTTTACAGCTTCAAGATCAAATTTATCCTCATTCTGATTTAAACTTTTAAGACTACCACTGTTTTCGTTTTTGATTGTAAAGAAAGAGAGAAAAATAAATAATCATAATTAATTAATTTAGAATCATTTTGGAAATTACTAATTTCGAGCTTGCCTGTAAAATCTATCTTTCCGATAAAGCATTTTAGTCTTATCTCCATTAATCTGATAAACAGAGAACATATAAAATTAATTGTAATTGAAAATATATAGATAAGACATTAGATTATATGAACTACTAACAAGGGAATCTTTAAGTATTAAATCATCCATACTCTTGCAATACTTTGCGCATTCTGGCGATTTTACATTGCATATTTCTTGGTAGCTTCTATTTAAATATTTATTCCTTTCGGATTGTGAGCAACCGTTTATATGAATTCCATTAGAATCATTATTTTTTAAATTATCTTTTTCCTTTTTCATCTTAACCTAGATTTTTAGAATAAACAAGAATTATTTAAAGAAATATTAATAGGGAGAAAACCTCTAAAGGACGGAATAAAGCTCCACAAACAAGTCCATTTAAGACGACACCGGATATTATAATAGTTGCTCCCTTCCATCCATAATTACTTATCAATGCATTACATAGAGGAGAAAATATAAATCCTCCTATCCCTGAACCGCAAACTGCAACACCTGTAAGAGAGTTTTAAAACAAATCTAATTGCAAAATAGAGACAAGAAACATAATAATGAGAAGAAGAATAAGGAATAAATTTGAATCATATGGAAAAAGATCTTTTTTCCATTTCTTCAATCACTCTCTCTCTCTCTCTCTCTCTCTCTGTCTCTCTCTATCTGTCTTCGTTTGCTATTTATGGCTAAAAGTGTTAAATTTCTTTTCAAAATAATGTCACTTGGTGCAGAATGAAATTATTATAGGGATTTTTTATTTTGTTCTATCATGGTATAAGGGGTTAATTAAAGGAGTTTCTGTAAAATGAGAATCGTGGAAAAGACTAATACTATTTCTTTTGTTTTTTTGTTTTACAGTAAAACTTTTACAAGGTTATAATGATAACAGTTGTTACTCTCTTTATATATATATATATATATATATATATATATAAATCGATATATTATCAATAATTGAATAACTTATCAAGAATACGCCTAATTTGAACTCGGTTGTTCTCTTAATACTTTTTTATTTTTCTGTTCAAGCTAACTATCTTTCTTTTCGTCCCTCTCTACGCCTGTCTGTTTGTCTCACTGTCTGTCAATCAAATTTTTGGTATAGAAATTTTATGTACCTGTTGCTAGAGCTCTTCTCTTTTCAAAGTAATAACCAACCATAACTATAGATGGTAAATACATTAAACCAAAGCCAAAACCTGTAAATGCAATATGAGTAATAAAATAGACCTATTTTATTTCTATTAATTCTCTTACCTCCCAATGCACCAAAGGTCACAATCAGTACATTAATATTTGGACTAAAAGTCGAAAGAATAAATGCAATTGTTGATACTATACTCCCAATTATTGTTACTCTCCTACAACCGAATTTATTAGCGAGAGCACTAACAAGTGGACCTGAAACATAAAATCTTGTTGAAATATATAATTTATAGATATAAATGTATGTAATCATATATAATTAGAATAGAAAGAAAAGATGGAAAATTTGTAAATTACCCATAGATAAATACATCCCATTTAACACACTTCCAACAACAGATGTTTTTCCCTTAGATTCCTGATTTTTTTGTAAGAAATTTAATTTAACAGTTAATTTATAGATGTAATTCTTACCTGGAAATACTCTAGGAATTGAATATAGAATATTCCGAATGAAAAGCAAACACCATCAACAATAAGATTAATTATAAAACTAGAAAACATAATAACCCATCCAAATCTGAGTGAATAGAAGGAAAAAAACATATATAGGTGATTATATAAATATCTATAAGACATCTATATAAATATTACCCCCCATCCGGTGGTACTGGAAGCTCTGATAAATTTTCCTCTCTTTCCTCATCCTTATTCGCTTTCGAACTCATTTTTTCTCTTTATAATTTACTATCTTTTTTTCTTCTTCTTCTGTTTCTTTTTTCTCTTGTTCTTGTTCTTTTTTTATGTTTCTTGCTCAGTTTAATTTTCCTTTCGTTGTTGAATTTTTATTGCAAGTTGGAAAAAAAGAGTGAGAAAGGGAGAAATAAACGAAGAGAAAAAAAATCCTAATATAACTTGTTTTTTTTCTTTCAAATTCAATATTATTCCATTATAGCCGGTTAATATCTGTTTAGAAACATAAATATAATATAATAGTTCATGACGAGAGAGAGAGAGAGAGAGAGATTATTTCACTATCTACTTTAAATCTATCTAGCAAGAGACAGAATGCTGACAGCCTTTCATCCAGAAATGATGATGTACATTAACAAGAGAAAAATTGAACTTTTTTTTAAAGTATAAAACATAAATCAGTTAAACTGATAAAGGCACAATAGACTAACGTTTGATAAGCTGAAAAGATTTATTCTTATCTCTTTTTGAATATACAAGGTGACGTTTCGTGATTGCAAAATGTCTCGTATAGAAGGAAATTGTTCTAATGTTCTTTTATTCTATTCTATTAAGACTTTATTCGAATTAAAATCTAAAATAATATTAAAAATTATACACGTTTATTAAATTTCTTAAGGAATGAACGAATATCGTTAATATTATCCTTAGTCTCTTATATTCTATATGTTGAATCAGCTGATAAAAAGAATATAATCTAAAACGTTGATTTAAAGGCAAATTTCACGAACTTTGTATTGTAAATAAGAAAATCATATCAACAACTTACACGTGGTTTCTTAAAATGAATAGCAAGTCATCGATTCATTATGAAATATGAATTTTAATAACCTAAATTCTCTCACTTTCGGATTGAACTAATGTGAAATGTTGATTTTGCCATGTTGCTGCGGAAGGGTTCCCATTTACTATGGTAATTTTTCTCATTTTAACTAATTTATTTACTAATAGTTATTCATTTTTAATCGGTTAAAAATTTCTAATAAAGTTAATATTTTATATAATAAATAGAAACTTACTATTTCAGTTCTTATCGAAGACTGATTTGCCTAAAATCAGCCTCCATCAACAATTGACATACTACACCCAACCTTAAACGTTTCCATCCACTGTAAGCTATAGGGCAGGCAGCGTATCCTAGAGAATAGTCTATTCTGCTCGTATTTGCACCAGTATATGTAATAAGCCTATAGATTTGAAAGCAAATGTTTCATAAAGCATAAAATAGCTCACAAATTGTTAAAAATCTAGTTACATAACGTACATTCTATATATATAAATTTATATATATATGATTGATTCTCTTCGTAGGCCTAAACTGTTTCTGTATGCACAAAAGATCATTAATATAGTTAAACGTTTATATATATATATATATATGTATAGAAATTTCATTGAAATACGCTATAACAGAGTCTATCACATATATTATTACACACATATGTATTACTTAAAAATTCGTTCAAGGTTATAATCTTTATTATCTGTTCTTAAACTATATCTCAAATCTTCTCTTAATCGAAATACAAATGACCAATTCAAAAATTAATCGATAATCTTATGTTATTTTTGATAATCTTACAGATAAATCAATTACTTATTACTTAATAGAGTATAGATGTATAATCCATCTTCTTCTCTCATTATAGATTATCTTATCTTAATCAACTATTATTTACGTGCATACATATATTAAAAAATAGGTCTAGTATAATTACGAATAAACATACAGACTTGTTTAAAAGTTGAAGAAATAGTGTTGTAGAAAAAGAGAAAAGAAACGATGATTCTACTAAAAGAGTTGAATGACCTATTCAAATATAATCTTTTTCTCTTACCAAACAACTTGTATATGTTATATAAAGAAATATAAGACAAACATGTATAAATCTTTATTATATATATAAATATATCTCTTTAATTCTTTGTTGTTTTCCATATTCTTAATTTTCAATTCAATACAAGAGTACAAACTCTTTGACATGTTTATTATAATTATAACCAGAACTTTGTCAGTACTTGATCCTTTTTTTGTTGTTATTGTTGTTGTTATTGTTGTTTGTATTGTATTCTCTTAGTACAACACTCTTCTATGTATTGTATATATATATATATAAAATCATATACATCTATCATCCTCATCCATCCCATACAAGTAAGCTTTTTAGAAAGAAATCAATATTTTTTGAATGCATACAAAATTAAAAAAAATGCATAAAAGACAATCTCAACATGGACGAAGGATTAGACACGAAGATACAGACAGACACCTGTTGATATTTACTACAAGAGAAAGACTTTGATACCACTTTGTACAAATTTCTACTACAAGTATCTACTTTAAAGTAGCATATAAATTTACGTTGTTGCATTATTAATGGACTATTTAATCTATTTTTATACTATATGTAGCAAAAGATATAATAATAATGAGATTAATAGTTAAAAGTTCAAATCAAAGGTCTCTCTCTGTCTCTCTCTCTCTCTTTTGGTTTTTCATAATATGAATAGGATGAGAGAGAAATAACAACAACAAAAAATACTCCTTAATTATTCCTATTCTCACTTTCTTTCAATTTAATCCAATTAAATAAACAAATGACAAACTTATCCTTAACGAAGAGTATGGAAGAGAAAATAGAAGAATAATATAAACGGAAATAAGTTTTACCTGTTCAGAATCATGAAATTGATTGAAATAGGTAAATTCAAAATATTGTAGCTTAAGGGTAGAGAAATTTCTCAAGAAAATAAAATTCTCGAAGCGTGTTTGACCTGATTTTAGACCAGCTAATTTTTTTCCTCTCTTTCTCTCTCTCTCTCTCTCTCTCTCTCTCTCACTCTGTTCAATGCTCTCCATCTGTCAAGTGGGTGAGATAATCAAGAAATTAGAATAAATTCAATAAATCTCAAGGTGGTCATTAGATTAACGTAAATGTATAAATATACTGTATATACTGTATACAGTATATAAGCCTTATCTATTCTATACATCTATTCCCTTATCAAAAGTAGTAAAAGTGTTTAGTGCGCAAAAAAAACTATTAAAAATTCAACTTCTTAATTAATTGAATATGTGTTTCTATTGCTTCTTTACACAACAGATGGCGATAAGGTCGATGGTATTCATTTTAAATATTGAGTACCAGAAAGGAATTTTCTTTTTACCAATTAGCTATAAGAGTAAGTTATAATTGTACAAAGTATATTTATCCATTAAAAAATTGCCCTTCGTATAATTGACCTTCTAACTAGACATAGGCCTAGTGTGACGTCTTTTAAAATTTACATAGAACATACATAAAGATAATTCGTTCTTTTCTCTTTTTATTGGCTGTTGTTGTCTTTTGTTTATAGGCCTATTAAAGGGATAAATGGAAAGACTGAGAGAAATCGCATCTCTAATAAAGAAATTTTACATAAATTAACATAAATTAGTTAAAATTAAAAAATTTGAATTTATTACTGCAACGTTAATAATAGTTTTATCATATATTGTATATAGTTTTCAATAGCAATTCTATACTAATTCTTATTATTAATTAATCCTGAGCTATCATTTTCCATTTCCGGTTCGTTCTGATTCCAGTTTTTATAAAATACATCACCTGACTGCCCAGAGTTACTTCCACCGGAACCACTAACCTATACATATATACATATGTTTATTGATGTGTTTACGTGTACATTAATATATACAATGTATACTATATGACAAAGGTAAAGAATCGTACATCACCAGATCCAACATGATTAGAATTAAGTTGAACGATAATACTAATCAAAATCAGAATGATTAGCAAACGATAACTCATTTTCTACTTTTTCTTCTTCTTGTCTTCTTATTATAGTATCTTTTGTAGATTGGCCAAAAAGACGGATTAATACACGGAACGTATATTATCCAAACGTATCTGATAGACAATGATTCCAATTATTCTTTTTTATACAGTAAATTAATTGAAAAGAGTTCATGACTCTTGCGATTATGTAATGATTGTAGTATTTGTCCTATTAGAACCTATGACTATTGGCAAACTGAGAACTAAGTAATATTCATTCGTTCTCTCTCTCTCTCTCTCTCGCTCGCTCTTCAGTCCATTTACAACCATTTGTTTCTTTTAGTTTTTTTATTCAAAATCAAAATGAACATATAAAATCAAACAATGATATAGAATAGGTATGAAAATGACATATATATCTATATATATCCACTAGAGGGAGCTTTAATGCTTCATTTCCAGAATGTATTGGAATAAAAGGCCCAACTGAGAATTCACTTGCTAAAGGCAAATGAAACTAAACTAGTTTGGAACCCAACTTCTTTCTTTGCTCTTTCCTTTACTTCGTAGGTTGTTCAGCAGCTTCATTGCCATTGTCACCACCTTCGTTGGCTTCATTTCCAAAAACTCCTCCAGAACCCTCGGATCCACTTCCTCCAGATCCCTTTTGGAATAGAGGAATTGATTGATATAATAATACAACATTTTAGTAAGTTTTACTTACACTGCCAACAACATCCGGAGTAGCCGTAGTGTCTTCAGTAGGAGCAGAATTCACTTTTGTCAAAGCGACAATCATTAAGAAGACGAGGAGCATACGGAAACCCATTGTAGAATAGTAGTGTAGAAGATTCCTTTCAGAAATAAACTTGTAAGTTGGGAGAAGCGTCGATGTTGACTGTTCAAGTTGTATGAATACTCTGAGCTGAGACGCGCTCTTATATACCCAAAAATTCTGGCGTTAGAGTTCATGACTTTGCCTTATTGCATAATTTAACGAATAGGATTCAAACCCTTGAAAAAAAAATCCTTACTTCAGCATTTTTCCAATCTCCTTTCTCTTCTAATTTTGTTAATTTGAGTACGAGATTATTCTTTATTTAATGTAAGAATGTTAACGATTTTAGGTTTTTTATCTACATCTTCTTGTTCTTTTTCTTCTTCTTCTTTTGACTATTTCTTTAGTTAGGTGATAAAAAAAGGCTAAAACAAAGCATGAAAGGATGAGTAATCTATTCACTGATTACTCTTTTATTCTATCATTCAAAAGAATGGAACAATTTTTGCTTGAATAATTAATAAAGATTTGGGAAAATATTATCATTTTTCTTCTTCTGGTGTCCTTATTATTTATTAGATTTTATATAAAAACAAATCTGCAATGTTATATTAAAACTAGTAAGACAAAGACCTGAAAAGACGCTACAGGTAAACAAGAATATAACGCGCAAAGTCAGCACATTTTTACATCTCTCACCTTTTGAACCTTTTCTTTTGTATCGATAAATTTGACGACTAAGCAACTTTCGGAAATAGGAAAACGACAGAAAAGCAAGAAAAATCTTAAAGTTCATTCCAAAGTTTAAGTAGTATTTAACAGATTCAAAAAAAAATAATAATAGATTAATTATTCATGTAATTAATATTCAAATATATTCATATAGAAAACACTTTAATAAGAATGGAATATTCCATTATAAAAATAAGAATTTTTCATGACAAATTTAAGTTTGTTTCTTATTTTTTTTATATTAAAAATCAAGTATGATCTCCTTGGACTTGAAGTAAAAACTAATGCGTTTTTTTACAACTTGACCTAATTTTTTTTGGATGATAAAAACAGTAACATCTTTTTGATATTACTTTTCAACAAAATATTTAATTCCATTTTAAAATTCTTGAAAATCGTTCGTTTGGTCAACTTAGGGCTTGGAGGGAAGGGGAGAAGGTGGGATGGTGGTGGTGGATGAGGAATCACTGAATTTCTAAGAAAGTCGAAAGAAACGCCTGTTTGTTTTCAATGAAACCCGTTTAATATTCAATTTTTTTAGATACGACTTCCGACAGATGGCGCACGTGTGAAAATTTTCTATATTTTTCTTTGTTTATGATTATTTAGATTGAATAATTGAAATTGAAGGAAAAGTTCATAAAATTCTGTTCAAGGACAGAAGAGTAACGAAAAGAGAAGAATTCCTTCTTTCTCCTTTCTTACTCATTCAATAGAAACTGTTTCAAAATATTAATAAACAGGTAAACTATTTCAAGGCTACCTTTTGCTTTCAAAAGGGCTTACTTCAGCTAGATTTATTTAAATTTGTTTGAAATATTATAGCCCAAACTCTTCTTTTAGGGTTATGCATTGAATGTTTTATATACAATATTATCACGTGATCAGTGCATGCTTTTTGTAGCAATATTTGCAGTCTTATATCTATAGTTTAAAGTATATAAATAGCCTACAACAATAAAATAAAAAATGTAACGCCCACGAAGGAAAAAGAAACGTTTGGTGTTTTTTTTTCTTGTCAATCATTGGTTACAATATATTACCTAAAAAGTATCTTTCCTATTAGCATTCTCTCTTACTATTTCTAGTAAGCGTCGAATGCAGTTTTGGAAAATAATGCAGACAAGCAAAAGAAAGGTGAGATCAAAGTTCTAGTTTTCAATTTGATTGCATAATTCTTATAATATATAGAAATATAGTAATGTAGAAAATCTTCAATCCTAGTACGCTTTTAAAATATATACAAATTTCGCTTGGTCAGCTAATTTCCGTTGTTTACCTGTTAACCTTTGATATCTATTCTCTCTGTCTCTCTTTCAGCTTGGATTTTCCTTAATAAATTTAACAGGTCGTCTACATATAAAACATCTTTACATTGCAGCAAACTATCTTGTCTTTCCCTTTTAATATCATTGACATTTTATCGTTCATTCATTTATAATTAATATCGGATATGGAAGTATTGTCTTACTTTGGGGAAATTCTTTAAGATAGGAAGATATGAAGCTCTTACTTAAAAAAGGCAAATGGGGAAGGAAACATAAAAAAATTAAAAAGATAGAAAAGAACTTTTCTTGCTTTATCTTCTTCTTCTCCTTTAAAATGTATGAAATTCTCTACAAGAATAATATTACTCTCTCTCTCTCTCTCTCTCTCTAACTTGTCATCATTCTACTATACTAGTTTCATTTCATATCGATAGATGGAGTCAAATAGTAGATTTAATGGTTTTATTCATAAGTCAAACGTATCACTACTTAGATGAACTATAAAGTTAATAATGTAAAATTTCTAAAGAGATATCACGTATTTTTCAAACTTCTTATCTAATCCATCATTCTTAATTCTAAATATCCTTCTCAAGTAGTATAAGGGGGATCCTGATCACTACCCGATTCTCCAGCCGATTCTGATCCTTCAACTCCATTTTCGCCGCCTCCTGATCCTAAATTTGTTCCACTTCCTCCCGATCCGTCACCAGATGCTCCCTAAAATGGTATTTTTTTTAAAAAAAGAGTATTTCATTAGTATTTATTAATAAGCGAACGTTTCAAAAATTATTCTTACATCACTATCACCGAATACTTGAGCAATGCTAAAAATCATAAAGATGATGAGACAAATACGATAATTCATGACTGAATTAAATGTCAGAGATATAGGCAGAGAGAGAGAGAGAGAGAGAGGGAGAGAGAGGAGAAGGTAAAGAGTTGTCAACTGTAGAGGTAGGTTGTTGGAGATGAACTGATGATTGAATGACGAAAATGGTACACTATATATACGTTTCTCCAGAGAGGTAATAGTTCATGAACTTTTCTAAATTATATAATATAAATGTTCCTTATCTTTTTATTTACTTTTAAATCGGCGTTTAAATCGCAAAAAGGATGTGTATTAAATATTTATTGAAATGTGAACGAGTATACATTGTACTTGCAGTTTTAAATGAACGAATTAGATGGTTGGATGGATGGATGGATGGAGTTATGCAGCTGGTTTTGTTACAGAATAACAAAATGTTTGTAAAAAGGATTTAAAGATTACTATCCAAATCTGTAATAATTTTTAAGGATCTAATAAAAGAGTTGTTAGATCTATCCCTCTCCTCATCTTTCTCTTCTCCCTCCTTTATATCCCCCTACCCCTCTTTCATAAACTCTTAAAGATTATATAAATAATCTTTTATTAAATAATTTCTTTACATTTTAATTTAAGTTCATGAACTTTTCCAATTACATAATTTGGAACTTTTCTTATCTTATTTACAATTGGAATTTATTTACATTAGGTCAATTTATAATATCGAAATTTGGACCCTAAGTTTACTGCATCAAATATAATAAACAATAGTAATAAATTAATTGTTAAAATCTCTATATAGATAAATCAATTTTATCTTTCTACTTGTAAAAATCTGGTTGAGAAAGAGAATGGGGAAGATGGGAGAAAATCTCAAATAAATGCTATTTTATTATTTTATTGCAGTACAAGAGTTATTTTTTTCCTTTTTAGTTTTCTATTTATAGACTGAAATACTATGGTATCTATACTCTATAAATATCTACATTATAATTATACTGGTCATTGTCAATTAAACAATATCAGATAGGTTTGTAAAATCATCCAGCAGGCAGTAACAACAACAATCAATTCTAATAGAACAGTGTTGATTATTAATATAAATGTTTCTAAACAATCATCTATGTTATTCCGAGAAATAAATCATTATAATAAAAGTGTGAAGCCATATTTTTTGTCTTTGTCAAGGTCTCTAACGCTTTTAACATTCATTTCTTCAAAGCTATTCGATACCTTGTATTCGAACTTGATAAGAGTTTTTGAGGTTTTTTTTAATTGATGCTCAAACTTCTAACAGTTTAAAAGGAGAAGAACTTTGCAGTTAAGGTTGAACAACTTTGAAATATTGAATATACTGTATGTTTTTTATCCTTATAAAAACTCTTCTGTAAGCCCAATCATTTAACATTCGTAGTTAATTATAATAGATCAAAGCTAGTATTCATATAAAAACTTTTGCACTTTGATGTGATAAAAATTGTTGCAAATTCTTTTTATATATCATTCCAAGGTGATCTTACACTTCATTAATTTAGTGAATGTTGTAGGGCACTAGTTCAATTAGGAAGAGAAGCTTATCCAAGGATAATCTCAATCTTAATCTACATTTTGGTTAAATAGTAAAATATAAAATATTCTGCCTCCATTGTTCATTTACGAAGATGTTGGAGAAGCGAATTTTCGGGTAGGATCCTCAAGCTGCAATTGGATTAAGGTAGGCAAGAAGTAACAAATGATGAATTTCTGAGTGTCAGGTATGAGTTGTTGGTTCGTTCAAATCCAATTTAGTTGGAGTATTCATTTGCGAATACTTTCAAGTTGAAGTAGAACTAGAATCTATTAGTTAGTGACTGATGAATGAGGAATATACACATTTAACAATAAATCAATTACAAAAATAAGGCTAAACAGAGGTTTATTACAAAACATCTCGACTTTACATGACAAATGAAACACTTGGCCATAGTTCTTTCATCCAGAAGAATTGATGAACTATATTATAAGACTATACTTTGCTATTTATATCTAAGTAAATAATGTTGGTTTTCGATAGATGGAGCTGTATGTCATTAAGGTGTTAATAAGATGTTTAATTATGTTCCTATAAAAAAATTCCTGTACTCATTGGAGACGTAATTTCCGGTTTGTTGTTGTTAGCTTTAATTCGCTCTTTCATCCTTTTTTCACGATGTTAAATATATATAGAATAACCAGTTAACAAATTGAAAGGAATGGAAAAGATAGAATTGTAGAACTTTTTCATCTGATACATGCAACTGTTTATATACTGTCTGAATACATAGACCTACACAATCTAATTATAGCCAACAACATTGTTATTCGCTAAATATTTGAAAAACCCCTCCTTCTCCCAACACCCCTTCTTTCAGTTTTTTTATCGGAAAGGTTTTTATAAAATTATCCAATATTACGTAATCATTAGATTAAGACTCTATCATTGGTTTTTTTCTATTTTAAGGAGAGTTTTTTTTTTCAATTGAAAGGAAAATCGTTCACAACCAAAGTCTTTCGCTTGATATTTTAAACAAGTACAAACTATATTGAAAAGTTTAACGTTTCCCTTAAAAATATCTTATTTTTCTTCCATTTTTTCCCTCTTTCTATTATTATCTTCTTTTTCGGGATTCTATAAAAGGATATTATAACAGAAAGAGTCTTTCATTTTATTGAAGAAATAAATAAACAAACATAACAATTAGTAATTAATTAGGTTGTTTGTTTATAATATTCTTTTTATATGCAAATGTAAAAGTATCAAGACATCCTCCATGATAATTTTAGGAAGTGTCAATAGATTAAAGGATAAGTTTGTTATTGATTTTTTTAAGTTTCATTTCTTATCATCTTTATGTACCAGTTTATTTTATAGATTTACTTTAATGAAAGTTTTTTAATTTAATTAATTGGATTTCGAATGATAGAATAAAACGTTTTAAACGCTTTAGTGTTTTTCGCTTGAAACTAATCTTTTGTTATCTTTCAAGAATTCTGAATTTCGAAATTTGTAAGCTTACAAGTGCGTTACGTCATATTACGTTAGGGTATCAAAGTCACGTGATAATTTCGTTACGAAATACCCCGTGTATATATAAAGAGAGCTTTACGTACATTTGGCAAGAACGTTCAGAGCGAAGATGAACTGTATAGCACCCTCCAATTTCCATTATCCATATCAGGTTTTGTAACAATATTTAGTCTATTTGAAGAATCTCTCATATCTGTTTGTTTGAAATATTTTCAGACTCAGTCAATTAAACGGAAAGATGGCCGACGATATCGTCAACTGCTACGTAAACCAGAAAAAATTAGTACTGTCAAGTGCAAACCTCCCAAGGTGATAAGGTCTCCTAATAAATGCACCTTTCAATTTACAACTCAACGTATCGAACAACATGCTACAGCTGCACTCAGATGGACTTTCTTTACTTCAGCCATTTTCATTGATGAAACTACAACAATATCTGTTAAAGTAATAAGTTTAGGTTTGAAAAATTTTCTCGAATATAACAACGTAAAGACAAGGTTACTTCACATTCCTGGAACCATCGAAGAAGACGTTGATATTGCTCTAAAATTCCATTGTACAATCTACACTTCCGATAAGGATTTATATTATGTAGATAGACAATTGCTAAAGAATAACTTTGGTAAGACAGTTATAAAAGTTTTGGATTATGAACAATTCTCTAAAAGGTTGCGACTTATTTTACTATATTGTCGTACTTCTCTCTAAATGATTCTCTTTTAATTGTGAAACGAAATAGTCTAGTTAAATGATATTTTAGTTATTTTTTTTAATGATCTCTTAAAGGCGGGAAATTTTATGATTATTGTCGCATTTAATTTTAACTATTTTAAATTGTAAATTATAATGAAAACAATACATTTTAATCATAATAATTATATTTTTTACGAATGTTCTACAAATTCGAATTATTGATATATCTATTTAGTGCGGAGTTATAAAAAGCGGTTCCATGTCCAATAGAATCTTAGTTGGTATATATCGTTATAGCAACGTCACTGGACTGAACAGTGTAAACAACTTCATGATTGGATTATACGTAGGTGATTGAACTTTTATGGACAGCAAACTTTTTCCAATATATATACTGCAATAGTCAAGGAAAATAACTTGGATTTGATTGTATAAACTACAACACTTTAGTGGCCTACGACCCATGTAAGTTCGCTATCAATATCATCAAATGTATCATCAGTATTTAAAAGTAATTTCACAACACGTAAAAAAAAAGTCGAAATACATACAAGATTAACAAATTTTCTGTTTTAGGCAGTTTTAGTATGAGGAGAAGAATCTCTCATGAGTCAACGTGTCCAGCCCTTATCTTCTTCTCCAGCTAGAAGACGGTAAATAGAAAGATTTATTGTGGGCGTTACTATTTATGTTGTTATTTATTATCAAACCATTCATTCATTCATTGCTGACTATTTTTGTCCAAAAAATTTTCTTTAATAAGAAACAAAAAGAGGAAATAAACCTAAACTGTACTTTCATTAATAACCTTCACAGTGTTCGTTTGAATTCTGTATGCCGAAAGATTGATTGTGTTAAATTAAAAGAGTAAGTTTGTTTTTTTGTTTCTCAAGCGTTTTCTAATTCTATTTCTCCTCTTCCTACTCTTACATGATTGAATGATTGAACAGATGGTGATGATGATGATGATTTTTTTATTAATTACTTAATTATCTAAATTTTAATAGGAATGAATTATTCGACCTTGATCTGTTGGTTAGCTCTTTAAAAACAACTGCACCGAAATATAAAGCAAATGGTAGAGATTGGTCAATAATTGCGTCAGGAGAGCTTTCATTACAACACAAGAAAGATTTAAGCCTACTTGAAAGTTTCGCGAAAATATACTATGAAGAAAGGAACTTCAGTAGACTTAAACATAAACAAACTTTTTCAAATATTCTTAATTTGATTGTCGATAATCGTTTAAAGAAAAAAGGATGGATTCAAAATTCTCACGCAAAGCTCATTCATCAAGTTCTTCTATGCCTAAGATTGCTATTAAGAGATATTAAGTATTTGGAAGATTTTATAGAAAAGGATGCTATCGAAGATTTAGTTGGATTGTTACAAGTTTCAATAGAAACCTATTTCGAAGCAATTGACCATTATCACCTAGTTGATATTATACTGGAATTAACTAGTTAGTTTATCTTCGTTAATTAAAATTTAATTGATAAAATCAACTTTCAATTATTTATACTTTCAATAGACATCTTCCAAAAACTAGCGTGCCATAAAGTGAATCTAATAGATTATTCCATTCAAGATTGTCTTATTCAACTTTTACACTCGGAAGAGAGTTCCGTCTTGCAGTGTTGCCTTCATACTTTAATTGGTATCGGTAGCGATGGCGATAATCTGAAAATTCTAAGTGAATTAGACTTTGTTAATGATTTATTAAGGATTCTACAGGATAGCGAATCGAATGCTAAAAGTCTCGCTTGCAAATTATTACGTAATTTATCCAGTTTTAATGTTGTTAAATCCGATGTACTTGCCCACAATGGCCTTACTGTTCTCTTAAGCCTGTTGAATTCGAATGAAAATTCAGTATCGATTCTCAGGAACGCCGCTTGGTGCCTAGTGAAATTAGCAACCAATCCAGAATGTCGTGAAGGTATTAAAAATAGCGGAGGAATACCTGTTCTCCTCTCTCTACTTAGCGAAAAGAACTATTCTCCAGATCATCAGACTGGTATACATCCTGCAAGCGCATCAACAAGTAGAACACCTTTGAATGAGGTATTTCGAGTTTTTATTTTTTATCATCCTTCTTATATCTACTTCCTGCCCTTCCTTCCATTTTTTAAATAGGTCTTTTCTTAATGTTTATAACGTTTTTGTCCAGCATCCAAAGGATGATAAAGAGGTAACCAATTCGTTAAGCACAATTAATACATATGCGTTGTACTAGTTCGTTATTATTTTATATTTATATGTACATTTGTTTAAGCAGATATTTTCCCATTTATTTTTGTTTTATAACTCTGAAAGCATATTCACTTTTCCTCTATCAATCCCTTCTCTTTCTTCCCCCCTGCCCCTCCTCTTCCCCTTCCTCCACCCCTTCTGCCTAATATATTTCTACAGTTAGATATTATACATGCATATATACTGTATATATAAATATCTCACATTGTTTAAAGAAACCCCATATAATAATCAACTATTTATGTACTGTATCATTCTTATTACTTCTATATTAATTTTAAACAGTCGCAAAGTCAGGAATATCGTGATCAAAAGCTCCAACTGAAGTGTGCGTGTTGTACAGCTTTGGCTGAGATATCAAAGACCGATTCATGCGCTTATAAAATTGTTCAATCGAATGGAATTTATATTATATCATCTCTACTTTTCTTAACTGATACTTCACATTCCGAACGATTTAATTTAATGAAAAGTGTCTTCCGGGCTCTTAGATTTTTATTTTCATTAGATCGGAATAGACGTTATTTTAAACGCCTATTTCCGCCGAAGTTGCTTGAACCTTTTCTAGATGTTGGACATTACAATCACGATTTACAGGTAATCTAATCAAACATTTCCACTTATCATCAGATATTATTATATAATTGGTTTCTATTTAGGCCTACGAGTGTCTAGTAAAAACGTTTGACGATCTCGATTCGGACAATTATTTATTAATTAAGGATGCGGTTGCCCAAGTGAATTTAAATGCTGAACCAATGAAACAAGTCGAAGATTACTCGGTACTTGAACATTTAGGATCGGGTTCGTTTGGTAGTGTTTATAGAGTTAAAAAAATTGGTGGACAAACACAACTAGCGTTAAAAGAGATAAATACAATGCAAGCAAACTTTGGAAAAAATTCAAAAGAAAGGCAAAAAAGCGTTGGCGATTTAAATAACGAATTAAATATAATTAAAGAAGAATTACAACATCCAAATATAGTAAAATATTATAGAACTTTTGTTGATAGTAAGTGCATTAAATCGGCCTTTTGTATATATAGATATATTTATAACCTTAAAATCTTCCTTGTAATAGATAATAAGTTTTGTATTGTTATGGAATTAATTGAAGGAGCAGCTTTACAAGAACATATATCCAGTTTAAAAGAGAGAAATGAAGGATTTGGAGAAGAACGAATTTGGGGGATATTTGTCCAAATAGTTAGAGCATTAAACTATTTGCATAAAGAAAAGAAGATCATTCATAGAGATTTAAGCGCCAATAATATAATGCTGTCGGATACTGATAAAGTAACTATAAGTAAGGGGATTTTTTCATTCGTTATTCACGCTTTTTTTCTTTATAGTTATTGTTAATTTTTCTAGCTGATTTTGGCCTAGCTAAAAGAAAGGCTCCCGATGTAAGCCGATTACAAACAACTGTTGGTACCATAATATATTGTTGGTAAGCACGATTTGTTCAATATTTCTTTCTTTAAATCATTAAAAAGTTTAAGCCTATTCTTATCATTTCCTCAGCCCGGAAATGGTTCAATCGGAAAAGTATACGGAGAAGGCTGATGTTTGGTCTGTTGGTTGTCTACTATATCAAATGTGTACATTAAAGCCGCCATTTTACTCGCAAAACATGCTTCATTTAGCAAAAATGGTTTTGTATTTTATAAAGAATCTTTCTTTGATCTCTATTGATTGATTGTTATTTTTAGATTGTTGAAGCAAAATACGAGCCAATTTCACCAGATTATTCCGAAACCATGCGCTCGACAATAAATATATGCTTAACGCCCGATCCCGATAAGAGAGCTGATATCGTCCAGGTTGCTGCTCATATCGCTCATATATTACTTGAACGTATGGATAAAATGGAAGTTTCTCTACAAAAGCAATCGAAACTCCTTGAGGCAGAACAAATACGGAGTGTTGGGCCGTATAGACTAGCTTCTCAGGAAAGTCGATGGTCGAGTAGTTGCGGTGGTGCTACTAGTCTTAGCTACGAAACGGATACTTCCGAGGATAATAGAGTTTTGTTAAGAAACGCCAGCGTACCCGAAGAGAATGGGGCCAGTGACGACGAGTCGTCTGTAAATGACAGTACTGGGCTTCCACCGCGACCACCAGGACATAAACAACCGGCAAGTAGTCTTAGGAGAAAACAACGAAGTGCTGAAAGACTAAGAGATCTGGATAGAGAAAATATGGACAATGACTCTACTGTTCGAGCAGGTTCAGCAGGTAAAAAATCAAGACCTCTTTCGGCCGGTTCTAGTTTATCAATATCACATAAAAATATCCGACAAATAATTGATCCTGTCTCTTCAATACTGTGCGAAGTTCACAAAGTTCTCTACGCTTGCCAGTTGAATCCTCCCAATTCAAAGGCATGCGCGAGAAGAAGATTAATTGAAAGATTTAAAAGATTGCTATCGCACCGTTCATCAGATGTAGCTCTACTCAAAGAGAATTTAACAAAATTGGAAAAAGGAAGCAAAGAATTTGTGGATCTTGGAGATAGCTCGAATAACTTATGCTTGGAGGCTTTGATTGAATGGGCGGAGAAGAGTGGTGAAATGTTGGATAAGAACTTTGTTGGAATAACTTACGAACAACTACGAACAATTATTGACAGTTACGTTATTGAGAACGATTACGAAGTGAACCAAAAATATTATAGAACATTTAGTCAACCATCCGCTAGTCGTTGAAGACCATATTGTCAATAAAATTCTGTCTTTGTTCCTCTCATCGTAGGAGAAAAAGGTGCAAGAATGAAATAGACATCTAACCTTAATCTCTTCAAATTTACTATTAATCTATAGAGTAGCGTGTTAAAATGGAAGTGAAAACAACTATACTGCAAAATGAAATCGATACTGCAATAAATACGTATCTTATTATTTCTTGTATCTCATCTTTTCTTACGTGCTTTTTTCTCCATAATAATCTTAGCACCTCTGCTGAAATAACATATAACGGTTCTTATAATACGCTGTTTGTCATAGTATTTCTGGGATGAATTAGATGAATACAAAGTATGCTAGTCCTTGTTTTTGTGACCAATATAATTTTAAGTATTTCTTTCAAATCTCCTCATATATAATAAGATAAAAACTGTCTTATTATCATTATATAGTATAAGTAAACAACATTTCTTTAAACTTACATTAAATACATATTTCAAATAGTAGAAATACTTGTACAACTCTACAACCTTGCCGAATTTTCAGGCAGGCTTAATAAATATTGCAAAAACGAGACTTGTTTTATTATATTATTATAATTTATGCAAATGATGTAAATCTAGATTGAAAACATCTACTAATAACGAATCTTTGTCGAACTTTCTCCACTCTATTTTCGGTTTTTTGAAAGATTCTTAAAGAAAACTGGTAATTCAGTTTTGTTGCAACACACGTATGGATTCGTTATTTATTTTAAAACAAGTTATTAGATCAGTTTTGTAGTATTTTATTTTATAAATGACTACAAAACAATGAATTCGGAAGATATCTTATCCAAGTTTCAGTTGAAGCCTATTCGCGTTAATAAATTTGAAGGTCGAGACAAATACATGAGCGATAATAGAACTTATTTAATGATGCAATTACAGGGGACGACGGTGATTTGATTTCAAATAGTCTAATTCTGACGCCAAGTTCACAATACCTTGAATTGTTAGTTAATAAATTCACTTCGGATAAAAATTTCGGACAAAGTGTCTTAAAATGTAAATATAATGGGAAAAAGTTTTCTATTTTTCTTTTCAACGTTTGTTGAGTTAATAGGGTTAAAAGAAGAATTTCGACATCCAAAGAATAGGAGTTCAGCAATAGAAAGACTCAAAGATGAATTCGACGCTGCCCTACAATCAATAGTTTGTAAAGCAGTAATAAAACTATCGGAAGTAAGTATGATATTCGTAATAATTTCAGTTCTTAGTTATTTGAACTATACTGAATTACGTAGAATTTCGATGATTCTGTACAAAAAAACCTACATAATTTACCAACTCAATCACCACCAAAGTAAGTTTTAACAGTAATAGATTAAATAAATATCATATAAGTTTTAAAAAATGTTACAAATAATAATAACAGAATATTTACGAGTATTGACGTAACTGAATTATCGGAAAGTGATAGATTCCATAAAGAATTTACGGAACGGGAAAAAATTGGTAAAGGAGGCTACGGAGCGGTTTACAAGGTAGAATATTTATTATCATTTAATTACTTAATACGTTCCTTTAATCATACATTAAAAATGATACATGCTCCATTTTCTTTCCATTTTTTAGGCTTGTCATCGTCTCGATAAAAAATCCTACGCTATCAAATGTATTCCTCTTAACTCTAATTATCATAACTCAGCCGCTCAGGTATTCATATATATATATATATGCAGTTTTTCTCTATTGTTGTAGCTTTCTTGTTTTATGAATATATATCCTATTTCTCACAATAGGCCCTAAGGGAAGTTAAACAATTAGCTAGCCTCCAACACCCGAATATCGTTAGATATCATACAGCTTGGTTGGAATGCGACGCAGTTAAACCTCCTAATTATTCCCGCCAACTATGTATGTTATAATATTTTTAATAAATTTTAATTATTCCTTTTTAATGATCTATTAAAAATAATAATAAACAACATAATAGCTATACCGTCGAATAGTAGCGACTCGGATGAAGAAAATATCTCAGAGAGTTTGGTAATTGAATTTAATTCGAGTAAAAATTCACTTGATGACAAAGAGAAAAATCAATTGGAACCATATTATTCTCCTCATCAAAGTATTAATTTTATCTTCCGTGTTAAGTTATGTATTCAAATGGAATTGTGCGAAACAACATTGGAACGATGGTTGCAGAAGAGAAATGAGCTCAACAATTTTAGTATTGTTAATGGGGAAAAGGAAATTAATATTATACGCCAAGTATTATTAGCTTTGTCTTACATACATGAAAAAGGGATAATGCATAGAGACGTTAATCCGAAAAATATTTTCTTAAAAGATATTTCAAACGATATTTTAGTTCAACTAGGAGATTTTGGGTTGGCAAGGGAGCTTTCTGACGAAGACTGTGATTGTACAATGAGTTCATTTACAACCTCAGGATATACTGACGGCGTTGGAACGAAATCATACGCTGCACCCGAGCAATTTGCCAGGAGAGAATACGATAACAAAGTTGATATGTACAGTGTAGGTTTAATATTAATTGAACTATTTTATGTTATTAAGACTGGAATGGAAAGAGACTATATATTCAGAGAAGCGAAACGAGAAGAAGTTAGTCTTCCAAATGAACTCTATACAAATTTCCCAGTGATAGCTCGTTACGTAAAAAAACTATTAAATCTCGATCCTAAAGCAAGACCTACCGCCGATCAGATATTATCGTGCGAATATTTCTCAAAAACAACTATAAATATAAATAATTTAATGGAAACGATTGACAATCAACAAAAATTGATTGACCAATTAAGATCTCAATTACTAAATGTAAAATCAAATTGTAAATGTGGTATATCTTTTAATATTTAACAAAAAGAAAAAAAAAAGAGAATAATTTTATAAAACAAGGAATAAATATTAATTAAAAAAAGATAAATTATTTTTCTTTTTAAAAAAAAAATTATTATTTTTTTTTTTCTTTTTTCTTTTTATTTCTCGGCGCGAAATAAAACAATAAAATTTGATGCTGGCACATTCTGATCGCTGTCGACAGACATTAATACAATTGAAAAAAAAAAAGAAAAAAAAAAACCTAAAGCACTGCAGTGAATTCGATAAAATTAAAAACAAAAATAAATAAATATTAATAAATATAGTGGATATAAAGTATTTTCTATTATATATAAATATATATATACATATATATATATTATATATGTATATATATATATCTATATATTGACTGGGCGTATGATATACTTAAAAATTTTTTACATGTACCTAATAAACATTTATATGCTTCTTTTTTTTGTTGTAATATATAATGTATATATATATATATATAAATATATGTATATATATATATATATATATATATATATTTACATACAAATATTTGACGTTTATATTAATCATAAACGCTGCACAAACACTTAATTTCGCGCCTAGTAGGAAAAGTGTGAACCAGCCACACTCGGGCTCTTATTCTTTCTTTCTTTCTTTTTCTTTCTCTCTCTCCCTCTCTTTCTCTCTCTCTCTCCCTCATTCTCTCTTCCTCTCACACTGCACACTCAGCTAACATCACTTTATCAGATTTCGATCTCTTCCTTTGCTTCGTTACTCTGCTTTCCTTAGCCGATGGGCTATTATCAAAATGGTTAACTAAATGTGTAAATTCTTTAGATCGAACACGAATCATTGACTTGTCGACATCGCGTATTATCGAATTTAAATCCATTGCGGCCAACCTATCCGAACAATTGTTCTCATCTTTCTCTCGGCTGGAATTCGAATTTCGCGAATTTACGTCCCCTTGGCTATTCTTGGAAACAGGAGAACTAGTCTCCGAATTTGACTTCTTATCGACATCAGCGAGTGGTCTGAGTCGATAAGGAGGTGGTCCATCGTTATCTGACGAATGGTCGCTGGAGTCTTTACGTAGTGGTTTGGGTGGCTTGCAACAGGATGGAGCCTGTCGACGACGTATATCTGGAGGGTTGTCATCCGTATCCGAAGCATCGGAAGATGAACAGGATCTCTGAGGATTAACACGTCTCCTGTTGCAACGGCGTGGTGGTAGGGTCCTTGGTGCTGCGCCTAATGGCGTCATTTTACCGGGAGGTGGGCCATCTTGGTCCTCCCTCTCCTCGTGAATTTGATTGAGTACTAATTGCGGTGACGAGTGAACGAGATGCAGACCACGGCTGGAAGGCCTATTAGAGGATGGAGGTAGAGAACACGCAATATCACCATCTTCGACGTCCGAACTTTCTTCATTGATAAGTGAACATCTTTTTTCAAAGACTCCACACTCTGCAGCCCCAACTCCAGTGGATAAGCGTAATATACTAGGCGGTGAAACAAACGATTGTCGCACGTCACTGTCCTTTCCCAATTCACCTGATTTGGCCCTGTTAAAAGAAAAGAATTTTTGTTTAAATTGAATATCGAGAGAAAGTAAAAAAAGCCCATAAAAAATAATTAAACTATTATTAATCTCTTTTCACCGATTGAACAAATAAAGCCGAACCATAAGTACAATAGAAATTCTTTACTATTCAGAAAGAACATAACTCTAGTTAGAAGCACCCGTCAAACGTAAGAAAAATAGAAAAGCATGCAAAAAAGAAATATATACTGTTTATAAATATATAATTTATATATATATATAGTATATATATATAGATATAAAGTAATAAAAAAATATTTAATACGTAAATTACCACCCCCATGTCTACCTATCTCTCTTTATTTATATATACATATATATATATAAATTGGATCTATTAAAAACACCAACATTCGCCAACAAGGCTTCTTATTCTACTCCTTGCTGTCCTTCGGTTTCGGCTAATTTATGATTTTATATACATTATTTATGTATGTAATGGTTGAACATCAATAAATTACTACTAAATATACATATTTATATATATTAATATATATATATATATATAAATGTATAATAAAAATATTTGGCTTCCTATTTATATCCTTTTAAATGAAAATACAGGAAAACAAGAAGAAGCTATAAATAGATATAAAAAAAAATAAACATCATTATCATCCATTAATGCCCACGAGTATTCTCTATCTTTCTATATATATATATATATATAATATATTTTACTTTCTTACACACTCTATATTTGAATGCAGATCGATATTAATCGAAATATAGAAAAAATAATCAAGTTAACGTTTTTAATGACTTAAGGAGGATAAAAAAAAAGGAGAATAAAGGAAGAAAATACATTACTAAAATTGATTTATCGTTAAAACGATGAAGAGAAAAAAACAAGAATACATTAAAACTATACTATATGTTTAATGAGATAAAAGCAAACAACTAAATCGCTGAAATATACAACAGTTAGGGCGATATAAAATGTTCGCCATACCATTCGTTAAAATGACCTCCTTCTACGCCTTTTACTTCTTCGAAGGACCTTTTAATTGTTGTATTCTTTTATCAATTATTTAAAGAATTAATAAAATATTTTTTAAACATTCTATTATTCTATTACAAACACACAAACACACACTTTTAATTAGATATTTTTAAGACATATTATGTAGACATTTATTCTATTTAACCGCAAATGATTAACAACATTTTATTATAGATTATGACAAATTAGTTTGATAACTATCTATAATAAATTATACATACCTTGGTGATAAGGCTAGTGAAGCGATATCGCTTGATTTTTTTACATTAGAGTCATCCAAAGACGTTTTGGATGTTGTTGACGAAGCTTTTGAAGAATCGGCTGATGAACGTTTTAAACGTCTCTCAGCTAATAAATAATAAGTCGCAGTAATACTGTTATATTCATCTTGTTCTATTGCTCTGTTCATATTCAAAAATATAGTTAGTTAACACTAATTAATAAATAGATATATACATTTCATTTATATTTATATTCCATTAAATATACCTAATAATATCTTCCTTAGGTGCCAGGTTACCTTCTACCATTTTCTTTATTATCTCGACATGATCATTTTCACTTATCATTGATCGAGAAATGACAGGTACTCGAGGTAGAGGTTTTCCTGAGTTGACCCAAGGATCTTCACAAATCTCACGAAGTGTAGGTCTATCTTTGGGCTCTCTCACTAGCATTCTTGTTATGAGACTATAATGTTGATTAATAATCGAAATTAATAATAATTTAATTACGTAAGGAATAGATTAGATTAGAGAAAACGAAGAAGAAGAACGTACTTTTGGCAAGAGTTTGAAACGTGCGCAGGGATCCTATATTTACAATCCATAATCATAGTTAACGTTTCACTGTCATTTGCTTCATGAAAAGGCGGTGTTCCACAAACTAGCATATATAAAATTACACCCAAACTCCAGACGTCTGTTAAAACATTAAATTTTTGTATAATCAATTTATCCTCAGTCAAATTTAAACAATATAAAATTACTAACCAACTGCTGGTGGATCGTAGCTATCTCCTAATAGAATTTCTGGAGCTGAATACGCAAGAGAACCGCAGGCGGTATCCAGATGCCTTCCTGGTACGTACATGTTACTAAATCCGAAATCAGTCAATTTTAAGACGCCGAGTTGTTCAAAGAACACGACATTTTCCGGCTTTAGATCGCGATGAACTACATGCATATCGTGACAGTATGAGATGGCTTCAACAATTTGGCGGAAATAGGAGCAAGCCTGTTCCTCTGATAGCCCTTTTTCATAGCGATTTATGTATTCATACATGTCGCCACCATCGCCATATTCGAGTATCAGAAAAAGCTTAGTTTGAGTGTCAATAACCTCATATAAGCGAATTACATGAGGGTGTTGAACTAATTTCATACAATTGACCTCTTGAAAAAGATGATTTCGTGATATTTCATCCAATTTGGTCTTGTCGATTACTTTTACAGCTACTTTTGCTCCTGTAAAGACGTGTCGAGCTAACCTGACAACTGCGAAATGACCGCGACCGATCGTCTCACCCAGATCATACATTCCGGCTATCTGGCCTTCGTAATTACCTTTATTCATCTTGATTCGCATTCTACATAACTAAATCCTATTTCAAGTACCCAATATGTTAATAATCAACTCCTCATAGTATGATGCGCCACTTTTATCGTCTTCGCTTTGCCTACACTTCCACTTTTTCAATAGCCTAAGTGCGCATGCGCTAGACTAATTTTTGCATTTCCGAAAACTGGTAAAAACGCTTTCACTAACGCATATTTCGCTAACGTCACCGTTTATTGCGCTCCTCGTGCAACTCGTTGTGAAATAGCTTTTGTGCAATTTGCTCGCCTTTGACCATTACCATTTGAGTTTTGGCCTTATCGAATAGCACTAAGGGAATTAGTGAGTTTTCATCGATATCTCTTTAATATATATTTGAGAATTTAATTTCTGAAATTAGCTAGTTTCATTCTATACAAATAAGTATGAAAATGGGGCAGTACCTGTTTACGAAATGTATTAGTGAAAAGCGTACTAATTTTTTTAATTAGAAAAATTCTTATATAAAATAAGCAGTTAAAGGGCATAAGAGCTTTTTTTGATTGATTGATGTACAAAAGAAGAGAAAAATCAGCGGATATTAAGAGCGTAATTAGGATGACTAGCGTGTTCGCGAGTTAAAAATTAATGTTTGGAAAACTCAATAAATCACGAATGATTATAGATGTAGATTTGTTCTAAATGTTATGCAATGAGTTATATTAAAAAAAAAAGAACTTGAAACCGGAAATGTTGATCAAAAAATTAACAACAGTTAGGCGTAACGCTTGATTTCCAGAAGAAGATATTTGTACTAACTATATTCTACTATTATAGTTACTATCGAATTATACAAATGGCTGTGAGAGCACAATTCGAGGGAAACAACGAAATCGGAGTTTTCTCCAAATTAACTAATGCCTATTGCCTCGTGGCTATTGGTGGAGCTGAAAACTTCTATAGGTAGGAAATCTTTGATTACATCATAAATTCTATGAAGTAAAAGCTTTATGCCTTTCTTTCTTCTTATTTCTTCTATAGTATTTTCGAGGGAGAATTGTCAGAGCAGATTCCCGTTATACATACTTCTATTGGTGGATGCAGAATTATTGGACGTCTTTGCGTAGGTACGTTATGGTTCAATTATTTTACTCTAATAAGTAGCTTATGTTACTTATTTTTCCTTCATCATTTATTAATAGGTAACCGTCACGGTTTACTATTGCCTAATACTACAACCGATCAAGAATTACAACATATAAGAAACAGTTTACCAGATTCGGTTGTAATACAGAGAGTAGAAGAGAGATTATCAGCACTTGGTAATGTTATTGCCACAAATGATTACGTTGCCCTCGTCCATCCAGATTTAGACAAGGTAACTGGCTGATAATTTCGTGAAACCAAATATATGTGCTTAAATACAATTATGTCGTTTTTCATTGAAATCTAGGAAACTGAAGAACTACTTGCTGATGTACTTAAGGTCGAAGTGTTTCGACAAACTGTTGCAAGCAACGTTTTAGTAGGGAGTTATTGCGTACTATCAAATCAAGGCGGCTTACTTCATCCAAAATGTACCGTTGACGAGCAAGACGAGTTGTCTTCACTATTGCAAGTACCACTGGTGGTAAATAGTCTCATTTCTAACGCTACAACGCTTTTTAATGCTTGATGGAACAGTAAGAAAATTAATATTTTTTTCTATTTCGATTCTAGGCAGGAACAGTGAACAGAGGAAGCGATGTACTCGCTGCAGGTCTTGTTGTAAATGATTGGTCAGGATTCTGCGGTTTGGACACTACGAGTACGGAACTATCAGTTGTTGACAGTGTATTTAAACTGGCTGACGCTCAGCCAACGACTATCCAGTCAACTATGAGAGATAGTTTGATAGACAGGTTTGCATTCAATTACTACTAAAAATGTGTTCCCATAATTACTCTTTTAATTTTACAGCCTTTCTTAGCTGAGAGACGTCGTAAACAAGCTGTACTTAGTGTATGATAATCTCCTGAACTTAATACATTTGCCTGTTACTGAATACCGCATATATAGCGAAATTAATATAAACCGATCAACGCGACACCTGTACATGTTTTTTCCATTTTAAGCGCGTTTGTGAGATGAAAAAGTACGAGTTGTTTCTCCTCATCTCTTTTCTCTTCGGTTCGTATGTAGTATTTCTATAGGCTATTATTTTCCCATCTTGGCGACTAGTGAATTAAACGAGAGTAACTTGGTACTATTCGAGTACTGCAATTATTTGACCTCTCCCATTCCCCATACCCACAGATCCCTTTATGTTCTTGCTTTTTGAAATGTTACTCTTTAACAGACTTTAGCTATTCGTTAAAATGCTGGAAATGCATTGGTTCAGAATGTGATAATCTGAAATCTTACTATAAGATAAAAACGCAAGATTGCTCTCCCGGAGAATCCTGTCAGAAAGTAGTATACAAGACAAGGGTGAATGAAAATATTACGTCTTATGTACGAAGCTGCTCCATGGGTGTATGCACTTCGTCGGTAGATTCTTCAAATTGTAAATAATTTTATAAGTCTTATCATAAATTCTCTTATTAATCTCTTCTCATTTTCTCCTCTGTATATTAAATATAGGTTCGAAGATTGATCATGACCTTAGACTGACTGGGTGTTATACTAGATATTGTTGTGAACAAGAATTATGTAATGAAATTAATATTAATCGTTTTAACTGGCTCTTCAATTCAGCATGTCTGCTATTTGTTGCCGTAATAAAATAATACTGTCCTCTGAAACTTTGTAAATTGAGTTTGTCAGCAAAATCTTTCTGGTATACGTTTACGTTTATTAGTCTTAAAGTTGAGTTGTTTGTCTTGTTTTGTTTCAGTTATTTTCATTTATTTTCCCTGAAATTGTTTCTATTTCAATCTGTCTTACTCTCAGCACTGTAACAAACAGCTGCCAGACACGAAACTGCAAAGTAGAAGAGACGGGGGAGAAAAACGCGTTACGCGTTAGCTTGTAATTAGATTGGCGTCGGATGAAATTAACTTCCGTCCGCGTGCGTTAATTACACTACCACCACATAACGAAACTGCCAGTCTTCTTTCTCAACTATCCTAGCGACATCTATTGCATAGGTAAAAAAAAAAAGCAGCGTATACCTTTTAAAGGTGAAGGTGAAATTTTATTCTACAATAATACGTAAATTATAATCACAAGTGCATTGGTCTTCGACACGTCAAAAACGCCTACAAAGACAATTATTCCAAAGGTTTGTAGTATAAAAAATTCTAGAATATTTTCTAGATGACCCAATATAAAAAAAAAAGAAATTTTTAACAAATCATTTTCTTGAACAGTTGTAGACTGAACATATGCATATTGTCGCTCAGATGGAGGATTTCTTAAAGTCAGACAATTCTCTTCTCAACCAATTTCTGCTTACATTAATTCTATTAAGATTATTGTACTTTTTGGCTTCTTTCGTTCTTGCAAGAAATCCCAAGCCGAATGATGACAAACTTCCAGATGATGTAAAAGTTCTCTTTTTTCAGTTCAGAAAGAGGTGGGTGATGAATAATTGAAGCATTTCAAATGATATCGCAACTTTATAGCTGTCATTAATGGACTTTTTTCTATATAGAGTAGCGCCAATTTTCTTCTTTATGTTCCTAAGCACGATCTGGTTTGCTTGGACAGCCTATGCAAGCTTTTGTAGAGACGGAAAGACTACTGGATACACTCACTCTCTATTGGAACGAGTCCTACACCCGAAGCGTTCAGCTTCAGTTGATACAACTTCGATTTTTCTTGCCTACTTTCTCTTCTTTATGCATGTGACTAGACGGCTGAACGAAGGTCTCCGAGTTAGCATTTTCTCTCATAGACAAGTGATGTCTTTCCCTGCTATGATTGTACAGTACATCATAGGCCTTGCTATAGCTATCTCTATCCTTGCCGATGGGCCTAATCTTGAGGAAGCAATAGAAGGACGTAAGTTGTATTCTTTTTTTGGATATAAATTGAAAGAAGGACAAGTAGTTCAAGTCTCGCGTCGAAAGTAGCGCCATCTCTATGCGATATGGATACTTGTACGAATAATACTATTATACTTTAATGACACATTTTTATACAGGTTGCTTCGGAATCGATCATCTTCTTAATTACAAGACGATTGTTGCCATAGTTATGTTTACGACAGCTTCGATAATTCAAAATCACTGCTTTAAAAATTTTGTGCAGCTGAGAAAGAATAAATCAGGTATAGATGAGATTCCCCAATTATAATACTTATATCGCATACATAATTCATCAAATGGTACACTCACATCCGTTTATTCTAACTTACATTTTTCCCTCATTTATTTTCCCAGGCCACTGTGTGACAACTGGCTATAAACTACCAAAGGGAGGATTTTTCGACTACATATCGTCTCCCCAGCTGCTCGCCGAACTCGTTATTTATATTTCGATAGGTTTGATTTTGAACGGACCAACGTGGTGGTTAGTGGTAGCTGGAGTAGCAATTAAAGAGTATGACGCGGCTTATCACTGTCATGAATATTATAAATCTAAATTCGCTAAGGATATGCCTAGCAGTCGTAAAGCTTTCATACCATTCCTCACTTAAAAATAATCAATTGATTTCCTTTCTCTCTCTTTTAAAAAATTCACAGCATAAAGGAGAAAAAAAAAATTGAGTAGTTTCAGATTAGAATTCTCTTTTTTTTCATTTCTTTCAAAATTTAATAAAAACAAAAAAGAACTTGTAAAACATTGAAACGAATTGCTTTTGTTTCTTTTCAATAAATAATTAGAAATAAATAAATTAGGCAAAAGAGGTTTCTTTTAGAGGTAAACAGTTTTTTTTGTGTGTAACAGTTTTTTTCGTTGTGCGTGTCTCCCAATTGGCACACGAGGGTCTTTTATTTTTTGAACACTAGTCTTCTCCATCTCCAATTTATCTAGAAGTTTTTTTTAAATATAAAAATAATTTACTAAAGCTGTTTAACGCAATTGGCAACATAATCCGTTAGAGTAGTCGGTAATCCTCCTTTATTAACTCTATAAAAGTCGACTAATTGTATTATATCTTGAAACTTAGTTGTTCCGTGATCAATCGAATAATGATATTTTCCGTCATTTTCCACCTATTTATGGGACAGAAAATATAAATAAACTATCCGAAAGCTGGGTTAAAATAAAGTTTCATTCTACTTACCAAATGAATTTTACAGTGCTTAACTTGACCTTTAAAAACAAAGGATATGACGTGAACATCTGGAATGCTCATGCTTTCTCTGATTAAGAAGAACCCATCAATTCCAGCCCCATTTGATAATAAAAGGCTTTCTGCGTCCTCCCTGGTTATATTATGATAAAACCAAGACTGTGTCAGATGCAAATTAGAAGCCATATGTGCATTTGAAGGTGGCATCAATGAGGCAGGAGAGGTAAGAGGAGATCTAGAAGAGTATGATGGTGACGAACGAGGCATATTCACTCGGCCTCTCCGTCTCCAGGCAGCCGCTTCTTCAATTGCAACGCCGAATGCTTCGAAGGGGTCGTCAATAACTCGCCCCCCGGATGAGCCGGTAAAGTCCATAGCTACCATATCAGTGTTGGCCCTGCCGTAGGAAGGTTTTGATTGAATTTTACCTTCTCGAACAACTGCTGCCTCGTAGTCGTCGTTCAACTGTTTTCCATATTTGACAAGCCGCAAGGCCATATGCCACTTTTGCCTGGAGCTTTCCTCCTCAGCACAAAGTTGTAGCCACTGGCCAATATCATTATCACTACGTTTTTTTAAGACGAGGCAGTAATCATTGTGAGAATCGAGAGTTTTTTTAGCATTGTTTGCCATATGAATTTCATATTCGCTTAAATTTACTAAAACCAAGTGCCTTGGTTCTTTGGAATTGCTTTTCATGGAATAGTATAGGCCTGATGGTCTCAGCACGAAAAAATACTTTTTCCACTTTGACCGCCCATTCTTAAAGTACAAGTAACCTTGTATATCAGGCATATTTGGTGCTGCATTTAGCAGAGATTGGCTGACCTTGGTTTTCTCGGCCTCTGCTAAATCAGAGAAATTTGCCGTTGGTTGGGCGTGGCCGACCGTGAAACGCATATCAAGCATAGAATCTGGGAAGTATGTAACACCTTGTTGGAAGAGAGCGTATCTCCTAGGATCCTTTTTAAATAAAAATTTATTATTTTCCGACTTTGACCAAGACGATCTGACTTTACAGAGATTTTCATGATCCTCCAAAGGTCGTTCAAGATTAAAGGCGCAATTTTTTTCAACAACACACCAGTCCCTGGTATACGAGACTTTCTCCTCCTGAGATAATTCCAATGTAGCGTCGATAGCTAACATGCTATCTGCAACGACTAAATACGCAGGTGTTGACTCCCTTTGCGCATTATGAAAACTATAGCGTCTAGTTGGTAGTTGATCGAAAGAGCTTGACGATGTAGGCATGGCATTGCTTTTAGCCATTCTAAACATTAGCGAATTGTTTGATATGTGGTGAGAGAAGGTGGATGAACGAGGAATACGGCGACCTATTAAAAAAGAATAACAGTATTTAACGAACATTTAGAGTACTATTAAATAAAAACGTTTTTACAATAATATCAACATAACAAAGAGACAAATAATAACAATATCATAGAAAAAAAAATATTTATATTAGTGGAGAGAAAGCTAGTCAACGCTTTAAAAAACAAAACAATAGAGATTTACCAAAATAGAACTAATATACCGACATAAACAAAGCATTCTAGTTATCTTTTCTTTATACATTTATATAGTTATGCGTAAAAGTTTTGTTTATAAAGAAGATTAGATCCTTAAAAGAAACAATGTGTTACCCCCGCCCCCCACTATTCCTTTCAATTTTCGACATCAGTTTATGAATAGCTATAAAAATGCTAAACCGGGTAGCAATCTGGCACACCCGAATACGGGACACTGAATATAGGTTGTTTTTTTATTTTTTAGTCTATTTCCTCCTTCCCATACCATTCACTAATATGCAAAACGTTATGAATCTGTTTGTGTGTTTGTTTCTTTCTTTCTCTCTCTCTCTAAATATATATATATATATATAATCATATATAATTTATGGAAAACGCAGTAAACTAATTTCTGTTACTTGTTTTTTCCCTTATTTCGTATAAAGAAATAGACGAATCAATATATTTTTGTTCAGTTCATTTCAACGTTAAAAGATATTTATCTATTTCTAGTTAAAATTTGAAATTAGATAAAAAAATTTATAGTGTTATACTTTATTGATTAAATTGATAAGAAAATATTCGTCATACACCTATCCCATTCTCCTTCTTCCTCCCCTACCCCCGCCCCCTCTCTCTCTCTCTTCTACTCCCTTACTCACTTTATATATCTTATTATAAATAAGCCAATTACTTTAATTAACGCTTCTTTAAGAATAAATATAATAAAAGTATATAAGGATAAAAAATAGAATTGATTAATAATTAACATAATTCATTTAATAGGACGATATATTGTTTATATACAGTAATAGTTTGTTTTATAGTTTTATAGTTTTTTATTGTTTGTTTGTTGATTTTTTTGATTTTCTCTCTCTCTCTCTCTCTCTCTCTCTGTCTCTTTCTTTCTTTGTTTTATTCTATTAAAAGTATAGAGAGGAGAGTAATAGACTAACAAAAAAAACAGATTAAATTAAAATAGAAAGAAAAACAAGATCGTACCTGAATATTTTGTTCTAACCGGCAAAAACACGTTACGTAACTGAATTGTTTAGTAATTTGTTAGGTTTTTTTCTTATTATTATTATTTATTGTATTTATTTATAACTTCCTATATTTAATTATTCGGAAGGATATACTATTTTTTAGATGGTTTGTACGCACACGTGATTATAACAGATATCGGACATCGAAGGTGAATAGCGTACGTGTTTGTATGTATGTGTGTATGTGTGTATGTGTATGTGTACAATACATGAAAATGCGTCTGTCTGTCTGTCTGTCTGTCTGTCTGGGAATAATAAAAACGGTCGATAGACTGTAACAGTTGGCGATAAGCTTACCTAAACTGTTCGATTGGTAAGAAGACTTTTCGGTTTCCTGACAGGAACAAGAACATCTCAAGTTTCTTTGGGAGGATTCTCCTATTTTTATCGTAAAAAAAAAATAAACAATTGAAATAAGATACTGTTAGACTATTACATAAATACTTAAAAAATGGCTAACGCCTACATTAATTTACGCGGTCTTATTCAAAAATTCGAATTTTCTATCAATTTCCCGCCATTTCTATACATTTTTTTGAAATATTATTACATCTGTTCGTAACCGAAAATAACCGGCTTGTTTATAATAGCGTTCTTGCAGAATAAAAAAATGATGATTCAGCTACAAGTGTACGCAACGTGTATAAAAATAAATTATTCATTCGTTTTTTATAACGGACACCATCAATAAATAGCAAGAGCCTGCATAGGCCTAAACGCACCGACGTTTGGTGCCAAGTTACTTTATCTGAACACGTCATTTTGTCTAGGAAGATAAAATATAGGACAAAACAAAATAAGAATAGTGTTTTCTTCTAGTCCCGAAAGTATAGAAATATCTATTCGTATCAGTTACAAGGCGGTTTATTGTCCTAATTCCTTTTAAACATTCTTAAAAATTTAATAATTTCTTTATTTTAACGGTTTTTAAAGAATTAGAACAATATAAACTGTGTTTTAGACATAGGTAAATTATTAATTAAACTTACCATTGAATGTTGATTGTTCTTCGAAATCGACAACATCGTACGTATCGAACTGTCGAAAGGGCGTATAGTTCTTCTCCACTTTGATCATTCTCCGTTTCTGACGAGGCTGTTGCTCGGCGCATAAACAAATAACTATGGCGCTGAGCTATGAGTACTAAAATCTGTATCGCTTTACTGTTTTTATACCCGACTTAGTTCGCTCTGGTATAACTTAACGCCAGAGTAAACTAATAGTGCAACGTACACTCGGTCGTGTTAGTCGACTTTGTACCTTAAAAACATAGTTTCTACAATACTTTGAGGCAAATATAGGTATATCTTACTATTTTCAACGTAAAAATCTAGGATGCTTTTTTTTCTAGAAAACCATAAAAAAAGAACAATTTTATATTTATTTAGCGATAAATCAGACAATTACACGACCTTTAAAACGAATAAAAACTATAATAAGTCTTTTGAACAGCAGTTTTAAAAATATTATTTATTTCGTTGTCGTTTTCTTTCGTTTATATTTACTATCATCATTTACGCAGTCTTCGTAAGATGGCGATTTCTCCTGAACAATCCAGGACATTGCTAATTCATAGGGTGGAGGTTGTACATCTTCCGAATTGGATGCGTCCTGTGTAATTTAATATATATATAGAAGATGTAATCTATAATCTACCCTCTTTTTTGTCTCTCTATCCTATTCCCTTTAATTTTCTATTAAAAGTAACAGGCGATAATTGAACGAAAACAAAACAAAACAAAAAAAAAGAGACTTTCACCTAAAGTTCAATAACACCAAAAAATTCGAAAACAAATAAGTTGAATATACATAACGTATTTCTCATCGTATTACAAAGAAGATAACTAACTACTCTGTCAATTCGAAAATCTTCTTATTATACATTCTTGTTTAAATATAAACGTCAAAATTCTATTTTTAATATTCTTTAAGTTTCTTTATAGATTATCGTGACGTAATTATTATATTTTTTTTTTTTGCACGTGGTAATTCTTATAAAGAATTCTATTATTTCCTAAATTAACATTTTATTTTCTTCTATTTATAGAAAGATTATTACATTTTTCCAATAAATTCAAAAATTACTTAAATAGTCCTTAATAGAATAGTATTCTTTTATTATTATATCTTTGCTCTTCTATTTCGACTTCCTTCCTTCCTGTCCTCTATTTTTTTTTTTTTTTGTACTTTATTGAGGGCAATTACCGTTCATTATATTTATTTCCTTAAATGAGGAAATTTTCAAGTGCAATGCTCTATTTTCTTCTACGCCATTGTTATTTTGGACACGTTCAGAGACCCGTACACTAATTTTTTTTTGTTTATCGCTATTTTTAGACACAGTCGATTACTCTAAGGTTAATCGAAGCAATCTTTAGAATTAGATAAGTTTATAATTTGCATATTAATCAAATAAAAGCTTGTTATTTATGTAGAATGAAGGAGTAGTAAATAATTGATTACCAAAGATTGATACAGAGGGGGTGGAGGTCTATCGGTGCATGACAACGACCGTTGTGCTGATCTTTCGTTCAATGAATGAAAAGTTGGCGGCTCTCTAGAATTGGTGCCATAAACCACGAAACCGTCATCTTCTGCTACGTTTAATCTTTCGTGTGATATCTCAGTGACTCTTGGTGGCGTTGGCGGGGCAGATAGAGATCGAATTATTTGCGCAGTAGCAGCAGTGCTCTTCCTTTTCACTTCGTTTATTATTTTCTTGAAGTCACTCATTTATTATATTAATTTTATTTGGTATTCATTTCTTGTTTATCAAAAAATGGTCACCTATTTCAATATTTATGTTAGGCTCGCATTTAATAAATATGGTATCCGATTCCAACGTTTAAAAAATTTGGAAATTTATGTAAGCGGAAAGAGCACCCGTCAACTGTATTGCGGGACTTTTAAATTTTCGTCAATAGTCGTTGATATAGTCAATTTATGGAAGAAAAAAGACACCAGTCGATATGAAAATGTTAAGCTTGCTCCTATATTCATAATTAAGCAGTTCAATTTTAACATAATAGTTAGCCAGCATTCTATGGTAACAGAAGATATCGATAAAAGTGTATACAGTGGTGTGTAGTGTGCTTTTACTCTACCGAATTCGTTTGAGGCTGAAGTTGCGGCGCTAAAGTTGACTAAGCCTCTGCAAAATTCTTTACAGTTCTACAGCGCCTGCTGCAAACCTGGAATACATGTACATATGAGCAAGAGAAGGTATTAAATATATATTCGTTTTTTATAATATTCATTGATGATTTTCATAAAAATGTCGACTATTCGACCAACTTGTCATTGAATGTCAGAGTGAGAAGAGCAATATGGCTAGCGGGAAACGAAAAATATCAACGTTTTCGGAAGGTAAAATAGAAACGATATATAAACATATATGTCGATATTATTACTTTCTTCTACCAATATATTTATTGTCGTCTTACACGTATAATACAACTTATTGATCAGTTAACGTATCAAGAACTATAGGCAAACAAGCATGAATTGGAAAGATTCATTTATGTCTACACTTTCTTCTCAAACTACATCTGATGTTAGTTTTACATCTATACTTACCCTTTCAGAGTCTAGACGAACGTCGGTATACGTTAACGGTTTGTAGAGTTATCTACTTTAATCCATTGTCTTGTTATTTTCATTTTTAACTCTTTTTCTCTCTTTCTCTCTGTCTCTTTTGTTCATTCATTCATTCATTCTTTCTTTTTGTGTATACAACTTGTTATATATATATATATAATATATATATATATATATATATATATTATAGAATAATATATTTTGGTTGAAAATGACACATGTTAACTAATAATAGATATGTTAACATAATTTCTAACCGTTTATTCGTATACAGAGGCCCTCCTACCAAAAAATGGATTATTAAGAAAAGCTCATTTAGCTAAAGCGAAATCGTCTGGATTTTCGCAGTTTGCCCACAGACTATTCATATTGCTGTATTGCGGCTCAAGTATGAAAGGAATAATAAGCGAAAAATTATTATTCAATTGTTTTCTTTCTTTCTTTCATACCAAAAATTCTTCTTATGTCTTATATTGTTCCTCAATAAATAATTGCAGTTGTACAAAGCTTCGTTACTGCCCTTCTCTTCGTTTTTCCAATGTCTATGCTATTATTAGGTATGATTTTAATTTAGTTATTTCTATATTACCATTTTATTCAATATCATTAATACGTTACACTAGGAATTGTCTACTTTAAACACTGCCCTCGACAACATTACATACCAATTTATTTATTCGTTATGGGAAGTTTTGGAGTAGTAAAGGCGCTATTTAACACAGTTAGACAAGTAAGGAGGAAGAGGGACGAAGAGGAAGACGAGATGGAAAGATGCAAACCAAATCCAGCTTCGATTCTTATTAATTGTTTTCTATTCGCATGGTTTTGCACAGGTAATAAATTGATTAATAGTTTATAATCTATCTATAATAATATTTATATATCTTAGGTGCTTATTATTTAAATTAATGACTAATAGTCAATAAGAAATGTCAACTATGATAAGTTATCCTAATTACTACAGGGAGTCACTGGGTTTTTGAAATGTACTACGATTATAATTCAACAAATGTTAATGATGATAAATATTGCAGTGAGAAATTGTATAAATTCGCCTTTTGGATTACCGTTGCTGGTTGGATTGTTCTTGTTCTTGTTATTCTCTCCTATTTTATTCTTCTGGTTATTTTCCACGTTAAAATTGGTTCTTCTTTTATTGAAACTGATGTTAGATCAATTGAGAAGAGAGATAGGAGAGAATCTCAAGCAGCCTCTGTTTAGTTTAGTTATTTATATCTTTATGGATGTAAATACAGAAAATATTCAAAGAATAAAAAAATATTATCTAAATATCAATCTAATTTATCTAACACGCCGCATATATAATACAGTATATGTCTATATGACATGTAGAATAAATTAAAAGAATTCTTTTTTTCCCGCCCTTTCTGGACTATATTAAAAAATACAATTCCAATTTGTATTTTAATAGTTTATTTCGTAATGAAATTAAAAGTTTTAGAATTATTTAGTGGTATTGGGGGCTTCCATTTTGCCCTAAAATCTACAGGTATACCGTACGACGACCTTATTGCAATGGACATTAATACAGTTGCTAACGAAGTGTACAAATCCAATTTTAACCCATCATCGCTCAAGCAAAGAAGTATAGATTCATTATCTATTGCCGAACTCGACAAGTACAAACCGAATTTAATATGGATGAGTCCACCGTGTCAGCCATTTACTCGCCAAGGCCTACAAAAAGACGACGAGGATTCACGATCGAAAGCTTTTTTACACTTATTAAACATAATTCCTAATTTAGTCTCTTTACCCGAAATTATCATGTTGGAAAATGTTAAGGGCTTCGAAGTATCTCGATGTCGAAGCGCCTTGAAAGATTGTTTAATCTCTAAAGGTTATCGAATACAGGAGTTTTTACTGTCGCCTTTGCAGTTTGGCATTCCAAATTCACGATTACGCTATTTCTTTATAGCAAAATTAGAAGATTTTAACTTTGAAACAAAAAGCTCTATATGGGAAACTATACCGGATTGTATGTCGGATTACCTCGTTCATTTGCAATATAAGGGTCTACCTGATCAGGTAGTCATTAAACCCGATACTAAAAATCACAGGGATGAGCTGATGTATACAACTAGATGCAAGCCTATTTGCGAATTTTTAGAAGAGAACGTTGACCTTACTAAATTCGGGTTAGAGGAGAATCGTTTTAAATTGTTTGGCGCAATGGATATGAGGAAAAGAGAATCGAAGAATACTTGTTGTTTTACTAAACGTTATTCGCAATATATCGACGGAACTGGATCCCTACTCGTTGAAGGTGATTTGGCCGAAGAAGAATTTAATTATCTACGTTCCCGGCAGGACTTTACAGACGATAAAAGTATAGAGCTAATTAGAAGACTACAAATTCGATTTTTCACACCGAGAGAAGTGGCTAATCTTATGTGCTTTCCTTCATCTTTTACTTTTGAAGAAACAATTACAACTCAACAAATGTATAGATTACTAGGTAATTCTTTAAACGTACACGTAGTATCTATTTTAATCCGACTAGCTTTACTATGACCTTTAAAGAATGAAGATAATTATCATAAAAATCTTTTCCTCCAATTAGTAAACTTTAAAATATACGATGCACGTCGAGTTTGTTAATTCTGTTCCTTTTATGCGGATTTATTATAAAAAATGAATACAAAGTAAATATACAAGAACTGTACAAATGTAAAGACATAAATAAATAATATATATATATAAAGACAGTAATACCAAAAACAGCTAACTCTCCGTTTCGGCCTTTAATCCCTGACTTTTATGGAGTTCGTAGTAAAGTCCTTTGGCATTCATGAGTTGATGATGAGTGCCAGCTTCGGCAACTGAACCTCTATCGATTACGGCAATTTTATCAGCATTTTGTACTGTTGAGAGTCTATGGGCAATTATAATGCAGGTTCTACCCTCTCTGGCCTTGTCAAGAGCATCTTGGACAACCTTTTCGCTCTCTGTGTCTAAAGCTGACGTAGCTTCGTCAAGAAGTAATACTGTTTTTTAATGGGATAAAGAACAAAAACCGATTAAGGTACAAAACGCTATGGGAAGATTGATGGTAAACAGACCTGTTGGCTTTCGGATTAAGGCCCTAGCTATTGCTATTCGTTGTTTTTGGCCACCACTCAATTGGGTTCCTTTCTGACCAACGTTAGTCTCGTATTTTTCCGGCAACGATTCTATAAAATCGTGGATATTCGCTTGCTTTGCTGCTTCGATAATTAGCTCTTCTGATACATCTTTTTCTGACAATCCGTATTTAATATTCTCAGCAATAGACCGTCCAAATAGAATGGGCTCTTGCGTGACTATTGCCATTTTTGAGCGGACGTCGGAGACGCTTAGGTTTTTCATATTCTCTCCGTCAATTGCCTATGACAAGTAATAAAGATTTAGGGTAAATTTTCCTTATACTCATTTATCGTTATTTGATTTATATAAACTCACTATTAATCCTTTCTCTATTTCATAAAACCTTTCGAGCAGTACTGTTATAGTTGATTTGCCAGCACCGGAACTGCCAACAAGGGCGATTGTAGTTCCAGGCGATATTTCTAGATTAAAATCTCGTAGAATTTTACTCTTGCTTCTCATTGGATAAGCAAAATCTATGCCTTTAAATGAGATTGCACCCCTAAAATTTTCCTACGGGTAGAGAGTACAACAACGTTTCATTAGTATATACAGTATTGTATACTTAGTTTACTTACCAGTTGTTTTCCAGCATTTTCCGAAACACCATCAATTAAGGGCACTCTATCTAACATTCTAAAGATCTTTTTCGCCGAAGTTTTAGCCTTTTTATATTCTATACTCATACCAGCAGACCTTCCAAGGGATGTTGCGCATACAGTAATTGTTATAGCTACCCTAAATATATCACCAAATTCTTGATCACCTATTTGAGATTGAAGAAATAAAATATATTGAATAAAAGTGGAAAATGATGATTCTTACCTATTTTAACAAGGTATGAGCCTATTGCAATAAGTCCACCAAAGCAAAAGTATTGTGCGCTAGTTGAAACTCCGTAAACAATACCAAACATAAGTGCTGTACGTTTCTCTTTTGTGTAGTCGCTTGTTACACCATCTTTAAATTTCTTTAAGAAATAACGTTCTTGCGATAACATTACTACAGTTTTTATCTGATTTAGAACTTCCGTTGCAATCTGATTATATTGGAGAAGAAAAAGAAAAAGTTTGTAATTTTATCAGGGAAGGTGATGAGTACGGAATAGTAATATAATTAACCCTTTTGCAGTATAATTTAGAGAAGGTAATTAGGGGGAAAAAAACCTATTTTAATTATCTTTACTCACCGATTGAAGAGATTTAACAAAATCTTTCTTATGACGTTTATGCTTTGCAAAATTTGAACGTGACATGTACGTTTGTAATACGCCGGAAGATAGACTTAATGGTGCAAAAAGAAGAGCGAAAAGCGCTAATCTCCAACTATAATAAAATGCAATAGAGAGGGCGCACACTACCGTAGATACTGTGTATAGAAGTGTTCGAATATAATCGCCAAGTGCCTGTTCAATAAAATTGTGTTGCTATAAATATTGGAATTATTCGACCTAAAGACCTACTTTATGAACGTTGCCTGCCTCAGCAGCTAGCAGAGCGGTCAATGCACCAATACTATTGGTTGGTCTGTCGAACCATCCAACTTCTTGCCTTAAGATACTCCTAAAAGTTAACTTTCTTAGACGTTCCGTAAGTCTTTCACCAGCAATTCCGAGCAAATAGACCTAAAGAGAATTAATTTCATTAACGATCATTAAAACTATTCATTTTTTTACTAACAGCAAGCCAAGTGAACACTCCGTGAAGTAAAGCAATTAGCGCGAAAGCTAATGACAATCTTAGAGATTGTTCCTTCCTTTCATCCTTATCCAAAGTATCAAAATTCTGTTAATGGGATAATCGTATTAATTTTCGCTAAAACTTCATAATATTATTATCAATACTTACTGAAATTTGCTGACTAAGAGCAAGTGAGAAAACTGGCATAATGCATCCGTCAACAAGCGAAAAAAATCCTCCAAAACACAAATAGATAATCTCCGGTGAATTCAATTTCAGAAGTCTTAAAAATAATGATTTTCTCTTTTTTATAACCACTCCTGTATCGGTTTGACTACTATTTTCCGATATTTCCTCTATGTCATCTTCGTCATCGGAATCATCAAGCTCTTGTAATTTTACATCATTTTCATGTATCATATCATCGTTAGTTAAATTCGTATCTACTACTGAATGGGTATCCAGTTGATTTTTAATCAGTTGAGCGTATGCGCCGTCCTTCTCTAATAGTTCTTCGTGTGTGCCGTATTCGCATACTGAACCTTCATCTACTACATAAATTCTATCGGCATTCCTAATAGTTGATAATCTATGAGCTATAACAATAGTTGTTCTATTCTTTGAAGCTCTATCAAGAGCCTCTTGAACAATTGCTTCACTTTTGGCGTCTAGTGCCGAAGTTGCCTCGTCGAGGAGGAGAATTTCGGGCTTTCTAATTAAAGCTCTAGCAAGAGCGATTCTCTGTTTTTGACCACCCGATAATTGAGTACCACTTTCACCGACCAACGTTTCATAACCATCAGGAAGGTTTGATACAAATTGATGAGCGTTAGCTAATCTTGCCGCTTCGATTATCTCAGATTCTGAGGCATCCGGTTTGCCCAGTGCAATATTCTCCATAATTGTTGTAGAAAACAACATAGGTTCCTGGGAAACGATACTTATTTGCTTCCTTAAAGATTCAATATTGAGACTCTTAATACTTTTACTATCAATTCTAATATCACCACTTTTAAAGTTGTATAGTTTCATTAAAAGTTGTACAGTTGTACTCTTACCAGATCCACTTCGACCAACTAGAGCAACGGTTTGCTGAGGTTTAACGTGTATATTGAAATCCTTTAAAATTGGAATATCAGGTCTAGAAGGATATGAGAAATGTACACCTTCTATTTCAATATTTCCATTAATATTCGTTAGTTTACTTCCGCTTGGATCGGCGTAATCAATTTCAGTTTCTTGGTCAATAATTTCAAATACATTCGCCGCCGCTGCTTGAGCAATGGATATTTGCTGTAGGGATGGTAGACCATTTCCAAGGGCAATTACACCGACTAATATGCCAAATATGGTTGAGATCATTTGTCCACCGTCAATAGTTCCATCATCGACCAGTTTATTACCATACCAAAATGGGAAAGCCATTGAACCCAGTGTTATTGTAAATTGTATACCCATGCCTAAACCGTTAACGAAAGCTTTTCTAATAGCTGTAGTCTTGGCAACAGATAATTTCTCTTCGTATTCATCGGAATGTTTTTTCTCTGCACCGAAAGCGAAAACAATACGAATTGCTCCAAAAGTTTCCGAAGCAATTGAACCAGCATGTCCATAGGCCTTTAACTCTTTTTGCGACATTTTCTTCATTGTCGACATAAGGACGACAATACTTGCCGCAATAATCGGAGACATAGCTAATACTATTAAACTCAATCGCCAACTTTGAGTAAAACCAATAACTAAACCGGTAGTAATTTGAGAAAAGGCTTGTAACAATGAACCAAGTTTGTGACCAACCGCGTCGGAAATTTCATCAATTTCCCTATAAAATAGAATTTATATGTTTATATAAGAAAATTCTAATAGGAATTAAAAAGAATACCCGAATAGTTTGGATGTAATTTCTCCAGTTTTATTATGATCGTACCATCCTTGATGCATTCTCATTAATTTATCAAAAGTTGCCATTCTAAGCTTTCTCTTTTGTTTTGCAGAGGTCAATTGCCAGAAGAACATTTGCATAAAACCAAGAAATAAGCATGTACAGGCAATTATCATTGAATAAGGTACAAGTGTCGTAACGATTTCATCGTGTATATCAAATCCAGAATCCGATGTATAATTAACGAATTTATTAATAGTTTGACTGTAGATAAGTACATTTGCTGGAATGGCAACACCAACTGATAAACTTCCAAAAACTGCTAATAATACTAGCAATAGTTCACGACCAGTTAAATAGCGAAACTGCAAAGAGAGAACAGAGTTCAAAAAGTGTAACTAGTTCCTAGAAAACGGTATTGAAATCACTACATACAAGTTTAAAAAATGATACAGATTTCTTCGTCTTCTCTTTCCTATCATCTTCGTTTTCAATTGGTTTATTAACCGAAAAAGATCTGTTTATATTTGAATGGAAAAAAGACAACAATTACATCAATTAAACCAAAGATAGAATTGATAGAATATATAAGGATAGAAAAGGATATATACACATTTTTAATACATTTAAATGAATCTTATAGATTGAATTTCGTATAGATTCTATATATTGTTCTAAGAGAAATAATAGAAATATCAATTTTTACGACTTACTTTCTCTTTGACTTCATCGCCCTAAATGTTCTGGTTCTCGTTAGCTATGGGGTTAATATTGAGATCATACGCACTGTATACTGTAGGTGGCAGTATTTTCCTATATATTCCTTAGTGACGTAGAGACAGAACTGAATGAAAATTTTTACTATTTTATAATATATTCCATAAATTGCGCAATACATACTTCCATATGGGTAAACTGTTCTAGATTTTCGTTTTTGTAGGTTAGATTATTTCAATTTTTATACTCGTAATAAAAAAGCATCGCTTGGCCTATTTATCTTGAAAATCGTAAATTATATAGATTTATTTTTGAGGTCAAAGTTACGAAAATGCTAACAATTCAACAGAAGAGGTTAATTACTTTCAACAATAGTTATATAGTGTATAATATATCTTTATATATATGTACAGTATGTATAACATATTCATAGGGCAATGAGCTACAACAACTAACATGTAGAGACATCTGTAATCTATTTCTAGCTTTTTCAAATTTGGCCTATTTTCAAATAATTTATTCCTTCTCCCCTGCCCTCAATGCGACAACAGCGACATCTATATTTTAAAATGGACAACAGTTACAACAAGTTCGATTTAATTTATTCAGTGCCAAATAATAGAACTATTATTCCATTCTTCTCTTAAAAATAAATAAGTTACACCATTTTAATATACTTTAACACATAGAAGATATTGAAATATTCTAATATATTCAATTTGATGAGGATCAATAGAAAGTTGATATAAAAAAGGAATGGTCTAAGAAATTTAAGCTACCAATTAGTTATTTTAGAATTTTAACATTATTGTTAAAAACTATATATGAATAAATTAAATAAAGATATTAAAAAGATCTTAATATAGATTAGGAGAAGCTTAGGTCAGCAAAAAAAGTGAGAGAGAGAGAGAGAGAGAGAGAGAGAAAAAGATGTTAAATTATTAAATTTTACTTTAATATTTACCATTTAAAAAGAAGAAAAAGAATAAAATAAAAAGTTGACATATTTTATTTAAACTAAGATTTCATTTTAATACTTTATTCTATATTTATTGAATTATTGCATTAAATATATATATATATATATAAATATCTTCCCCACCATAGTCTTTTCTTTCTTTCTTCTTGCTTTTTAAGCCAATTTTTATATTGTTAAAGTAATATTATTCAGAAAGTTTCTAATAATATCATTATCCAGTATTAAAAGTAAATTAATACCTGATTGACATACTTTTTTTCTCTCTTTCTCTCTCTCGTACCCTTTGTTAATAAAAAAATAAAGGGAAAAAGAATGAGGATATTACTATGATTATTCATTCTTAATCTGTAAATAAAATTCCTTAGCAATGACAAATCTACAAGGATGTTTTTGTTACTTATTTTGTGGTCATTGTATGAAGTTTTACTGTATTATTAATCGTATTTTTGTATATTGTTTATGATTAATGCCACTATTGTAACTATTTCATTGTTAAAATAGGAAATAGTATATGCTAAATTTTCTATAGATATTTAGATCCGTGTTCTATGGTGAAATTATGAATACGGAAGCGGCTTTTAGAATATTGGAATTTTGGGCGGGAACTATTTTCGTATCCGTAAATACGAAAATAGAAGCGGAAATCATCATCCGGCCGATCGTTACCCTTTTGTCGTAAAATTCAAGTCAAAATGTCAAAGAAAGTATTAGTTATGAGCGTCAAAGACGCCAAACAACAAATTCACGATTCAATCGACTCAAAATCGGAAACAGAGTGAGTTTCAATCAATTTAAAGTCGAAAATTTTCGCAATATTATTTCGGACAATTAAACTTCAATCTTTGTTGTAAACAAACTTAATGAATTATATATTAGTTTATTTCTTCGAGAAATGGTCCTTTAATTTTATCCCATTCACGATCCTTATTGATCAATACAATATTTATAAATTGAGGTTATGAAAATGCATGAATTTTATCACAAATTTTCAAGTGATTGTAAGCTTTAGGCACAATCCTAACCAAACCTTTAAATGACGGAATTAATGATATGAACAGATATTGGGATCTAATGAGGAGCTGGTTTAGAGGTCAAATTGATAAGAAGAAGCTCGATTCGGAAGCAAAGCGTTTATTACCCAAAGATAGTGGAATTCGTTTGCATAATAATTTTATATTATCGCTTTTGGCAAAAGTAGCCGGAAACAATGGTTCGGAATCGACTCCGTCAATTTATCAAACAAATCAACCTGCAATCCTTCCTGAATCGGATTTGGAATTACAAGCTATCTCTTCATTTACTCCAATTGATCCTCTTCTAGGTGCACCAATCCTTCATACAAGGGCACCTCATATTGATCAACAATCGCCCGCCTTTATTCATAGACAATACGTTCTCCCAGACGATACCCAAATACACGGAAGAATGTTGGTATCTGCCTGGGAGTACGGTTTAGACGAAGTGAGCGAAGATGCAGTTCAATTGCTAGTTAAAGCCATTGAAGAATATCTAAAAAATATACTAATAGTTATTTTAGGACGTCTAGCCGGTTGTGTGACGTCCAGTTCGCCGTTCAAATGTAATCCATTAGGAATTACTGGTGGTAAACCAGGAAGATTATCTCCCGTCGATTCGAATTTATACGACGAAATGGAAGACAAAGAGCTAGAAGACGTTACTAGACACGTTAGGGCAAGATTACATTTCGGTATTAAAGTTGTTAGTCTGTTCGACGTTTTAGACGGTTTACAATCTCATCCTGAAGTTATACAATCAAGAACATGCTTAGCGACAAATTTACAGAGAATTATCTCTAAACTATGGTATAGCGAACCTATAGATATGCAACAAGACTACGATTGATAATCTAATAGAGAAGAGACAATAGTGAAAGTGTACTCTTTATATTGTTTTCTTTGTTTTTTTTTTAATAAATATGCACTTAAAAAAAAAGGACAGCCCTTGTTTACTTGCAGTTAATCACTCCCTTTATGATCTATTAGTCTTCTTCTCCCTTTGTTTTTATATTACGTTACAAAATTAACTTTGGACATAAAAAACGCTTGATTTATTGATAGTTGGCGCCATTCTTTCCTTTTTTTTTCTTTATTTCTCTCCTCTCTCTCTCTTTCTTTCTTTCAAGGTCCTTTATCTAAGTATTTATTACTATAGACTGAAAACATTAAATGATTAAATATTACGAGATTTGTCCTAATCAAATATTACATTACGAAAACAAATTGAATAGGTTAAATTAAAATATTATTTATATAGAATCTTATATAAAAATATTAGCATTATTAAACATTATTCATTAATATAGTCCTATATTAGTTTAATTAAGGAACAACACTAAGAAAGTAGATAATTCTTAGTGGATTTATAATGTAATTTAATATACTCGATTACAACGTAAGGGAAATATTTAGTTAGTTTAAATTTATATTGCCAACTTTTTTTTATCTCTTTTCTTTCTTTCTTTCTTTCATTCTTAGCTAACATATTTCTAGTCTAAAAACTAGGACATTATATATATATATATATATCTTTCAATTAATTATATAATACAATAAAAGAAAGAAAGAAGACGTAGAGTTATTCTATTATTTTTCCTTTTTTTTTTATTCTTTTTTTTTTTTTACATTCAATGAATTGAAAATATTTTTTCAGAGAATTTTTCAAGAAAATCTCTTTAAAGAGAATTCAGAGAAAGAGAGAATAAAAGTTAAGTATGAAAACGTCAATTGTGATTTTCTTTTTTTGAACTGTTGCGAGCTTACGTGACTGACTATTGAATAAAAAAGCTAGTTTTATTCTAACAAATGGTGTTATTGTTGAAGACTTATAAAAAAAAGTCGTCTCTTTATGATCTGTAGAAAAATAAATAATAAAAGTATGAAGAGAAGAAGGATAAGAGTGTTAAAATTTTAGGCATTTACCAACACTTGACTCCTTTTCTATCTATCTATCTATCAATCTATCTAGCTCTCTTCTATGCTTTTATATATTTTATTCACTTTCTTGTCTGGATAGTGGAAAACCATTTGCATTAACTAAAATTCTCTTAGCACTTCTTTCGTCCTGACTTAAAAAATTACAATCATCGTTTAGTACTCTGTCTTTTTTCCATGTTTTTGGGAAATTGATACTAGCGAATGCCGGATCGCAACCAGTTCTATCTATAAATCTAGTTGTAACATTCAAATACGACAGCAATGATCTATCAAATCTAGCTAACATTTTCTCCGGTTGGCAACATACAATTCTATCTTTTGAAATCGATATAAAAAATGATCGTTTCATTATTTAAAAAAAGATAATAGTTCACTTACTAGACGTTGTCCAATAACTCTTAAGATTTCTATTTGATAGACTATTTGATTTGTTCATAATTTCTTCATATTTATCTCTTATTTATTAAAAATAAAACATATATATACGTATATGTTTTAAAATTGTTACATCATCATAAAGTGACGACGATAGGCAATAAACGAAGATATAGAAAAAGCGAAAAATATAATGAAAAGAAAAAACAAATGGAAAGGAATAATGCAGGTGAACAATAAGAGGAGGAGGAGGAGGAGGAAAAGAAGAGAGAACAAACAACAAATTTATAAAATAACTTGGAGGTAGACTATTAAATATTATATATCTCTTATCAATTTACTAAAGAAAAAAAATACAAAAATGATCTATTTTTCTTCTTCTTTTTATAATAATATAGCACCGAAAGAGAGGATAATAAAAAAAAATTCATTGCACATAAATCGGCATGCAGTCTTTCTCTTTTTTATATATGGAACATGAAAAAAGAATGAATGATAGAAAAGAGAAAGAAGTAGAAGAATAAAAGAGAAAGACAGAAAGAAAGAGAGAGAGAGAAAGAAAGAGAGAGAAAGAGAGACAGGAGAGATATGCATACAAAAAAATGAAAAAATTTCAGTTTGATTTTCTCCATTTTCTTTCCCTCTTTCTTTTTTTCTACTATTCAAATTTGTCTTCTCTCTCAATATGAATCTTATCTACTTGCAATATAGTCTCTTCCATATCTTCAAAGATACATTTATAAATATTGGGATATATACTGTTGTTTCTTTTAAATGATTTATGTATCTAGTTTATAGTTTATTAGTTACAAAAATGATTTTTGAGCATTCGGATTTGTGCTTTCCGTTTCCCAAACTCTTCTTAATTGCGACACGCTAGGCATTGAAAATGTCCGATTAACGTTCTCGTCTGCTTCCTGAACTTCGTCACGATAATTATTATTTATAGTTTCGTTTATAGGCTTATTATTAATCGGAGGCGCCGGCGCCACCGCAGTTCTATCAACAGTTTTTTGAACTTTGGTGATTTTTTTATCTGTATACTCGTTTGACGGATGGACGGGTCTTATCCAGGTTTTTCTATTCTTATTCGTATTGCTATTATTATTGTAATCATTTGACATTTTTTGTTGAGTGTATCGTTTTTGTTCAATAACGGCCTTTTCCTCGTCACCATACTTTTTTGATAATTCAGCGTGCCAAGGCCTATCTTTCATTGATCTCTTCAGGGGTTCCGCCTGCTGCTCTGATAATAGTTTTTCATAGTATTTTTGTTGAATGATCATTCTCAATTGGCATTCTGACCATCGGCAAGAATCGCTTTTTGATCTGTTTACACCTCGTCCCGATCTACAACTTTTACTCTGTACATCGGATTTACTATGTTCTCTCGATATTTCTCGAAATTTACGAGATTTCGTCTTCAAACTTGAATTTGAACTCGATGATGCGTTTGAAGCCGACCTAGAAACGGATCTAGATTTTCTCTCCCTCATTTCCTTTTCGTAAATTGCGTCACTCTGGGCTTTTAGAGCCCTTGCTCTGTCGCTTCTTCGTTTCTGTTCTACTCGCAATCGATCTTGTTCTTCTTCCAATACCTTTTGCCTTTTGATTGCTTCGTCGTAGGTTGGAGGCTTTTTAGGCCTTGTTGAGGTGCTTTCGTCAAAGTTCAGATCTACGGTTGTCAATTTGGCAGTATTCCGTCGATGTAGGGCCAAATCGGCACCGCTACATGTCATACCACGTTTGAGAAGTATTTTTGGGGGTGGTGATTTTGTTTTAGGGTTTGAACGATTAAATGGTTGAACAATCATAATTTCAGTGGGTGATTCAAGGTCTAAAGCATCCGATCTCTGTAAATGCGGTTTATCATCGCTAAAACCGGAATCTTCTTTTTGACTTAGCTTTTCCGGTTTTCTCGATCGTCTTGCAGGTTTAATAGGAGCGATTTTTTGTTCGTCGTCCACACCGCAAGCCATACTCTCGCAAGTTGACAAACCTGAATCTCTAGATAGACTAGACGGTGAAACTGGTGCAGGCCTATTCGTTTCTAGATCTAAACTATCCAAAGACGCTTCATCCGTTTGTTGTCTGACTAATGATTCTTCCCTTCTGGACGTATCTGGAGTTGTAACATGTATATTAATATTGCACGAATTTTCATCTAGTAGATTGACGACGGAAGATCCGAATATATCGGTTGAATATTCAATCAAAGTTTCCACAACGGCGTTCCAATCTAACATTTTCTCAATTTCTTCCATTGTGGCTAAATCAAACTCAGATCGACTAAGAGACGGCGCAATTGCCGTTGCAACGTTTTTTGTTATCATTTGATTAATATTTGAATTATTGCAAACGTGATGAAAGAAACAAATTAAATGTTTGAGAAGGACGGCGTGACCGATGGGAAGGTCATCGACCAATATTTTAAGTTTGTACAATTTCTTTTCTAAACAAGGCTCTTTGTTCGCTTCTTCCCATTGTCCTCTTTCTTCAGTTGGCACGACGCAAGAGGGCAATTGTTTTAAATACTCTTTGAGAACAGTTACAAGAATATGAGTATTCGTTTCCTGTTCCCAATCGACAATTCTCCCTTTATCTAAACATCCAACCAATCTTTTACATTCGCCAACATTTCCGCATTTTCTAACAATTCCCTCAGTTTCGGTTCTCTTCGAGAGTTCGTGTAATAGACTATAGATAACGGGATTGAGGATACCGCCCTCATTAACAACTGTTAGCGGTTGACCAAACAATTTCCCGCACTTCCTATCTCTAGACTTTGAACGAGACCTTTCCTTTTTGGAATTAGGCGATTGATAACTATCGAACGATCTATCCTCCCTTCCAAAAATATTCCAAGGTTGTCTAATTAACGATTTCCATTTACGTTTCTTTAATTGTTGTTCTCCGTTTCCGATTAATTTTGAACGACTCTCTGAATGATGAGAAAAAAATCTTGTTTTAGTCCTATAATTATGACATTGAGCCAATCCGACACGATTAAGTATTTTCGAAACTTTACCCATTCAAGAAAAATATAAGTAATATACAATTCATAAATATTTAACTTATATCATATTTATATTCGGTTTTTTTTAAAATTTAAATCAAATTCTTCTTATGAATCTTTTATTGACCAAAGATTAGGCCTAGTGTCTTGTTTAATAATATATAATTTCTATCATTCTTTTTCTTACCTCGATGACTCTTCATGATAAATTCAATTTCTTGATTTACATCTACGATCCCCGATGACCTTTGTTCGTAGTGTCTTTTTATAGCGAAAGGCCTTTCGTGCCCAATTAAGGGATAGACAACTTTTTCTTCCGCTTTATCGACAACCCAAAGGGAGTATTGTTCAGGATCTTCAGTGTCCTATTTGAATAAAGGATATAGAGTAAAAAGAAAGTTTGATACACTGCAGGATATATATATCTCATTCGGTATACACTATATATATATATATAGCATTTGCACGTGTATATAAGTTAGTTTAGCTAGTTTTATGGGCGTATTGAAGATCTTTTTATGATGAAAAATTATACATACATCTCCATATATATACAGTATATATATATATAAGAATATTATGAATATTCATAAAATTATAACTTACCTTTATGTGAAAATGACTTAAACAGCGTTGAATAACTTGCTGTGCTGTATCCTTAGGCTGAATACTGATTATTCGGCTCTGCAGAACAGAATTCTTTTTCACCAAAGGAATCAAATATATATATACACACACACACATATACTGTATATACATACATAGACAAAACACGTGGTGGGGTTTTCTTTTTATTATTCTCTCTTAGTTATATTATATAACAATAATAGAACACCACATAGGAGAGGAATAAAAGAGAGAATAAGATTGAAAAGAGAGAGAGAGAGAGAGAGAGAAAGAGAGAGAGAGAAAAGATTAACTACATAATATAATCGGTAGTCTCCTTATTCTATTCTCTTTGAATTTTAATCAAATTCTGCCTTGTGTATATGTCTATTATACTCATTTCGGTTGTACATATAAGTTTAAGTTGTGTCCATTAAAAAAAATATAAAACATATAAAAAAAGAGCCATATATAAAGAGTTCGAAAGAAGGCAAACCAATAAACAAAAATCACTCAATTCGTTTAAATAGTCTTAGTAGTTTTTGTTTAGTGAAAGTACTACTTTCTTCTCTCGCTTTTTTTTGTTATTATTATACATTTTACATTGTTTAAGCCTATTGTACTTTATATACTGATATAGCCTTAAAAAATGGAAAAATAACCATATATAGTAAAACTTACAGAACTTTCGACACCAGGAAAACGTTGCGATAAACTGCGGTTTGTAACTCGTATTTCGGCCGTTTCGTGCTCTTCAGCGTGCCTTGCTATATCCATGTGACTATGTAGGTGACAAAAAACAAGGAGAATTGTATTATAGATATGAAAATATTAAATAGATTAGACAATTAAAAATTTGCTGATAAATGTTAATATTTTGTTCTATAAATAACAAAATGTTACGTAATAATAATAATGATATAAATAGTTATTGAATAATAAACTTACTCTGTTATATGAGCCCACCACTTTTCTCTAATTTGAGGATATTTGAAAGTTATAACAAAATTAATTGTCGGCCATCCGATAACAAACGATAAGTAGCGTTTGCATAAGCTTGAATCGCATACTTCGTTTATTGATTCCCCTATCCAGATAAAGTTTAGCGGAATTTGTTGTTTTATCCTTAACCTAAAGCACAGTACGTTTATATAAAAATTTAGTACGTATCAATATATTTTTATAAGATTATTACTAAAAAAGATCCTAATTAATATTCATAAACCACTATAAGCAGTCTATTTAAATATCGGAGAGTTGAGTGAAAAGAGATAGTGAGAGATTTTTATAGAGAAAAGATAACTACTGTTCAATTTTTATAGACCTATAGGGTTAGAGAAAGTACTCAATAACCTTTCCATAACGTTTATGTTTGCATATTAGTATACAGTATATGGAAGATACACGATTTTAAGTTAAAACCTTACTATTTATATATTAATACTAATATATAGCTTTTGATTGAAATTGACTAAACACTTATGAATTTTTTGAACGAAACTAGTACTTACCTATTTTTATCTGCTTTCGCTACTATTAACATGTCATTGAAAAGGCCGATATGCCTTTCTTTAGTTTGCATACCCTGTGCGTTTTGTGAACAGTTCTTTTAAATAAGAATTGATAAATTAAGATTCTTTTAATAAATAAGAGAAAATAAAATAGCATAGTATGTTTATACTTACACTCGAAACAAGTACTTCTCCCTGTTCTAGTACAAGTTGCCTTTTTGAATTTTCCGGTTTAATTTGATCGGCGTTCTTCTTTAGGGTCAGTTGATAGCTTTTTGAATTTAGTGACGTTGTACTATTTGTAGTACTTGGTGGGGCTGATTTACGTCTATGCGTAATGACTTTTCTATTAAGTTTTCCATTATCAGAATGACGAGTTTCAACCTCTCCCGATCTCGTATCGACAACAGTGCTTAGCATCTAAAATATAATTAACACAAAATTATTAATTCTTTTACGATTATCCTTAAGATAAGGGAAGGATAATAAAAAACTCACATCAGATAAAAATCTTTTGGAGACGGCTAAATCTTCATATTCTTTGCAGTTTGTAGGCGTATTATCCAACAATCGTCCGACAACTTCTTCGTATTCGGCAGCTCTTTGTATCTATTTTAAAGTCAAGCGATAACGTAACAAAATAAAACTAGTTTCTAATTAATATCATTTAAAAATACTGATTATCTAATAAAATACGAATAACATCCAACCTCTATAGGCTTATACACACACACACATATATATATATATAATATAGATAGATAGATAGATAATTTATATATGATATATATATATAAGTATTTATGAATATATTCAACCCTTCATTCAGTATACAATATACAGAAAATGTGGCACGTTTAGCCGAGTGTTAGGCAAACACGTTCGCCAAAAAGAATAATATAAAAATAATAACAATAACACTCTTTCCATTGAAGTATGAAGAAAAAATCTGGGTCATTAATTATACTAATCGTTCTCTTACGCATTCCATTCTAATCTTATTAAACTGTGCTATATTTTATGCAATACATAATAAATTATTGCATTAAGATGAATTATAATTAGATTAAAAAAACTAATTAATTATTCAAAAAGTTATTTCTAAATATGCAAATTAGTTAAATTTAATTTAAATATTTTAAAAAAAGGTAAAATAAAAAAAACAACCAACTTTTACTGACGAAGACCTAGGTAACGTTACTGCAGAACCCATTCAATTAAAATAAAGAGAGAGGTAAGGGGAGAAAAATGAAAAAAAGTCAGCGTTTATGTCTAATTTACTCCATTCATTGAAATCGTAAAAAAGTTTGCTTAAAGGCTCTCGACCTGAGATTTTTACAGGCCTCTATCTGTTTACACATAATGACGTATGTCCACATTGAGAAAAGAAAAAAAAATCATGTAAAAAAAAAAGAGAGAGAGAGAGAGAGAGAGAGACAGAGGTATGAATGGCGTGTGTGTGTAAGAGAGAGAGAGAGAGAGAGAGGGAGAAAGAAAGACAGATAGATAAGCAATCAAAGAATAATGCAGTATCACACCGTATTTATTTGTATACTAATATATATATATAAATTTTACCACTACGTCTCAAAATCTACTATATTTCTTACGTAATTGAGTATAGTCTTCTTTGTTTATTTTTCAACTTGATCGATTAATCTCCCATGAAATTGTTCATACAAAGATCGATTATATACCTAAATTAGTCATTTGTAAATAATTGAGTCTCTGTTGTTAAGCCATAAGTAAAAAAATGTTTTATAACTTAATCTTAAAAAGGTTGCTAATCACTTTTTTTAAACTGATAAGCTAAAAATATTTAAATATTAGCTTTATATATCCTTTATACAGTACGGAGATAATAGATAATCACCGGTTATCTCTGTCTTTTTTTTAACTATTAAATATTCATTTTTTTTCAGACCAAAACAGACAAGCGTGTTATCATCTTATCAAAGAATTTATACTCACTGGAAGGTATATAAGATAGGCGAATGAATATCCCTGAGATTTTTGTAAAGTTCTGCAAAAATTAACGAATTCTACGTCCTTCAGAGAATTTCTATAGTAGATCCTTTAAGACACAAAGCAATTAATTATAGTTTATTAAATAGATAAGGTTCAATTTACCTTTGAACGGATGGATATCTTTGAAAGTAGATTGAATACGCTTCTTGAATATCGTTGAGGAATAACTGAGCGACTTTTGTTGATGCGGTATCGTAGAACGAAACGAATAGCTCGATCTGTGTGAGAGTTTAGTATTATTTGTTACGTAGGCCTTAGAATATTCTGTTATTAAATAGGGTCTTTTTTAGTTTGTTGTATAACGACGTAAGGGAGACAAGTATTGCTTATATTGTTGTCAAAGATTATAATTAAAAGAATACCGTCTTTATTACATTGCGGTACTTATTGACTAATTCCAAACAGCTTTTTGTATATACTTATAAAGAAATTCCAGTATTGATTTTATATATATATGATATCAATTTTTCTATACAACCATGAGAAAATTGAAAATTAGTAAATAATGAAAATTATACACCTGTATGACGCCATCTAGTTGATAATGGTCTTAAAACTTGTATGGTATGCATGTATAACAATAGGCTATATATACAATTCCCTATGTGCGTATAAACAACTTTGTTTACAAAGATATTAGTAGATTTATTTACCTTTCGAATCAATCTTTCACTTAGGGATAATAAAGGGTCAATTCCGGCACATAATTCGAGATAATCTTCTCTTGGCATGGAAGAAAATTTCCTTAGCGGTTCAGCGTAATATTCCTTAAATATATGTAATTCATCCAAGTATTCCTTTTCGGACGTAAATAGATCGATAAGAATATTCTTATTTGACCATACTTTATCTATTATACAGAAGAATAAGGGGAGGAGGAGAAGAGGGGAAGATAGAAAAAAAGAAAAAATTTTAGACCCTTTTAAAACTCATCTTTGAATGTTAAAGAATAGAAAAAAACATTATACCTTTGACAGGTAAACAATCGTCGACCTCTTTTCTAACCGTCGTAAAACTTTTCGATTTACGAAGTTTTGTCTTCATTGTATAACTTTCTACTCTCTTTTCTCTTCTCTCATTCACAATATTATCTTCTCTTTACCGTCTTCTTCGTCTTTTTTCAATGTTATCAGTTTTATAATCCAATAAAAAAATACCGAGTGGAAAAGGTGAAAAATGAGTAGATGATTACGATGATTGGTTGTGAGCAGACGAAGAGCACAAAGTCAAATAACAATATCAAAATAGGATAGTAGTGTAGTAGTAGAAAAATATCCTGAATTGAAATGCAAAATAAGAGAAACTTTCACTCTCTGTTGTTCTCTATCACACTGTCTCTGTATATATAACTATCCGTCACTGTCTCCCTCTATTTTTAATACTATTAATGTAGCCTTTAGCGTTTTAATTAGTATCGTAATTGAAGCAGCTGAATCAGTCGTATCAGAGAAATACTGTTAACGTACAACAATATAAGGCGATTCTCCATCACCATTCATGCGGCACGATTCCAAGCGTTCAAATGATTCACTTACCAATTCTATTTTCCCTTCAAACAAGTTTTTTTTTCTTCTATTTTTTTTTGTTAAAGTTTATATCGATTGTTCAAGCCGAGGTGCTTTTGTCATTTAAAATATTCAGCCGATTGGTCTATTCAAAAGAGATGCATTGTAAAAATTTCTCAGCATTTAAACAATACTGACAATACGGTTTTAAAGTCATACTATTCTTTCCATGAATAGGTGTTTGATACTGAATGGATAGTGTCAAACTGTTTGAACAATAGAAAGAGAACCCTTCAAATTTCTTGCTAATGCGTTTAGCTATTCTTTTGTTCTTGTAGCTATTGGCTTATCCAAAAATTAAATATTCATGTTTATTAATTAGTCACTAATGAATAATTCATCATTATAACTGAATGTATTATATATATATATATATATATATATATATATTAGTATATAAATTTATCTTGTAAACATATGATTAACGCATTGTTATAAATAAGTCTTATTATTGTAGAACAAAGGGGGCGGAAGTGGATTATATTTTTAAGGCCTTTCACTTCTAGGTCTCTTCACCTCAACTGTAACACCGTCCATTTCTACTTTTTTACTCTTCTGTTCGCGATCTTCCCCTACAATTCTCTGCTTGTGCTCATCTTCCCATCGTTTCTGTTCCATTCTAACGCTCTTCTTTTGCTTTTCGGACATTTCTGTCCTTCTCTCGTCCAAAAGATGATTCACAATATCGTATATATCGTCTAATTTAGCGTCTCTTTCGTCAATGTCTACTTTAGTTAGAGCCATTGCTCGATTAATGGGGAAAAAATCAAAATTACCTCCCGATATCTAATTAAAAAGTGTTTTTAATGACAGAAATTTATTAATTTAGCGACTTAGAAATCAATTACAAACCTGATTATAAACATATAATTCCGTGTTTGTTAGATCGTTTTCGTCCGTTTCTCTAAGATGTATAAAATAGAATATATAGGCCCACAGGTTATGCTCCTCTTTAACGTGATGTTCAAAAGTTGTAGAAGAGTTAGCAAACTCGTAACTCTGTCTACCGCAAATAAAGCAAAATGTTCTCATGTCTTGTTCCGCTTTCCACTAGTAGAGAAAATTAATTAATCAATTAATTAATTAATTAGACAGTTAGTTTATTGAATACCTTTAAATCCCTTAGTTCAGAAAATGTGTCGAGTATTATACCAAATATTATATTTAGCCCTATGGTTGTTATGATAATGTGAAAGATAATATGATAAGCGAATGTTGGACCGGCAGTTTGTATGTTAATTTCATCGGCATGTCTTGGTCTGAGATGTTCAGTTAATTCACCAATAAAACCAAATCTAATTATCGACAGTGTACATTGAGCTAAATTTCGGCAGAAAAGATTTATGTCGCTATTTGGACTCATTTGCGATCTTAAGAATGCAAAGGCAACCAATGCAAACATATACATAATAAATATACCCAACAAGGCAACCAATAGCAGGGATCGACCTAAAGAAAATTAAGTGAATTATATAGGATATATTAATACAAATAACTATAATAACTGTTAAGAATAGATTAAAAATAAAATGGCCAACAATGTATGAATGATTAGAAATAAAGGTGTTTCAAGGGGCGGGAGAAAAAGGGGGTGGAATCTTTAGATATTATTATTTATTGTTGTTGTTATAAATATCCTATTTTTCTTTTAAATCTCCCTATTTTGAAAGGGTGTGGTGTTTTCGTAGAAGTAAAAAAGAGCAAGCTATTATTTACCATTTCTAGTAACTGCTTCAATAACTCTCTGTAGCAATGGATTCCATAGTACTATATTAACTAGATGAAAGGCGAAAAAATAACCGTAGAATACAGTTCCGCATATTGAAAATGCCAAAAATGCTGTATAATATACTAGTTTAAAGCTGAATATATCGACTTCTAACAGAGATTGATGGGGTGGTTTCTCTTTTCTGTTATGTAACCTATTTGTTAAGACAAAACAAACATTAAAATGATTGTTAAGATAGGAATAAATGTCCATTTTGTATAGTTTAATTACCCAATTTGGTACTTTAATCCGGCTACAGTTGGTAAACGTATTTGGTTGGATAGAAAGAAGGAGACAAAGACGAGTAAAGATAATAGATTGTGCACTCCTCCTAAAGCGTATATAACTATTTCAACCCATTTGTCACGTACAGGAACAGGACTATATAAGTATATTTAATTAATAAAATCACTGATAAAAACTATAAGGTCAAGTATTCAAGTACTACTTACTCTGATATACCAATTGGTAGAGGTAAAGTTGGATCTGTTTCGTCATAGCTATTTCCAAGGAAACCTGCTGCTTTCCAAGTACTCAGCATAATAACGTTAATTATCAATGAAACCAGTACACATAATTTATTCCAAACGAACCAGTTATTTATCAAAAAGGATGCAAAAGAAAAAGATTGCATCTTTCGTTGATAATAGATATCGTTTATTATATCCTTTGACCAATCCATTAACTCCCTGATTTTGTTCGATTGTGTATCTCTATTGATGTTCCATTTCAATTTCTCTTGCACCTCTTCCCTAAGGACATTCTGTCAAATAGTAAAGAAAAATAAGGGTATTATTAAATGATAAGATATTTTAATTATAGCTCCAACCCTGTCTTTAACTCGAAATCTCGCTTTCTGTAAATTATCATCTTTAAGTATCTCAATACTTTCCGATTCTTTTGAATAAACTTGCCAAGCATCTTTCTTATAAGGAATTTGAATTTCCCTTTGAATTGCTAAACAAAAACATTGTTAAAGTATTAATTCTTCAATAAATATCTGCTAGATGGAATCTTGTTACCTTTAATTCTAAGGATTTCTTCAATTCTTTGAACGATAAAGTAATATTTAAATCCGACTTCCAAATGTTCCTCCTTTTCATCCTGAGTCATTTTCTTCTTTTTCACTTTAACCTTACCAACCTCTTCGTCCAGAATACCTTTCTATTTTTTCGGAAAGAACAACACGGTTATTATTAAATATTATAATTCAAAGGTAATGAAAGATACTAACAGATGCTCTATATGAACAAACGGCGACTACTTCCAGTATCTCTTTATCCAGAGTTTCAGCAATTTCCTAAAAAGTAAGATATATTATACAAGACAAAGATAGAGATAGAGATTTTGAGATTATAATCATCGTCTTCTCATTGAAACATACCTTAACTAACTCCTTTGTCGTTTCATGATTCTCTTCAATCATAGACATGATTAACTCTCCAATAATAGTTCTTATAGCAATCGTTCTCTTATGGCCAAATTCTTTATATTTACCAGAACGTAATATATGATTTACAAAATCAACTATATTATTCGAATATATTACGTGATGGTTATGTTCGTTACCCTATTGAAGTAATTTACGAATAATTGTAATTCATTAACTAATTAATTAATTAATTTATGCAAATATATTTCATTTTTTTTGTTGCTTATTTACCGATGAGAATTCATTTAGGGTTGAGAAACACTGAATAATTAGGTCGATATTATTTTCATCAATAGCCGAATAAAGCATATTTAAAAAACTTGTAGTTTGAGCAATAAGATTAGCTGATTTAATGTTATCTTCTTGTTCTCTTAAGTAATTCTATTTAAATATTGAATTAATATTTATCATTTTAATATTCAATAATGGTATTTTGTTAAAATTAATTAATTACTTGTAAAACTCTATTCTGTCCATCGCACATCCAAGCTAGCACCCTTAGCACCAATTCAATGTGTCCATCGTCTTTAATTTCAATATTTGTAACCTCACTTATAAGTTCGTGGTCAGCCTGTTCAGCGTCAAGGCTATCTGTATCATTCGTTGGTTTCTAACCAAATCGAATAAGCGCAAAATTAAAAATTCTCTTTATTCAAATAAATCATTAAATGAATAAATTGTAAAGAGATGTGCAGTGTTTATAGAAGCCAAGCAGTCATTTCAATATAGAACAGCCATATTTTAGAAACAGAATTTGTAGATCAATTATTACCCATCTATTCTTTTGATAATCTTCGTCAGAGATTTCAAATATATCTAGAGTAGATTGATAGACTTCCGGTTCCTCTATAGGAGCTGGACCAACTTTACTCAATCGTTTTTTTATCGAAGAGAAGCGTATCATTTCGAAATGATTACTTCCTTCGTTTGTAGTATCATTGCTCTCCCTTAACTTTTTTAGTATTTTAGGAATGAAATAAAGAAAAGATTGTTAATTGAAGCGTTAGATTTACAGTATATTAGTACAGCGACTTTTTTAAATAAACTTACAGTCGTAATCTGTGTTTTTTGAAAGAAAATGATAAGTGAAATATACGTTGGAGAAGAGGGGTGGGAAGTGGGAAAAGGAAGAAGAAGAAGAAGAAGATTATATAACTAATAAAGAGGAAAAAGGCTTTGACATACCCCTGGTAATTCTTTCAGTTTTTGGGTACCCATCTTCAATGTTGTTGCTGTTTTCTTTTGTTCCCTGAGTTTCTCTTCACATTGGGCAGCCAATAGACGTCTAGATATAAGTTTCGTTAATCACATGTTCGTATGATAACACTTAATAATTACCTTTCCCTAATTGTTATCATAGACTTTTGAATTTTATCTTTAATACAAAAAAAGAAAATCTCTTCTCTCGTATTCAAGAAATTATCTTCAAAAGCTGCTTGAGTAGATGGTGAACCGCTAAACAATAAGACAGATAAAAAGCACAAGTATTCTCTGCTAAGATCTTCATTTGATCTTTCCAAATGTTTGAGAGTCTTTGTTAAAGCACCTAATTTATTCAATTCATATTGAGTTTTGAAAATAATATCCAATTGATCTTTATGCTTTAATGGATTATCTTTCCAATTCTCTGGTAATTTTCTCTCTTCATTATGAATAATTCCTCTTAAGATTTGTAGGGCCCTTAAATCTAATCTTTCGATTTCGGGTTGAGACCTTTCCGAAGCTTTCATTTTATTCGCAGAAATACTGTTTATAATTTAACAATCGGATTAAATAAATTAATTCCCACTAATCCTGATTAATCTCTACACTACTTACAATAAATGATCGATGAGCTTTGAAGTTCTTGAAAATTTCAATGACCAATCACTGGTAGAGTTATCAATGAAACAATGAATTAACAACTGAAATTCTTCGCCAAGAGGCAATTCTTCATCTCCGGCCACGGTAGTGTATTCTAAAGATTATATTAATACAACTTATAGTTATATTAGAAAATAGTAAGACGTAATGGAAAAGAGGATTCAACCTCTATTGGATGGATAGTCTAGTTGGTTTTCAACAGTGTTCTTTCCTTCCGTTAACTTTTTACAATTTAGAGCAAAAGCGTTTAACAACTTGTTCGTCTCTTGTTCATCTCTGTAATGTCTTCTATAAAGCTACAAATAGATATTCCGTTTACTTTCGTAATTAATACTTTAGAAAGGATATTATTGAACCTCTCTAGAGTCGTTTGATGCCATTTGCACTTCATCTACCATTCTTTTGTCCATAAAAGCGGCCAGTTGCTAATGTATAGTTTAATATAATTAATTATAGATAATCTCTTATTAAAAAGTCAAATTAGTTACTTCATTAGGTGCTTGAGATTTTTCAAAAACTGTTGCCAAACAACTCAATAAAACATCTCTATGATTCTTATTTGACAAACAATCGTATATCGCATCGGTAAACTTCTATTTAATTCGTAATAGAGGAGATAAATTATCATTAATTAGAATATTACATGGTATAAAACTAGGTTAAAAGATAAAAAATAACGAACCAATAGTCCTTGGGTTAACTCATTTACAAGATTTATAGATATTCTCCTCTCAGCCGAGTAGATTTCGGAAAAGTAGATCTATTAGTTAAAGTAAAATAAATGAATAAAAGAATTCCTTATAAATTAATAATTTACCTTCAAAAATGTCAGTACACCGTCAAAGAGATAATGACAACTTGCATAGGCATAGTTATACTGGGGATCACCACCTTCCGGAAGTGCGCTAATCATTTTATATAAATACTTAGTATCAAAAAAATAATAGTAATAATTATAATAAACGAAACAGACATAGAGAATAGCACTTCAAAACAAAATGAAACTAGTTTTATAACTAATTTATGATGTAATACTCATGCATAAAAACAAACAAACAAACAATAAAAACTATAGAAAAGAGAGCGTCTTCTATATAGATTTTTATTCTTTTTTAGTGAACTTTAAACCATAAAAAGGCTAAGGTCCAAATTATAAAAGAGTATAAGTGAATAAAATACTAATTAATCAAGGTAAAAAAAAGAGGGAATAGGTAAAAAAAAAGATGATAACCCAGTGGAAAAACAAACAAATTCATTTTAAAGATAATAATCATAATCATCATAATCATCATCATCGTCGTCATCATCGTCGTCATTATTATTAAGCATAAATCTATAATCTTTATAACATTGACTTGATTGATTTGATTGATTAATTTGATTGATTGATTTGTGGTTTATTTTTGAATAAATTAGACCTACTCTAACTAACCTTGTTAGAACTGCGCTGTTTTATTTTAAGGGTTTTTTTTTGTTTTTTTAAAAAAAAAATTAGTTTTTTTTAATTATATATATATATATATATATATATATAGTTTTTGTTTGTTTATATAAATCGAAAACAATATGAGAGGATTTAAATGCTAAAGAGGCCTATTTACCTTGTTGATGGCGCCTTCTTTAGTAATTGTTTAGTAGAATTCTTATTAGATGAAACGTATGGAATAAGTCTTGTCATGGTACTTATAATGCTTCTGAACCATTCTTCTCTGTAGAATTAGATAGAAAATTGGAAATGGAAATAATATTTAAAAGAAAATTACATTTCTCCATCGTAGTCTCCCGAGGCAAATTCAGTTTCCGAGAAGGAACCGCCAGTATTTAGATATGCCCATAGAAGATAACGTACAAATGGTCTTTTTAAGTTAGTATCCACCTGTTCGTTGGTAACAACTGAAATTAACTCCCTAAATGGTAGGATGGTTTGACATAAGGATTCAATAAAACGGTTTTCTCCTTCACAACAGGTGGCTAAAATGTCGACGAGGCTCATTAAATAGCTCAAATGTTGTTTGCCCATCTTTCCCATTAAAATTTGTAACCTTTCAGATTCTTCGTATTTATCAAAAACGTAAGCGGCTCTTGAAAATCTTTGATTAAGATACTTGACAACATAATCTTGATTTCTTTTCAAAGGTAAATTCAATTCTTCAATTTTAATGATTGCGGATAAAGCGTCTAAATATTCGGCGGCTTTCTCTTGATATTTCGCAGTCAAATCAACTATCTTTTGTATATGTAGTGGGTTGACCTTTAGGCAAGTAGTTTGATTTCCAACAAAAACTTCAGTAAGTGCCTCTGCAAGTTCCTTTTCGACACCTTTGATACGTAGCATAAAATCTAATCTTTGGAATATGAACGCTTGACCTTCTTCGTTTCCTTTAATCATAGCCTTTAATAACTTTAGAGCCCATCGGAAAACATCTCTTAAAGCTCCGTGATGATTCTCCTCCATTTGAACGTTATGTTGTAATATTTTAAGTACAATATCCATTACACCTAAGAGGGAAAGTGTACAATGTGTAATAGGAAATACTTAATTAATAAGAATAGTATGGTTCGAACCGTTATTAGCTAAAATAATTTGATTCATAGTGTGGTGTTCTTCACAATCATTGACTAAATGGCACATACTGTTGTAAAAGAGCAAAGGTAAGAAAACAAAACTATACATTATGTATACATTTTAAACTTACTCGATTAATTGTTTTATTATTGCAACTGACTCGTCGGCCTGTTCATTACTCATCTTTGATCCGGCATTCCTTCTTAATTTGGGTAGAATACCATCGATAATCTGATTTATCTGTATCGAATCATCTGTAAGTAAAACTTGAGCTTTTACAGCCTTTTCAAACAGATCGGCTTTCGCGGTGAAGAATTTGGTTAGCAGATGCATAGATTTTGTAATCATATCATCGTATTCGTACTTGGATAAATCAAGCATTATATCTCTAAAATCTTCCTTATCAAATACAGTTGTACTCTCCATAATCCTTTCAATCTCTTCCAAAATATCCGCTTTTAGGCTTAAAATGGAATTTACTGTAGTTTGTTAACTTTTTCAAAGTTCTATTTTAAACTTACTGCTGATCTTTTCTATTAATTCGTTTACTTTCCAACATTGAACTAAGTCTATTAGATTTTTGCTTTTTTAGACGCCTAAATAAGGCTATAAACTTTTCTAATCGAATGCTAAATTGAAAGGTTAGAAGAACGTCTACAACGTCCATTGCCGCTAATTTTGCTTGAACAATAGCATTCGTTTGAGCGCAAGGTTTATATCTCTCTTGCTTTTGATAGGCAAGTTTAGCTTCTTTATCTTTACCAACTATTGAATTAAATATAGGGTTAGAAAGTTAATTAATGAATTCTAAGAATTTTCCATCACACCTGATTTAGGTGGACGATCATTTGTACCATCCATAAGGTCCATTAAACCCTCCCTTAACTTTTTTATGTCGCTAGCATCGTAAAATCCAAATTTTATTAAGTATTTAACAAGCTCCAAAACCTTTTTGAACGAAATAAAAAGTATCTATTTACTATTGATTTTAATAGAAGTATTAAATCCGTACCTGTTCAATGAGATTATTGCCACCAATATCGTCGAATGACATGCTACCATGTTCCTTAAGGAAACTCGCAATCCATCCTTGAAGAGATTGAATAATCTGTCTTTCATTATCCGATAGTCTTTCCAACTAAATTTAAATATTTATAAATAGATATAAAGTCTTATTAAGTAATGTTAACTTACGTTATCCAGGTATTTCTTCATAATATCAGCACTATCGGAGACAACTTCATTGTAGACAAAAGTTAGTTTTGTTTGTTCAACAACCGAAGTATTATTGCCAACATCGACAAATAACTTAATAATAAGATTGCAGTATTTCGCCCGAAGTTCAGCAGGCATTGCGGGATCTGTAAGACAAACGAAAGCCTCCTCCCAAGTTAGGAAGCGTCTTGATTTCGTTATAACTTCAATAGCGTGATGATTTCTTCCTTCGCACAATTTACCGAATAGTTCCAATTGTTTCTCAAGAAACATGTATTGATTACTATCGTGAGTTACCTAGATAGAATAGATAGGAATAGTTGTAATAAGTAATAAATTAAATCTAACCTTAACAAAATCGGATAATTTCACCCAATCTTTAGCTTCACCAGTTTTCACGTAGACGATATTCTCGTTCTTCTTACTTGGTATATTAGTGGCAAGTTCTGTAAGAAATACGCCATCTTCGTTTTGAAGCCATTGATCTACAATAAATGATTGGTTTTCCGGAAGTGGAATACCATCACAAACGCTAATAACATTAAGATATTCAAGATAACGATAATTCTTAGTTGCTTGAACTTTGTCAACAATTTCGCAAATCGTCTCTTTTGATATCCTCTCAACAATCTTTCTATTATCTCGAATTAGTTCGGCAATCATATCTAATGCATTATTACTTATATTTCTATCGATTTGTCCATTTTCCAAATTTTCAAAGAACATTATATATTTAGCGAAATACAATTCATTCTTTCTACTATCGCCCTTTAAATAGTAGAGGAGAACTTCTAACATGGAACTCAAAACATCATTTATCTTCTTTTCATTAATCCTATATAAATGAATGAAGGTTGGTTTAAAAATCATTTGGAAAAAGTATACAATCAAATCCAAAAGGTGTAAATTTCTCATTAATTTTTGTCTCTTTTTATCGGGAAGAGCGTTAACAATCATAAAATTTTTCATTTGAATAAGCGTCTAAAAGAGACAATTGAAATAATTAAAAAAAAATTCAAATAGACGCCTTTACTTTATTCGCCTTACCTGTTTTATATCATAAATTATAGCTACTGGAATATTGGTTTGTGGATGCTGAGAAATCTATAATAAATTCATTATAGATATTGTAATGAATATTCAAATATTCAAAAAACCGTTTCAATGAAGGAAATTAAAACTGGGGCAAAACCACTGGCAATGTTAAAATCCTTTTTAGATGAATCAGAAACTTTTTGAAGAGTGAATGCGTCATCGTCCATTCTGACTTGCTCTACTCCCAACTGTATAATAACAACAGTATTTCTTTTCATTCCTTCTTAACTAGAAACATATGACAAACTTCAAACTTACCTTTCTTAGATCGGCTCCGTCCCATTGTAATTTACCTATTTCGTCTACAGCTAGTTTATCTTCGGGTTTGATAAATTTATCTATTTATAGAATAACGTTGTTAATATACAATAAATAATAATTAATATATATATATATATATATATATATATGTGTATTGTACAGTATATAAAGGTTAATTACCTTTAAGAGCGTGTAACCACTTCCCAGAAACAGCATGTTTTATCCTAGCGTAGCTTTCAAATTCCGCTTCGTCCTTTTCCTGTATTATTAGAGGGGAGAGTAGTTTCATTAGTCGTAAACAATAGCTCTTCGTCTATATACCTGAGTAACCGGATAAAGAATAAAGACTGTTGAAGGAGTTGGAGATGGAACTAGAATCAATCCATTAAATAAATTATCCAAAGCCAAGTACATTTTCGTTGGTAGATGACGGAATCTTATTGAATGTTCCCAAAGAATTTCACTGCCTATAATAATTGCATAAGTGTAATTATAGCGTCTCTGTATTTTGTTCTTTCTCTCCCCCTCTCTCTCTTCCCTAATTTATTCTCATACCGTATTGTAAGCCATTCTTGTGTTCAACTTGCCAATAAGTTATAGCCGATGTTGACGGAAACATTGTCTTTGGTTTGCTATTATCGATTGGCCTTAGTCTCATATGAACTTGAAGAAGAAGAAGAAGAAGGGTTTTTATAAAACTAATTCGAATATTCAATTATTCAATTAATTAATTAATTACCCTGGTCAGGCTTCGAACCAGGAATAGGATTCATGTACAATCCATCGGAAACGACGTATGCTTCTAACTCTTTATGGAATAATCTCACAAGGGAACCACCCTTATAAAAAAAAAAGGAATTCAGTTTTGACTGCAATTAAGATAAGATAATAAAGTTAATTTACCGTAATAACCGAAGAATTATTATCGGAAGGTCGTTTAAATAAACCAATTACAAAACCGGTTTTACTCACTCCCAGATTAATTTCGCAACTGAGAAAAAAAAGATCATTTGGATAGAAAGAAGGAAAAAATAATTATAAAATGAATGAAATTTTAATATTCAAGTGAAAAATTTGAATAAATTATAAATACATTTTTGATCTGATAAAAGTATCTTGAAAAGCTGTGCTAGCGTGTAAAAATTGACCAGGAGATTTAACACTCTCCAATAAAACTTGATCAGAATCTTGTATAAGATCACCTTCGGATTTAACTTTAAATCTTGGCAAAATTTTAAATTGGGCATGTTTGTCATCAAAACCATATAACATTACCTATGGAAAAGAAGGGAGAATTATTGAAATTATTCAGAATGCATTATAATTAATTATCTATATATAATTAGTAAAATTAATAAGTTAGTTTACGAAAATGAGGGTCAAAATTATCAAATAAGCTGTTTTTTTGTTTTTTACGTACTTGCATACAATTTTTATCCCTTAAACTTGTTTTCGAGGTACTAATATGAACATAATTGTCGGTAAATATATGTTTTAACTGTATTATCTGCCCATATCTCAAACGCTGTCCATGAGCTCTCTGCTTTTCCTTTTCGTTATCTCTAGTCTCTGATAAGGCATCCGATCTTAATTTCTCAATGCTAACACCATCAGCCAATCTTTTCTTGCTCGACTGGGTTTGTCTATAGATTTTGTTTAGTTTGTATCGGTTTCTAGGACATATTTCGAACGTTATCGCTACAAAAGAAAAACATAGTAAACTTTATTTTTATATTAAATATTGATATTTAAATCTCTAAATAATTAAGGCCTATATAAGAGGTTGAAGTAACTTTTACGACTTAAATAGACATCTTTCAATATACTGCCATTTTTATCCGCGTTGGGTGTATTTACATTAGCCTATTGCCTATGTTGTTCATTCCGAGTATACCTTCGCCACAGGCATTCACCTATTTAATGAATGAATAAGGGCAGGAAGAAATTATAATATTTCTCTTTTATAGGCCTATTTAGATAAACTAAGACTTTTACTATAAATACATTCTAGTTGTTCAATAAACGAATATTGTTTCAATATTTTGAAATATAAATAAATTATGATGAAATTTTTACCTTGAGAATCGGGTATATCTTTAATATCGATGTAATCTTCCTTCTTTTGTTGATAGAACGTTTGAAGAGAATTATGAGCATTGCTTTATTTTTTATTAAAACAAACAAAACAGTTTTATAAATGAAACTCTAAGTAGTGATAGTTAAAATGTATACCTGGAGGAAAAATTGAAGACGAAACCTGACCTATCCTCGCAAAAGAGATGAACAATATCCCCGTAACAAATATAACGAGCCATTTCTTTAGATTAAATAGATTAAACGAGCCAATCCTCTAAAGCTATCAACCGACCTGTGTATAAGTGATATATTTTCCTAATATTTATTTAGGGTGGTTGATAGAATGAGACTCTAGATCTATACATAGAACTCTTTAAAAGAGTATAAGATAGTTTACAGCGTACAACTCTTTTGATTCATTAAATTCTACTAAATATATTCGATATTTCTATATAAAATAGGACTATATAAGTCATTATCTATTATAATAATCAATGCTTTTTTTAGCTCTTAAAAAGATTTACTTAATACACTCTTCTTTTAACAGATAAGGATATAAGACAATAAATCAAAGATTCCTTTACCTCGCTTTATAGTTTTCTTCTATTTTATTACTGTTTAATAGATCAATTCATCTACTATCAGGAAATATTCTGCAATTATTAAAAATGATTCAAATTACACGATGTAATTTTAATATATTAGATATACTGTATATATATATATACAGTATATATATTAATATATAATATTGATTTTTTTCTATTCTTCTCTATATCTTTCCATATTCCTTCTAGTAAAGTTTGTTAGAATACGATTAAAGACGGTTGAAAAAAGTTCAAACTAATAAATGCTATTTTCATTTTTACGTATAGAATTATATAAATATGTTAAACGTAGTTAGATACTTACCAGAAACTCGTTGGAAAGTGACAAAAGTAGAGAAAAATAATAAAAAAATAGTTGCCAACCTAAGCCGAAAAGTTTTAAGGCCTAGGAACTAACACTATTCAGCAAATTCCTCTATATAGTAGAACTTCTATTATTATCATTCGAATAAATAGGCCTAACGAAAAGATTCATAGTAAGTTTCACATACTTTAAGAAATAGTTATAAAGGGTAGCTTGAGATTTTTCCTACATTTTCTTTTAGTAATAGAAAGAAACATTTTCGAATAGTTCTTTATCTACTTTTAGTTCCCCTCCCACCCTTCCTTATGTATCTTTATATATCAACATTTAGAGGGCCTTTCATACCTCTTCTTTCATTTATTAAGAATGCAAAATTCATATTTATATTAGTTTATATACTATAAAGTAGCTCTAATGGAATTTTTTTCACTTTGTAATATAGAATATAATTCATCATTTTAACCTATACAAAAGCTCAAACGAGCAATATTTCTTTATCGGATAGTTCCTTTGGTCAGCTCCACCTGGAAGTAATGGAAGCGACTACATCTTCTTACATGTATACTGTATATATATATATATATTTAACGTCTGTACCTTGCATTCATTTCCGTGAATTTATCCTGTATTGTACTCATAAAGGTTATACAAGTGACAGCTGGTCTAAAGAAGGATAATTTAGGAATTGTATGAGGAAATTTATGAATGATTTCCGTCTATCATGAGTATTTTAAATGAAATTCGACGCTTTGGCGTTGAAATTGTTAGCTTTATATATTTTTTCTCATGGCATTTAATTTATACATCTTCACAAACTTATTTAAATACTGTAACTGGAGATCTACAAGAAATTAACGCCTGCAAAAGTAATTTAACGTCAAAGGAAATATATCATAAGGAGAGGGATACGGTTATTCTTTCTATGAAATTATCCTTAGCGGAACTTTTGCCAGTTATTCCCGTGACAATTTTCTTTGCGATTAGAAGTGATTTAGATAAAAGGAGAAGACTACTGATTTGGCTACCTTTTGTTGGTAACGCTCTATTTTGTTTCTTCTATATCATACACTTCTACCAACGAAAGTATCTGTTCCTTCTCTACTTTGGTAATCTTTGTATGGCCTTTTGCGGTCATATGTATATGTTCCAGGCGGGCGTTCATTCGAGAATAGGAGATCATTTTCAATCGAATCAGAGGCTACTTCAAATGGCTACTCAAGAATCTTTTATCCAATTGGCAATGGGTCTAGGTATATTGGTTGGTGGAATATGGGATCAATACCTTGGTTTTCTTAGTTCATACTTTATTGGACTAGTCATATCTTCAATTGCAGTTCCTCTCACTTTTCTTCTAGTTGTAGAAGACAAACTTAACACGGAAAATTCCTACGAAGAGATTGATGTGAAATCGTGGAGACATATCTTTTGCGAAGCTAGATATTGGCTAATATTCTTAAGTTTTCAGTTATTTATATTTGTTCACAACGGAGAAGAAAGAATACGTATACTCTATTTTAAGAATAAACCGCTTTGTTTCACTTCTCTAACCATTGGGCTAACATGCTTTGTACTAGGCCTAGTTGCCTCAATTGGTACAGTAGGTAGTGTCTATATATTTTCAAGGATGGGTTTAAAGCCACTTTGGATAGGAGTTGTTGGATTTGGATCAAAAATTGTTGGTAGTATATTTTTAGCTGTAGCAAACAGTCTAGCGTTAGCCATGCTAGGTAAGAAAGTTTGTCCATTCAAAGATAACGATTGTTCATCCTTCCAATTTCTTTTCATTCAAACACAGCTCAAGTAACAATGATCTTCTACGCAGTTCCATTTTCAGTTGCTAGATCATTTATATCGGAAATAGCTGGTGAAGGAAAACAAGGTAAAAACAGAAACGATTTAACGATTTACTAAATGGAATAGAAAGAATTTAAAACTCTTTGATGTTTATATATCTTTTTTATTGTTATATATAGGAGTTGCACAAGCGATTTTGCATAGTGGTTTAGCGATTAATGCCGCAATAGAGCCACCTATACTTGATTCAATATATGCGGCTACTTTAGATACCGTTTATGGAATGACGTTTTATTGCTGTGCAATAGTACTAATCGTATCAGCTGTATTATTGATGTAAGATTTGATTTTATTACCATTTTGAATATTCAATAGATTTCATTTTCTTCTTTCTTTTTAGAATTGGCGATAAGATGCAAAAGTTTAATAGATCTTGCTACAATGAAGAAAGTATTCCACTAGATGGCGATAAAGTTGATCAAAATGTTTAAGAGCTCAAAAACTGATAATTATTATTATATCTTTAGTCGAATGTTAAGTAGCAATAAACCGTTTAATTGAATATAAGAGCTGAAATCTTTATTGTTTAAATCGGATGTAGAATATAGCATCTATTTGGACGTTTGAACGAAAAACAATATTGTTCTCTTCCTCTCTCTCTCTCTCTCTCTCTCTCTCTCTCTCTTTGAAAGAGGAGAGGTTAATCTTTCTAAAATAAAAAATCTATTATATCTTGGCAGAATGAAATAGAGAACTTTTTCTCTAGTTCTATTTTCTTAGGCCTATATTTGTGATTATTTTCTTCCTTTAAAAGTACATACGTATAGGGTTGGATTGTTCTAAATATTTGGCCTAATTCCACAACTCGCCTGAACGCGACGGGTAAAAGTTGACTTAAGAATTGAATTCGCTCTTCTGTCTTAAACCTTGTTCAAACTTTACAAATACGGCCTAGAACGACAGATGGCCTGAGAAGATAAAATAAGCGCCACCTACAAGTGGAAATTATAAATATTTTCTCTTTATTTCATTATTCTTTCCCGAACTCGGTTAGAGAACATTAAACGGAAAGACGGAAAGATAGAAAAACGATGAAAGTTGTGATATGAGTTTATCCTCGGTGATAACGCTAATCCTGCTTCTCTCTTCGGTTACAAGAACTTTTGGAACGGGTAAGCAAGCAAGAAAGTAAAAAGAGAAAACAAACTAAACCAATGAGAAATACGCTAAGAGCATAAAAAAGTTATAAACTAATAATGACCTATTTGCATATTAATTATTATAAAATAAACAAAAGGGAACTTGAAAATATCTTTTTTTAAAAAAAACTGAATAATAAAGAACATATTTTCTTTTCTCATCCAGTACAGAATTGCTGCCAATTATTGGATAGGCCTTACGCCTGTAAGAAGTTTTGCAACGAGGTTAGTCCCTTTTATACAGAGATCTGGTTTAAAGTAAATAGTAAATGTAAAGAGGAAAGGACATAAAACCCTTGTTATCTGTATACTGTAAAGTTTTTTAAACTACCGTTCGCATCATTGTAAATGATTATTCGAATGATAAGGATCTCCATGACTACTACACTCGAGCCGGTAATAATAAGGTTTTTTACGACCTCCTAGCCCTTTTATCTCTGTTTGCATTCTGTCTTATCATATTTCCTTGTTTGTCTATTGAATATATTCATTACTTTATATAAGTTCGCCGACGCGGCGGGCCACCACCTGTACACAACTTGTTATCACAGTAAACTCTTCCCGTACTGGAAATCATTTACCGAAAATTCTTTATCCAGAAGGAAAGGGGGTTGAAAGATAAATCTCCTTCTCCTCATCCTCCTCCTCTCTCTACAGCGTTCTTTTTTATTCATCTTTTAATCTTCCTCAATCCGTTTAATCCGCAGTAAATCAAACACTTGTTCTTTATCCAAGAAAATTGAAACATTCTATGTTCCTCTTTCTGAGGGTTATCGGCTTTTTAACTCGGCCTCATTAATCACCGAGTTAACCGGTTTCGCACGCGAATTTCTCCTTTGAGGCTGCCTTATTTTGGTCAAATATCTATATACTAATAACTTTTACAATCATCTTAACCAGGTTACCATACTATTTTTACAAACAACCTTTAATTAATTATTCATTTACCGCTTTGTTATTCTTGTTTTAATTATTCTCTTTTTTACACATTTTTAGCTTGAGGGAAGAGGATCAGCTCCCCAATTGATTGAAGAAATTACCAAAGTTTGCCCGCCCTTTTCGGTAAATATTACATTATAATATATATATATATATATATATAATTTATATTTATATATCTATATATATATATATATATAGCCTTTAAAAAGCTCGCGGCATTTTATTGAACAAAAAACAGGGAACATCAAAAGCGTTCGATTAAAATGTTTTCTACGCCTTTTGTGCCTTATTTTTATATCCACAATTCTCTTTCTTTCTCCCTTTTTATTTTTCTCCTTCAAACGTTTTGCCGACCGACCGGCCCAACCAGCCGCCGATTTATCATTATCTTCTACAGCAAAATGTCGGATCGCACGTGACCCGTGTTCAATTGCAGTTGCACGCGTCAATACCCAGAGGTATTTCTCGTTTTCCTCACATAGGCCTATTTCGTTTACCTTTCGGTTTTTCGTTTTCTCAGTCGGACACAACAACTTTCCCCTTATCTTTTTTGGAAATTTTTTCAAATGTGCAATAGATGGCGCCTTATATGTTTAATTTTTTTTTTTTTGGAAACTACCTACTAATACATTATTGCTTTATTTATTTATTTATATGATAATAAATCTTTATTATCTTATTTTTCGTTGATACAGAAACTAAGGATATGCCTGAATTCAACGAAAATAGGTGAGGAAGTTTTTCGAATTCTTAATCCTTTTCTTGTGTGTTCAAACCTATTCATAAAAATCGATTATCCAACCATTCCAAACTCTTTCCCCCACTCCCCCCTCTCTTTCTCTCTCCTCCCCCCTTCCTTCTTTTTCGTCAATTAGACAAAGTCTTTTATCAAGTACAATAACGCCCCTTTCCCGCCCTTTCCTCTTAGTCAAATTATATATTAAAACCACTATCCAGGTGGGTGGCGATAGCAATTGTTACAAATTTCAACGAACCGTTAAGAAATACTGACGGAGAACAAAAAAAATAACAAAATAATAAAGCAAACAAGGGGAAAAAACGTTTTTTTCTCTCTTTTCAAACGACTGGCTCAAAGTGAAGAAGCGAACCGTTAAGCAAAAAAAGGTCATGGTGTCGGATACGCGCAGCTTGAATCCCGAGATAATCGAGGCAAAAAAGCGAAGAGCGTTTTGTTTACCGTAGAAGATTTCTTTCGACCGCATCACGATAATCATTCTCGGTAAAAAACATCCGTTTTCCTTTGAGTTTAGAAACAAGGTTATAAAGTATAGAAAATCAATGTAAAAAGTATTGAAAAATGATCGTTAAGTTATATATACGAATGCTGAGATACAAAGAGGATAGATAGCTTAAGAAAAAGAAGAATATCTTTAGAGCGTATGGGGAATTAACGCCTCGTCGATATTTGTTATGCGAAAGACGTGTTAAATGTCTAGAAGGAGGGTTAGGTAATTTGTCGTTTTAGCTTGAATTAATCAATAAAACAAATAAAAAGTTATATATGCCTAAATGGTAGGGAATTTTTATACATAAATATGATTATATATATATGTTTACAGTGAGATATGTAATAGCTATATCGTGTGTTTTTCATGCCTTTAGAAAACTGATATGCAATAGTTGACAAAGGACAAATCGTAGCTCGCATTACTTATGAGATTTCCATATGTACCCTACTATATATAAATATATATGTGTATAATCTTTTATATATATACAACATAACAATTAATATAATCCTATAACAGCTATTATTGCTAGAAAAGTAGTTTTAGCTTTCAATTAATACTATTATTCTATAATTATGACCTTCTTCAATTGTTAATTAAGATTGTTAGAGTTTCTATACTTTCACTTTAATAAAAAGCTTTCTTTCTCCAGTTTGTCTTATTCAATTTTAGTCTTCTTTTTTTTATAATATTCTACCCAATCACAATACCCTTAGCCTCTAGTTTTTTTCACTCTATCCACAAATCTACTCCCCTTTCCCCCCCTCCCCCCTCCCTCGTCTTTTCCCCAAATTTTTCTTCCCTTCTCCCTCTAGTCCCTCTCTTTCTCTTATTTTAAACAGTTGCGCCGTCTAGCGGCACCGATTTCTCGACAGTCTTACGAGGCCATCCGGCCAATTTAATCGGATATAACTTTTTTTTGCCATTTACAAATTTGTGTTGTTTAAAGAGATATTTGGAAATTCATTTTTTTGGGTTATAAATCTTATTGGTTAATCCAAAAAGAGAGAGAGAAATAAGCTGAAAAATAGACGCCTAGAGTGATTATAGCTATTTAGTAAAAAGAAAAAGGAAACAATAAACGAATCGAGAACTTGGAACGATTCAATTCACGCTTTCCGCCAGTCACGCTCCGTCGATATGTTCCTGTTTGTATATCGGAATATTGACGACGCCGGCGACGCCTTTTGAAAACGGAGCGTTTTTTTTTTTAGTTACAAATTAACAAGAGAAGCGTCGCTGGTATGCGTATGCTTTATATATTACTACTACTTTCAAGCCTGATAGGTAAGAGAAGTTTTCTGAAGGATTAGGGATAAAAAAGGAAATAGGGCAGTTGTAAATCGAGAGTTATTCCTTTAAACCTTTAAATAAAAGATAGATAGACAGAATAAAAGAAGGAAAAAAAAAGCTTTGCCTCTTTATTTTTTCGTTTTATTGTCCAACTCGTTATTTGTTTATTGCCTTCGGGATTGTTATCAGTCTCTATTTTACTCTTTATGTTTATACAGTGGTTTCGGATGGAGCTCTGTGGTCTGGACGCAAATGTTGTGAGCTATTCATTAGCAAATCATGCAGAAGATCTTGCGAGCAGGTAAGAGAATTTGTTATTACTTTTTTTTTTTTTTAAAGAAAAAGGTAGCTGAAAAAGAGTGGGGGGAGTAGTGAGAGGGAATTAGAACTTTTACTTGTACAAATAGTATTAGAAGGCGCGCGTTTATCGATCGTTTTGTTCGTTTAAGGTGGGAAAAAAAAGGGGGGGAAGTGGGTTGGCCGATTGACAGTAAGAGAGAAAGAAATAGAAAGAGAGAGAAAATAGAAGATTAAAGACATGAAAAGGATAGGATAGGTTAGATTGATAGGAAGGAGGAGGAAGGGAGGAAGGAAGGAAGGGAGGGGGTAGGGGCTATTTTTTTATAGGGAAAAATATGAACATAATATAGGTAGAAAATTCATCAAATATGATTAGAAATCGATAAAAACAAAGTATATTTAGAAGTAATAATTTACAGATAATAATAATAAAATATATAAATAAAAAAGTAAGAGTAATATGTTTGCGAGACGCACTATGGAAGTGAGAGATAACAGACCGACTTTACTTCATTAGCCAGGAAATGGCAGCCCTAAATTCTGTTATGTATCAACTATGCTTTTATCAAGGGCTATTTAGTCGTAAAAAGTTCAACACAGCCAAGTTTGATTTATGAAACTTGTTCAAAGTATTTGACTATCATTTCTCTTGTCGGTTTTGTCTCCTTCTTACTTTATTTTTTAATAATTAATAACGTTGATTTTCAAATATTGTTATCAATCTTGATAATCAATTTAACATAGGCTAACAAATTACACCAGACCACCCAGACAACATTTTTCTACCCCTTAGAACCTTCCAAATCTAGCTTTTTTTCTGTTTTTCTTTCTTTTCTACAGTATCCGACATGTTGAACGATATGTAAAGACATACACAGCTGCTATCATAACAGACGAACGTACGCGAGTCCCTTGTTCATACAAGTTCTGTTTAACTAAGATCGATGAGCGTTTTTCACTCATTCGCCCCTTTTCTCTCTCTCTCTCTCTCTCTCTCTTTCTCTCTCTCTGTGGACACCTTAAATTTCTGTTTCGGTTTCTTATTACTTATTATTCTGTAAATTCTTTTCCTTATTAGATTCTTAATGTTTCCTAATTCTATATGTATAATCGACGTAATCGATTTCGTAATCCAAACATACATGTATACACAGCTTTTGTTTCTAATATGTACCTATGTGAATTTAGGCCTTTGTGCCCTTTCTCATTGTGCCCTATATTATACTTTATATAGGTATATAGATTATACTTTTCGTACCCATTTTCCATTTCTATCCATTAGCAAATGCCTCTATCTGTCTCTCTCACTCTTTCGCTATTCCTCCACTCTGTCTGTCTGTCTGTCTGTCTGTCTGTCTGTCTCTCCTCCCCTCTCTTTCTCTCCCCCTCTCTCTCTCTCTCTCTCTCTCGCTCTCAGTCACATACATATATACACACACGCACTACCAAATATTTAATCGCTACAAACAAGATACTTTCCAAGGCAAACATCCAAAACACGTTTAGTAGCTAGTTAAACTTTTATTATGAAAATGTAAATAATTTTTGAACAGAAAAGAAAAAGTGTATTTTTTTTTTAATAAAAAAATAATATGTCAAGTTAATTTTATACTTTTGTTTGATAGGCAAAATCCAGATTGAATATAGATCCCAAGTGCTTTCGCGACGAGGATTACAAGCCTTTCGAAGATTGTTTAAAAAGAGGCGAAGGTAAATTATCAGGGGTTGTATGAAAAAATAAATAAAAAAAGAGGGCTAAATACGGAGGGAAGAAGAAATATATATATTGGGTTTTTGGGATAGTAGGTGTTTTCTTTAAGAATAATAATATAATGGACTTGGCAAATAGGATCAAAAAAATGCTGTAATCAGAGAAGCATCCGAAGAAAATGTAAGCAGATTTGTAAGAGAACGTTCGTCACCCAATATCCGTCCGCTGAAGAACTACTGCAAGTTCAATCGTCTTGCGAAGAGAACGTCTCCGATTGCGTCGATCGATTCTTTGTAAACGGACCAAAGCCTATCCAGAATTCGAATTGTAAGTATAAAAATAGCAGAGAGATATAATTTAGGATATGTAATGGTAGGAAGAGAAGAATAAAAAAAAAGGTGGCAAAAGAGTGAATAAATTGAGATGAGGATATAAGAAAGGCTGATGAAAGCCTATAAATAAATAATCGTTTTTTATTACCATTATTATTATTAATAATAATAATGTTTTTTATTTATTTAAGGCATTTATTTATTTAATTTTTTACGGCAGTTAGCGCCTGCTGCGATGAGGGAGAATCGGTCGAATGCCAGCTAAGTTGCAGACGAATTCTATCGACAGTTAACAATCACGAATTAGCCCTGGAAAGTATTAGTAAAAAATGCGGACCATCGAGCTTTGATGTAAGAATCCCTACCCTTCATAGATTATCTTTATCAATGCATATAAAAAAATAACACCCCTAAACTGATCAACTTTCAAAATAATATACAGAACAAACTGTGGCTTTGCTTTTATAAGAGAACGGCCAAAAGGAGAGGTTATCAATTGCCTATAGATGGCGCTTTGCTTCAATGCTGTCAAAAAGCCGAAAGTAAAGATTGCTTGAAACGATGCAGGGAGAATTACGATAAGAATTATTTTAATTTTAACGAATTCGATAGTATATGCCTACACGGAACTGAATTGGGTAGGTGTATCGAAAACGTCGAAAGGCCCTGTAGGGGTGGGTGCAAAAAGTTAGAGTTCTGCTCAAATTTCATTGGTAGACCCGATGAAAGTTTCCAGAATTGTTCTCCGCGTGGTGATGCGGCTGCTGAACAGATTATGAGGGAATTACTGTCCGGAGGCAATACGGGTAAACCTAAAAAGATAAACGAGGCCTATGTTAACAGTAAGTTGATATATAACGTTTTCTTTATTATTGTTTTTTCGCTCCTAACTCTATTTTTTCTTCTCCAACCCCGCCCATATAGTCCTTAAGGGATGCCCTTACGATATACAAAAAGCTACCGTGTGCGCAATGAGTATCAAACCGTGCAAAAGGTATTCACCGTCGGAGAAACTTTGTAGATACGATTGCAGGAGAATATTGCATGAATGCAGCAGTCGTTCAGGCGAAATGAACATTGAGGCAATGTGCGATCTAGTTTCGCCAACCGACCCGAAAGAACCTTGTTTTTCTGTACTTAAATATGCAAAAGAGAGTATTTTTACATCTTCTATCTCTCAATATTCAACGTTTACATCGGTCAGTCAACCCTGTTCGGAACGTACTTGTTCGGAGATTAATGAAATATGCGTATTAAATAAGAGGCATTGTAGAGATTCCAATTGCGACAAGTTTAAATGTCTGAAATCTTGCGGAGTCGGTCAATCATCAATAATTCAAGTACCTCACAAGTCGTTAGTAAGCATTCCAGATTTTAGCTCGAACAAGGATTGCTGGAGGTTATGCAGCTGTTCGAAAAACGGTCGATTAGAAGATTGTTCAGAGGCTGTATGTCCGGAAGTCGGCTTTTGTTGGTACAATGGGTCGTCAAGGCGTCACGGCGTCTCTTTTGAGGATGATTGTAGGACGTGTGTCTGCTTCGATAAACGAGTTGTTTGTACAGGACAAACATGCCGAAATTACTGTCCCGCTCTTTATAACCCCTATTGCGCGTATAAAGTGGGTCGAAATTTCGTTAATGAATGCTATGCAAAAAAGGCCGGCTTCGGCAAAAACGAACTCAGAAGAGGACGTTGCGGAACCAAAAATCCGTGTTATAATGCCATCTGTGAGACTGTCTATCACAGTAAGTGCATGCCTCAACGCCAAACGTGTTTAACTGAGGTCAATTGCCGTCAGCATCGTTGCGAGGTAATTGATCCAGTCACCTGCGCCCAAAGTTACAAAGACCCCGTTTGCGATACCAACCAACGCCAACACAATAACATATGCCGGATGTGGGAAAAGAAGGCAAAATTATCGCATTTTGGCTCCTGTCACAGGCAATGCATGTCCAACGGAACTGTCTGCGGACAGAATGGGGAAACCTATCCGAGCGAATGCTTAGCCTGGTCTTTCGGAGTAGCCGTTGATTATCAGGGTAGCTGTCGTGTGATACCTTTTACAGTGGAGGACACCGGAAAGGACCGTTGCGTCGATGTCAGATGCCAGATAACTGATTGGAAAAATTTTTGCCAACCGATAACACTGCCGGGTTTGTGTTGCCCCGTCTGCGGTGGAACGATAACAGCTATCTATAGTCCAACTGCGGCCGATAAGGTCGCCCAGGTCAGCGGTTCATACCTGTCAACTTTTAACCTAACACAGATCCTACGTAATCAATTAACTGTAGACGAATGCGAGTTATTCACCTATATCAGCCAGGATAATCGCCTTGTATTTACGGTCCTACCAGTTGCTCGACCTTTAACAGCCCTCAGGGCTAAGGCTTGCGTAGGTCAGGCTGTAATGATCGGCAGTATGCTATCCTCCCGCCATCCTGCATTATATTCCTACGCCGCTATTTCAATTATCATACAAGCGGAGACAAAAACTGCTCAAGTATTCGAATCTGGTCAGGCAAATGCACAGTCTGATAAATATCTCCTAGCACTTACAATCATCCTTATAAATAGCCTCTTCACTGTTCAAACAGTATTCTAAATTGAACAAACTTTTTATTCAATACAAACTAATACATTTGTTCTTTTTTATACTTTGTTCATTTACTGTTTTTTTTTTGGTTTGTTTTTAACCATTTCCAAAGGTGCATATTGTTGTTTTTTTTTTTGTTGTATATCTTCAATTCTTAACTTAAATGAAACTCTTTTTCTTTTTCAAAACGAAAGTACAATACAAACTTTAACTATCTCTTTTCTCTTTTATACATACTGTATATAGTATATATACACATTGAATAAGACAAAATACATTGCATAATATTAATAATAAACTGTATTACAAACTTTCTTTATCTATTTGTCTTTCTCTATAATTGAATTTTTTATATTGTATGCACTATTATACGCCTTGTTCCCTCAATCATCTCGGATGGAAAGTTATTTTTAGACTTCTCTCTTCATTCGTTTCCTTCATTCAATTTATTTTTTGAATATTCATTGACAAAACAGATTTTTGTTGATTGTTATAGCAGAATGATTACCAACACCTTGATTATTTTTGTTTTAATAGTCTCTAAATAGGAGTTAAATACCCGTATTAACATTATTACGTAATATTTATCTTGTGTTATCGCTAGTCCTTTATTTTTTTTTATCTTAATTGGTATTTTCTCTTAATTAATTATATTTTAAACATAATAGTTTCTTTCCGACTATAGAGGTATATAGCATGAATACGGTAACCTCTTTCATTGGTAACAGCGACATCTATCGGTGAAAAAAACCACTTTTTTATATCTTTGAATATAAGATAAAAAATATTTAATAGTATCATCTCAACCTCTTGAAAAACTATTTAAATAAGATAAAATAATTTATAATTACGCTTCGATATAGAAGGTTAATAAGTACATATTCATATAGAAGATAGTTGGAAAAAAAGATGGCAATAAACAGGCCTATACTGTATACCTTGAATAAAGAATAGCTTGTCAAAAGAAAGAGTTATATGGCGTCTAACGTGGAAAAGGTCACCTTTGATTTGTTTGGTTTGGTTATTTGTATTGCTCGGTTGTGTTATTGACACTAAACCATCGAGACTTGGAAGATTGTGTAGAGACTGTTAATTGAGATAGTCGACAAATTAATTCTATCTAGTGTTTTTTTTTATAGATTATTAACAGAATATGATAATATATTAATATCGTATGCAATAGTAATAGATCTATAATAGGTTACTCAACAAAATGAAATGTGCTATAACAATTACAAAATTATTTATTTTAACTAATTGAAATATATTTTTTTTTCCCTTTTCCTTTCATTTACACAAAAGGAGAGAGTAGTTTATCATAAATACCCCATTGAATAGGCCTGCAATAAAGAGAATTACAATTTTAATTATTAATAAATAGTATAAAGATAACCATTTAGCTGTGTTATTTTATGTTTATTATTTAGAAGGTGTAATGATCAATATAGATTTCAAAAACTAAATAATAGTTGTATTAATAAATATATATATATATACAGTATATACATCATATTGTATTATTCATAGATTGTAGGTGTGTATATATGTGTTTATAGGTTTAATTCAAATAGAGTTACATACATATCTGTATTTTTTTTATCTAAATTATATTATTACTATTGTCCAATAAACCATTCATGCTAATTTCCATTCAAACTAATTAATTATAGTTATTTATTTTTAGCGGAAAACTTTTTCCATCTAGTTTGTCAGTATTTTTTTAATTTTATATTAATAGGATTACTATTAGCATTCTTATAATTCTAGCCTTAAGAATTTTTTGTGAGGTAATAACGAAATACAGCACATATAAATGACTAAAGCTTTTCACTATTAGCTAATGATTTTTTAAATTGCGAATCCTAGTTTTTTTTCTTTTTTAGACAATGTCAAATAGCGAACAATATATTAATTTAATTACTTCAATTGTTCTTTTTTTTTGTTTAATACTGTAGTTGCCGGTTTGTCTTTCTTTAAACTTTCGTTCTTCGATATGCAGCACATTTACCGTAGGAGGTATTAAACATTTTATATTTATATATGAATAAATTTTTTTCGTTTGTATTCTATTTATCATGCCTTTGTTTTTTTATGTTTGCCTTTATACATAAAATGTTTGTCTTTTGATAGAAGTAGAGATTGAACGAAAATTTACATTATTCAACTTTTATAAGTTTAAATTCTAATCACCAGTTGAAAAGATTTTCTCTTAATAGTTTCTGTTATTCTAATACGAATTCTGTGTTCGGTCATACGTTTTTCTTTATATAAATTCATCCAATTGGAAATAAAATTGGACTTTTTTTTTCCCTGCAAATTCTTCAAATAAAGACAGAGAGAGAGGAGGGGAGTGAGAGAGAGGAGGGAAGATATACTGTATATATATATATATATATATATTTCAACGAAATTTTCAAGTTGTTTTTCTTTCTTCGACTCGACTTCTTCTCTTCCTCCTCTCCATATAATGATGTCAAAACGACTTAATAAGACGAAAGATAATTATTGATATGGATATAATCAAGTAAAGATGGTTATTATAGAACATTTAATGTTCCTATGGTATATACAACATAGTATAATTGTACCATTAGCACAATTTAAATAGACCTATTTACTATTTTAATTAATATTATTGCAACCGTTAATTATTGTTCTGACGTAGGAATATAACAACAAAAAAAAAGATAAAAAAAAAAAGTCAAAGGTGTTGTACAACTACTTTTCCATTCAATCTAAAAAACTTTCTTTCATTATTCATTATAAATTTGATAGTAACAAAATTCTATCCGGCAAAATGACTTGTACAAACCAACGATAATTGGTATGTCATAAGTTTTACAAACTACTCGAGTAGTTCATTCTATTTATTAATGTATTAGTTTCTTTTCTTTAATTGTATGAAAAATATATTTAGGAGAATTGAAAAAGCATTATATAGCCTATACTACTGTAGAAATTAACTTGATGATTGTTAAATAGTACATGTTTAAAGACCAAACCAATTATATCAGTATATCTGAATTATCAGTTAATACGTTTTATTAAAGCCTCTTATAATTTTTTTTACAATAGATTAAATGAATATAATCCAAAAAACGATCTATATACACACTATGTCTGCATATGAAATATCAATACACTCTACAGTACAACATCTATAAATGTATAGATAGTAAATACTCATATACATTTCCTTTTTATTGTACTTTTTTTTTACAGCTGCATACGTATAGGCTTAAAACGACCAGAATATGACCTTTGTTCTTCTAATTAACAGATTTCAGTTCTTTTATTCTATTAACAATAATAAATCAGTAAGAATAAAATTATTACTATTACACGGCAGCCTAGTTATCTTGAGTTTTCAGTATGGTTTTAAAACTTAAAGCCTATGTATATATTAATCCAAAATCATAATAATATGGGTGGGTGGTTGATTAGCTTCAACTGTTTTAATTTATGCAAAAAATATGTCATTAATACACTTATAAGCGGTAATAATATTTTAACACGTCAACGTTAAAATCGAATAAAAGGGATAGGAGGCAATGAAATCTCTTACCTATTTAGTTTATCATCAAAATGTTGAGATTATTATGTTATTATTTTGGTTTATTTTCTTCAACTCTTCTGTGCGATCCATTTAATTTATGGTTTACGACGAATGATAAAACGTTTCATAATTATGAATTGGAGAGAGTAAAAGGTTTACCGAAATGGCTAAATGGAACCTACGTTAGAAATGGTCCTGGTAAATTTGAGTATAGTCGTAGAAAATTCGTCCACGCTTTTGACGGTTATGCAAAACTAATGACAATTTCTATAAGATCTGGAGGAAGTTTGAAATTTTCAACAAGCTTTGTCAAAACTTATTTCTATCGTCATTCTCAAAGAATTGGAGACATAGCCCCTTATCTATTATTCGACTATACAACGCCAAAATTTAACAGATTTGACAGACTTCAACAGTTGTTACACGGAATCGACAATGTTAATGTTAACATTCATGCTTGGAAAAATGATAGGAATGGAACGTCTTATGTGGCAGTTTCAGATTTTTGGCAAGTCTACGAAATTGATATGACAACACTCGGAACCTTAAAGAGAATAAATGCAAAAATTCCTGGTATCGATAATCCATTATATGATTTTATTCCACTTCCGGCAACGTCCCATCCTCTACAAGAAATTGGAACTAATAATTTTATAACTTTCTTATCGTTGTTTAGCCTTTTTCCCGGTTTGGACAGCAGAATTCAAATAATTCGTATTAAAAGTGTTGAAAAAAGAGAATTAATTTCTTCAATTTCAACTAGTAGACTTCCTTATATGCATTCTTTCGCTTTAACAAAATCTTGGGTTATATTATTAGGTCATCCACTTTTCATAAATAAGTTGAAAATTTTAAAGACATCTATTCCTTTAAAATCAATTGACTGGCGACCGGAATTTGGGACGGAAATCTTTCTAGTTCACTTACCAACTGGAACAATTAGGAGGATGAGGATAGTCAAAGCTGTCTTCGCGACACATTTCATAAACGCCTATGAAGAAAGCGGTGACATTGTTGCTGATTTTATTACTTATGATAATCCAAAACTCTTTGATATTCTCCTCCTAAGCATAATACTTGATCCGGTTCAACGGAAAAGTATCTTTGTTAAACCAGTGGTGATGAGATTTCGAATAAATTTAAGAAGAAATACAGTCAATATCCATCAAATAGGCGATGTAAATTTTGACTTTCCCATAATCAATAAGGATTTTGAAAAGAATTACTATTGTTTTGCATATGGATTAACATTAGATTGGATGAATTCGACGGCTTCACCGTCTGATTGGGCTGGAATTGGAAAGAATGACTTGTGCGGAAAAGGTCGAAGTATAACTTGGTCCCGTAGATATCATCTTCCGTCTGAAGTTTGGTTTGAACGAAGACCAGGCTCTGTTTATGAAGACGATGGCGTTCTGATGAGCGTCATTCTTGATACTATACGTCGTACAAGCTATCTGGCTATCTTAGACGCTAGAACTCTACTTCTTCTGCACGCTATTGATTTTCCCACCTATGTGCCATTCACAATGCACGGAAAATTTTTTTCGCACAAATTTTTTAATTAGACCTTCTTTTATCTATTACGTAATACGCCTTTAACTGTAATTCTTCAAACGTTCGATAATTTAAAATTTTAAAGATACCGGCGTGTCCGCATTTAATATTAATTTCTTTAAAAAATATTGTAATCATAAATTTCCCTAGGCACTTTAGAACAAAATTAGTATATTTTAGAAAAAAATTGATGAAAATAAATATAAAAAAAATGAAAAGAACATTCCACCAATCAGCTATCTCTAAAGGCGTTCGGTGCGAACCGTGTATAAATTTGAAGATGGCCGACTGATTAAAATATTCAATATTTCTTCTTCGACTTTTCGCTCTCTCTGTCTTTATTAAAAAATCTTGCAACATATATTATAAATTAATGAATTTCTTGAATTTCGTTTGATGTAGCTTGAGAAGCAAAGCTACGTCTCTTCAACTCGGTAAGTTATCTCGAGATTGCTTATATTTCTCATATTAAATTTAACGTTGTTTAATATTCGTATTTGAACGGTAAAAATGCAATAATTTATCAAGTTATTATTCTTGTGATGCACACGCTGAATCAATAAAAATCTATTCTGGATTATAATAATAAAAGTTTGTAAATATTGCACGCAGCAATGGAAGGGGTGGAACAGTGATGGATTCACCGAGAAACTCGACTTCCCGTTTGGTCAACGTACCGAAAATCGACGGCGGATTTGGCTTCACTTTACGCCACTTCGTCGTTTATCCTCAGGTAAACGACCGTCAGCCAACGGCCGGCCTAATTACGCTGTTATTATACGCGGATCATGTGACGCGTAAAGGGTTTATTTTGTGTGAAACCGAAGCTAAATTACGTTAGACGAACGCCGCGCGTTCGAGACAAACTAGCTTGTTGTTTTTTTTCTTTCTCATCGTAAACAATTAGTTCATTTCCTTTTGATGCGGCTCACAATTTATAACCTTCATTCTGCACCTGCCGCTTCTAAGGGGAAAAAAGGAAATAATGCTTGTTGTCGTTGGTTTTTTAATCGGACTAAAATACTACTTAGAAACTCTTTCGAAATGCATTTTGCCTGCATCAGTCGATAAAAAGAAAGAAAAGGGCAAATTCAGAAACAAGTGAATTGTGCTAGTGACAGTCTAATTGCTTGCCACTGGCAAATTTTCTCTTAAATAGGCATCATTTTCCTCCGACGTTGTTTGTCTGTATTTATTAACTTTCCGTACTTCTTTTCTGTTGTATATATTTTTCCTGGAGAGAATTACTTACGGTAACCTACTCAATTATCTATTCCAGGATGAACAGCAGAGTTCCTCAGAAATAGACGGTAAGTTCGCTTTTAATTTTTTTCATCAGAATATATACCATGTAAATTCAAATCTATCTAAAAAAAAATCATCTTGAAATCTATAATCTCTAACACTTACTGATTCGTGTTTACTATTCTATTATAAAAATATAAGAATTATATTGGGCTCGAATTTGTCTAACTTATCACTCTTGAGAGGTAGTATCGGAACTCGAGTTGTATGAGCCTATATATAATAAATTGGTTTTTGAGCCTTTAAAAAAAGTTAATCTGAAGAATTTCTTTCCTATTTTGTGCTGTCTTTATAATTGAAAACTAGAAAAGAGTACTACCAATACTACAACTACTACTACTACTAGTAGTAGTAGTCGTAGTAGCTGTAGTAGTTGTTGTAGTAGTATTTAAAAGCGTGAATAGAACGTTTGCAGGTATATGATATATTGGAATAATCAAGTTGGAGAGCAACTGATAATATTTTATAAGAAGTTAACCTACACTACAAATTAATCATTTGAAAATCTCTGTCTCAAATTGCAAAAATATACTCTTACACTTACTAGCACACGACTACAAGTACATTTTCTTTTAAAGAAAACAATTTATTGTTTATAATAACTCACAACTGTAAACTTAGACGTATCGATTTACGTAACTAGTTGGAGTACCTAGATAGAAACTGCTGTAAAGTACCGAGTGTAAAAAAATTGTACTTTTTTACAGATCCGTCGTGCAGTTCTCCGGCCTCTTCGTTACGTTCTGCTCCCTCTGCGGGCGGTTGGGAAGCGATGGATACTATATTTGTGAAGGAAGTGAGAAGAAGTGGCGCAGCGGAAAAAGCCGGTTTGCACCAGGGTGACCAAATCGTAGCTGTAAATGGAAAACCCGTGTCGGGGCTAACTTACACGCAAGTCGTAACGCTTATACAATCTAGGTAAGTTAAGGGTCTATTCGTCAGTGCTCCTATCATTATTGCATATCGCACTTCCGCTATTGTATATCTTATTGTTGGAGATAAGAAAATTTAGTTTCTATTGACCAACGTACTTATTAAGGCCTTTTGATGTAAGCATAAAAAACTATCGAGAACTTATTAGTGTTTTATTTGATGAAGATTCACAATGTTACCTGTTGCACTGGCGACATTCAAAATTGGCTCATTTTTTCACAACAGATACCGGCATATATTGTATGATAATTTAGGAGTTGATGTGATTTTTAGCATGATGAATTCAATACAATTTTCTGAAATTTTTCAGTGAGAATCAAGTTGATCTAGTCGTTTTACCCCGAGAACATGACGAACTGCAAATGGCGTATAAAGATTCAGCATATGAACCGGCTGCTGGCGAACCCTATAAGGGTCCACCTCAAGGCATACCTACGCCACCGATTCCTAGTCGTAATGTCACTTCTCGTACACCGTCGTCTTCTAGTGTTGCCAGTGCTTCATCTAGCGAAGAAAGGCTAGTCAATCGACGCGGTTCGGGCGAGGATAAGCCAAAAACGGCTCGTTTACAAACACCACCGTACGCCCATCATCCGCCGTACACTCGTTCCTTGACCACTTCACAACTTCCCGTACCTCCACCCACTTTCTCATCCGTCACTGCCCAGTCCGTCCCCGACATGCATCGACAACGTTCGATTACTGACAGAATGAAGCCCTACGACAGTGTCGACGAGAGTTCATCTTCTCAAAATAAACAAGAACGCCTCCTAAAATGTGGCGAAAGCGTCGCTACTCGAACGGCTAAATTCGAGAAGTTCACCTCCAAGTCTTCTCCCAAACCGGAAACTGTCCCATTTTATTTTAAAGACGGTGATCAGCCAAAAGGCTCTTCTCACCGTCGTCCCCATCGGCCGGCAATTCGGCAGACTTCCTACCTGAATGCGATCAATTCGCCTAATCGAAACTGTAAGTATATTTCCTAAGCACGTAGACTATATATTTTTTCCATGTTGGCTAATTTTATTTTTTATGCGTCGCTTGCTTCTATTACTACCGATACGAGCATGTCGGCTATATGTTTTATTTGTGTTCTTTGCTATTGTTGTAGAATGAATAGATTAAGAAGGCTGGTAAGTCTATTCCATGATTTCTTTTTTGCTGCCTATGTAATAAGGTAGAATGAGTAGGCTCTCGAAGCCTCTTCGTCCCCAGACTTTTGATACCAATCACTCGCTGCTTTACTTAATCTGTTCACTTCTCTTCGTTTTTTTTTAATTTAATATTTTTACTATTTTAAATGGTGAGGGACTTTTTAACTTTATTATTATTTATTTCACTGTTAATAACTTTCAGTATACATATATTTTTATATATTATTTCATACATACATATCCTAACTATCATTTTATGCATTAGCTGATCCGACACCATCTTCCGGTTCGGTTCCGAGTGTGCAACCCAGTACTGAATTTGGTTTACGGTCAGCTAGTAATATCGCTTTGGCAGGTATGCTAAAGCTTTTTAGTTTTCGCTTTTGAATACTAACTTTAAAATATATCATCAAAAAAACATAATAATAAAAAAGACTTTTAGCTGCAAATAATGAAGTCTCCAGATCACTAATTAATTATGACTGTAATATATCAACAGTTATGCAGTCCGAAGCGCATTCTGAAGTCTCTACAAGGACACATTTATCAACTGGTTAGTTTATATTCATCTAGTTGTATTATATGTTAATTTATTGGTGCTTTCAGCAGAAGAAAAGGAATCGAAAATTATCCACCGTACATCTTACATTACGGCCACAGATAAAAATAAAACATCGTCACATAGTTCAACTGAACGTTCTCACTCCGTTGAAGAGCGGATTGAACGGCCTCAAGATAGCGAAAACAGCAATATTTCATTGTCGCCGCCAGCCTCATCCACGCAAGCGTATGTAAACAATTCTCTTTTGATTGCGCGTTTTCAGGCGTTCCACTTGGTTAATAAAAACAGACGCGTAGTCTTGGATAGGCTTGAAATTCCCGTGCGTCAAGACAGTGATTCCGGTTCTAATAGTTCTAGCCCGATATCTATGTCAGCGCCAGTATCACCTCTCTTTGGTCATAGTCTTGTCGAAGCAATGACGTAAGATTACAGCTGCTTGTTTTAGGGGTGATGGTTAACTCGCATTACTATTTCCAATATTAATCACTCGTATTTTCCATTTGTCTATTTGTGGTGGCGATAAGCGGCTGATACGACTAACTTTTACTACTTCCGGCATGCGTTACTCTGGCTTTGACTTATGTGCTTTATATAACTATAAATTATCAAATATTATTGTTATATTATTTTCATTCTTGATAAAGTGAAAAAAATTGACTAGACATCTTGTGCATTTTTCAATTATTAATATTTCAATTTTTTAAATATGATATATACTAAAGTTTTATTTTACAGAACAACACCCACTAAACCTGGAAAGAAATTTAGGAATCCTTTCTCTCAGTCAACGGATAAAGTAAGTGATACAGTAAAGAAAATCCCATCGTCTGTCATTTTCGTACAGTTCCTTTTGAACGAACATTCTTTTTTTGGTTTTATTTTTTTTTATTTTTTTTACAAGCAGAAACTAATATTTCTAAATAGCTTGTAAAAAAAAGTTTAGCATGAAATTACTACATTTTTTGTTGGATTCTGAAGGCTTTCCCCTCATTTTTTACTTTCTTTTTTGATTTCGTAAAGACACCACGCATTATTGAAGAGAGAAGTGATGTTTCAGTCGCTGCAAATAGCAGCACCGATTTGATTTATGAGGGTCGGTTGCTGTTTAAAGTTGATTTGTTGCCAGATGGAAAGGTAAACTAAACGCTTTTTTTTATCCTAATTGTGACGTTTTTTTCACTTTGTTGAATTTTGTTTTATTTAAAAATCGGTATTATAACCATATAGTTTAGATCTTCTATCCAAACAAACAGCAGTTAATTAAAACAATGAAAGGAAAATGGACTTTTGTAATAAGAATACTTATAATAACCTTTTTGCATTTATTATTATTCAGCGCTCAAGTGATCGTTCTTGGAAACCGGCTTGGGCGCAAATACGTGGGCAGCTGATGTACTTATTTAAAGAGAAGCCGGAAGAAAGCGAAGTACGTAAATATAAAAAAAGAATAAATATACAATTCTCAATTTCATGGCGATGATTCTCAAATTACGGCATTCTTTTTTTAGCCGTCAAGTTCGTCATCACAACCTGAAGAGACACCAATACCCGTTGGTTCATGTGTTGTTGATATAGCTTATGAATATGTGAAAAAGAGAAGAAATGTTTTACGAGTGACCACAAACGAGGAATCTCAATATCTTATTCAAACTGAAACTAAAGAAGAAATGACGAATTGGGCAAAGGCAATAAGCACACAAAACGATGCCGATGAAATGGCAAAAATTGTACAAAAGCGCACAACGTCTCCTCAAGTGACCCATAAATCCACTTCAAAACCGAAAATGCCAAAAGCTTTAAGCCGTTCCAGAAATCCTGCAGTATCTCTTCCATCTCCATCTGCTAAACAAAAGCGTCAGCACACGACGGAGAAGGTAGATGATGAACCGCAACGCTCGTGGAAACAGATGGCAAAGAAGTTTACGACAAGAACTCGTCACGGTAGTCAAAGTAACGTGCCAACCGCCGAACCGACATGTGGGACATTTAATTTACCACTCTCTCGTTGTCCTTGCTCAGACTCTAATCCTGGCGTCCCTATGATAGTTGAAAAGTGTTGCGAAGCAGTAGAAGAACGTGGTTTAGATACAACGGGAATATATAGAGTGCCCGGAAATAAAGCAGCAGTAAAGATGCTGCAAGAGGAATTGAGTAAGGCGCCAATTAACTTCAAGTCAATAACCGAAAACGATAAATGGCAAGACGTTCATGTTGTTACGAGTCTTCTAAAAAGTTTTTTTAGGCAACTACCCGATCCGATAGTGACAAAAGGTAGAGTTTAAGTGAAAATCAAAATAAAGCTTTCTGGCTTCCTTATCGAGCTTCAAGTCAATGTTTCTTTCTTTTACACAGACACGTATGATCAATTTATGCAGGCAAACCGATACGATGATAAAAATAGGAGAATGCTGCATTTGAAACGACGTTTGGCTCAACTACCAGATCACAATCGCGAAACGTTCCAGTATTTAGCTAGGCATTTATCAAAAGTTGCCGAAAGAGGCGAAGCAAATAAGGTACGATGATAACTTTATAGGTAGTGGGTTTCGCATATGTTTGTCAACAAATTTTTTTCAATAGATGGATATCAGGAATTTGGCCATTATTTTTGGGCCAACTTTAGTAAGGAGAACAGATGATAGTATGTTATCATTAGTTTCGGATATGAGCGACCAGTGCCAGATTGTTCAAAGTGTTATAACACATGTAAGAATAGAAATTTACTTATACGCAATGTATAAATATTTATTTCACAATTAACTTTTGAAATTATATTACATAGCATGACTGGTTCTTTGGCTCTTGGGAAAAAGATAGTGAAATACCAGAGGACGAATTTACAAAGGAATCAGTTAAAGTTAGTGGTATGAATAATCAGGCGCTAATCGAACATGCCGAAGTAATTGAATATGGCGAAAAGAAAAAGAGGAAAGTTAAAAAGGATAAATGGAAGAGTTGTGACAGTGAACCCCCCACTATAGAAAGAGACGCAGCTTCCGATAGCGGATACAGCGAAAGGAATATAGATAGGGAAATTGAATTACGTAAAGCAGTTAATCAGCCGTCCGTTGCGGAAGAAAGCGAAATTCTTGTTAATGTAAAAATTCACGAAGCATACGACGAAAAAAATATGCCACCACCTTTAACTTTAGAAGATAGAGAAACTCTGCGCAAGGAGGCAGAAAGAGCAGCTTCACAGTCAGCTACTCATGAACGCCACCTTCGACATCTCGATGAACTTATTGCTCGAACCGAGAAAGAGATTGAACAGGACGAACACGCGTCTCGCCGAGAAGCTAGGTGTGGATCATTAGACTCCTTAGAACATTACAAGTTTTCTGATGATGACGTTTCTTCTCTTACTGACCTCTTCTCCAATATGAAACGACCAGGAAGCGACGATTCGGAGGATAGCACAATCGTCGGGCGCCTTATTAATTCAGCAACGGCTGTACGACGACGGCGTCAGTACCGTATGGGCGCCAGGCGTCGACATACAGTGGCCGGCGTGATAGAGATGGAAGCGTTCAAGGCAGCTTTGGCGCGCATGTGTCAGAATGAAAACGTTGAAAAGGAATCGGCCTGGTCGAGATTGAATCCAAAACCTTCCCGTGATCCGACGCCTCGAAATCTACCGTCTTGGTGCAGACAACAGCGTCAGATGAACAGGCCAAATCAAATACAGAGCCCGACTACCGAATCAGCTGGGCAGACTCCTTTTCCAAGCCATGTTCACTACGAAAGTTCTATCTAACCGTGTTGTGCCTCAGCGTTTACTGCAGTGTTCGATGCAAGAAAGCCCACCACGATAAACCTAATTGTTTTCTTTTTCTTTTCTCGCTCTGTTTCTTTTTCCAATTTGTATATATAATCCATATATATATGTATATATATGTATATGTATATGTACATGTATATGTATATGTATATGTATATGTATATGTATATGTATATGTATATGTATATGTATATGTATATGTATATGTATATGTATCCAGTGTATCTGTGGATATATATAAATGTATATATATATATATATATATATATATATATCCAAAGAAAATATGTGTATAAATATAAACCTATGTATACACATAATATACACACACATATATATATATATATATATATATGCGATCATCAATAGACCTGGTCTTATGCAGACGTCTTTTTGAAGAAGAATTTTATTGTTCGTGAACGTGACATGTTGGTTAAAAATAAGAAAAAAAACACAATAATAATACTAGAAAACGTAAGGAACTAAACAACTTTTAGGTATATCATAAGGTCTATCAATGACTGTTTGGTTACCAAACATTTTCTTGTAATTGCGTAATTTCAAACGACCCTTAATGGATAAGAGGATGATTGTTGTGGCAAGAAAACACCAAGAGGCCATAGTAAAAACAACCAGTGCGAATCCAGACCAACTTAAAATTTCGGAGAGATAATGAGGGCAAGCGATTAAGCGGAAGACGCGATGATTAGGATACGAACCATCTTCCCAATTATTTTTCGGTATTCGACTTAGGATTATGTGAAAGTAGCAATTGCTCCCTTCACCAACTAGCCATAGGAGCAACCCGGACATCGTCATGGGCCAGTTGGAAAGATTAAGTACGTATTCTTCGCGATAATGCCGTACAGTTACAGAACCTCCGAACCAGAAGCCGAAAAAAGTAAAATATACAAACCATGCAATGGATTTCGTAATCGCTATCTTTTCTCTAAAGTCCTGTAGTAAAAGTACCTCTCCAAACCTTCTGAGAAAATGAAAAGAGTACAAGGCTATAATTAAACCGATCGCTTTAAGTTCCAAAGGAAAAGGTGGACGATCTGGTGGAACGAGATTACCATAAAGAGGCGTTGGCAAATGAAAAATTGAAAAATTGACTGTTAGTAAAAAACTTGCTTCAGCACCAGTATAAGCCAGGGAGAAAACGAGCCGAGAAGATAAATAGCGCATTATATATTCTTATATTCTTACTATTACGTATTGAGAAAATGCCGGAAGAGAAGAAAATAGATCCGACTGATTCAATAATAAAACTTGTAGTCTACTTTAAACAAAGCATAGGTGAACAATATCAAAAAAACGGTTTATTGGTTTTTTTGTTATTATATATGCAATGGATAAGATAAGTAATGATAAAGGCCTTCACTTTAGTCCTTCTTCATCTCTTTCCACTTTTCGGTCCTTTGGCGGATCTTTCTACCTAATTGATCGTATTTTCTTACTAGAAAATAGTCGAGCTCTTCCTCCCTCTTTTCCCTGAAGAAAAAAAAAGAAACTTAGACCTTCAACTAGGCGGATATAAAACGTGACAACAGTATCCTACTTTTGCACGTAGCCAAACTGCGAGACCGGTATATTAGTAGGGGGCATCCTGTCCCCAAAGGGAAATGCGTCTTCCCTTTGTTTAGCCATTGTTGTTGGAGGTTTCGAATCATCTGCTGCTGCTTTTCGGTTTGTAGGAGGATCTTGCACGGCGGGAAATTGCGCCTTAACCATTTCCATTGTTAAGAAAGACGCGTACGTATCCTCTTCCGGTATACTAGTATCCATTGCACCAGTTAAATTCTGAGGTTCTTCAATAACATCTTCAGCGGGCAACTGATCGAGAATGGCTGGAGTTTCTTTTGGAAGGAGGTCATTTGAAAACGGATCTGTCCAGCGTGGTACCCATACGCTTGTCAGAGTAGGTGTACTAGACAATGATGTTAAACCCTGAGATGGGAATTTCCTCCAGGTCATCGAACCTTTAATTGTCTCTTTTCTATCTAGGAAAGCCTTTCGAGTTGAATTATGGACGGAATTTGATTCAGCAGTTGGGTAAAGAGGTATAGGACAAAGGTGGAAGTCGCCGTCCACCTCTGAGTAATTAATGGGTTGTTGTCGAACAAGCATCCCAGGTATTGGATTGAATATATGCATTGGATCGTACCTGGGATTTCGACAAATAGTGGATGGTGGTGAAAGAATATCTGCTACGACCTTGGATTCTTCCTCATTTTCCTTATACTCTTCAAGTAATACCTCGTCCTCTTCCTGTTTTTCCTCTTCAGCAGGAGGCTCAGGTGTGGCTACCAGTGTCACATCAGACTCAGATAAAATAATAACCTCATCTTCTGCACCAGTTCGAAATTGGCGAGTTTGGTTAGGAGAAACGTAACCTTGACCCACTTCATGAATGTTGTAGGCGGTGTATTGCAGTAGTTTATATTGTTGAGGAACTTTAAGAGGATGATAGGGTACTCTTGACTTTACAACGACTTCTGTCTCTTTAACTGGTACAATACCCAGGGAATCTACAGCTAAGTCATCTTTTTGAGTAGGATCAATATATGTTGGAAAAGATACGGATTTAATATCATCGATAGAAAGTTTTATATCATCATGAATTGTCTTTTTTTCAATTTCTTTCTTATCTCCTACTGCAACTTTACCCGTGTATTTTCCATCTTTCCAATCGACAAACAAAGTTTGTAAACTTTTTAACTTCTTTTCACACCGTTTCCTTATAAGGATCTGTTGAAGAAGATAAGCATCATATTTACTAAAATCATTAGAAATTGTTTCTTAGAACACTTACTTTGCGTGCCGCTTGTTGAAACTTTGATAAAATGGAATGTCTAACTGCCCATGTGTCGTTACTATAGACGTCAAAATTTGCGTCTTCAGGTGGCAAACACTTGAAATCTCTTGTATTCCTATTAAACGAACATTTCGTTCTAATTCGACAGTACTCATGGTCCAAAACTGGATCACCCCTTTCTAGTTTATAAGTACTCCAAGCGTCTCTCCTATCAGTAAGTATATTTAATTTTTGTTCATAGGATAAAGCGTCTTTTCCAACGTGAACCTGAAATTAAAGATCTTCATCAGTTATGCATTATGATAATATGCTAAAACTTCATTTTTCCCTAAACAAATCTGTCCTTATTGGTTGATAAAAAATTGTTTTTGAGCATTAATCTAGTAAACGTGTAAATAACCCAGATAGTGGATGATGATTCGACTATAAAAGGGGTCTGTATGGTTCAGTATGGTACCGTGAGATTTGGTAAGCAAGTCGCTAAAGAAGAAAATATGTCTGAACATCGTGAATTGCCCGTTGCGAGAGCTCCATCCGGATATCTTTGGGATCTTTGGCCAAGCCGATCTGACGACTACTTCCATAATAGATGGTTGAATTGGGTTTCGGATTGGGATAGTTTGTTTGGTTCATTGGATGATGAATTTCGTCGAATCAACCATGAGTTCAATGATCAATTTAAGAAAACTCATGTTTCCCAATTGGGAGAGCACGAAGAAGAGAATTTACCAGCGAAAGTTGGTTGGAAAGTTGTTGAGAACGTCGCCGAAGAAAAGCGAAATGTTCAACTAGATTTACCAGTAAAGAACTTTAAACCAGAAGAACTTTCAGTCAAAGTTAAAGATGGCGCTGTAGTCGTTCACGCAAGACACAAGCATGAGAAGGAAGGTGAAAGAGTCTATAGAGAATGCGTTCGTAAGTTCGCAATTCCTCAAGATGTCGACGAAAAGAACATTCACTGTATTCTCCATCACGATGGTATTTTAACAATTCGTGCACCAGCACCACCAGCCATTTGCGATAAGCCTAAAGAAAGAGTTCTGCAAATTGAGCGACAACTGTCTAAAGATAGCAAAAAGGAAGAAAAGTAAAGAACTCTTTGCTGCGGATGTGTCATTCATGTAAAACCAGAAAAATTTGCTAAAATAAGCTCTGATTTTCTCCGTTCAATAAAAAAAGAATTTTAAAAAAACAAAAAAAACCAGCCTATTGTCTATTTTACCTGCCATTTAAATTTATTACGCTTTTCCGCTTCGATATCCTCCAGTACTAGTTTTTCGAAAGAAGCCTCTTTCATTTGTCGACTAGTTCCTGTTTTAGCTTTGGCGGAAATTGCTAAAAAGAAAAAAAAGAGACCTTTATAAAACATGTTTGTCTTTTTGGATAAAGGTCATTTTGGTTCTTTCTTTACCTTGTCTGAGTTCGTTCATGCTTAACTTTCCAGGCTCTTGATTTAATACTAAATTGACAGCGTGTACATTGTCTAAATTTTCACCGAATCTTAGACCGTCTCTTTCAACTAGCGTTGTTGCTTGTCTACTTGTCCCTTCGATAACGACTTGCGATTTTTCCCTTTTCTTTCGAACTCTTCCCAGAGGTCTTATATCCTCCAAGTCTAAAGGGTTATCCGTATCCATATCGTCGTCCCTAAGAAGACAGATAGCATATAGTTTCGTGTATAAGCAACAGGGTTTTATAGAATGGAAATATTTACATGGATGTATCATCATTTAATAAATCACTCTCATAAGTCTCTAGCATCTTTTCTCTGCAATCGAAAAATTATTCATCTCTGTTGTTTAATGGGAAAATATGATAAAAGAAAAGTGAACCTTAGTAATCCGGGATTTGCTTTTCCATAGACAGTGCAGATTAAGGGTTTGGCGTTAAATTGGGAAACGGTTACTTGTACTTTGATCATAGCAGTTGCAAAATCGATTGGTGAAAATGTAACAGATATTTCCTCTCTACTATGTGGAGTGACAACGCCAGACATTGGTTCAACCTTAAAGGCTGAATGATTCTGAAGAACTATAACATGATATTCGAATTCGATAGGGCAGTTACATTCTAAAGGAATATTCCGTGTTTCACTTTCGCCGATTGGAATGGGTGAGAATCTTACGGTTGATGGAAAATCGACAAGATTAAGGACAGGGTAGGCGTGTACTGGAATAACCAGATTTTCTTCCCCAGGCGTATGTATCCTGATACAATCATAATAATAGCGCCATTCGTCTGCTTTAAATTCCACTATACAGTCTAAAGTTAAACCAGGAACTAAGCGATCCTATATAGAAGAGAAAAAATGGAAGAGAATGTTTATTTGAGAGAAAAGAGTATGTTATTACAATCTTCAACATACTTTCTTTTGATATTTAATACTGAAATATCGTGTTTGAGGCGGTATAACGTGCATTCGAAGCACATCTGGCGAAATGTTGGCTAATTCCAGAGGTAAACGGTGAACCTTATTCAATTCGAATCCGGAAAAATGAATTACTGAAGGACGAGCTTGAACAACGTTATTTCTCGACAACTTTGAGTAGATTTCTGATGAATTTAAGCCAATTTTTAACCTTTTACACTAATCTCTCGATTATATACTTACTACTCTCTAAAAGATGGTTTGGAACGGGAAATGACTTTCTGGTGTCAACTAGCTGCATACTGTCTATCAATAAAGCTTCATTAGTTCTTCCAAACAGATTACTTCGGAAATTCGCTTGAGCATCTTCTAATTTAATTGCAGACATTTTTACGTAATCCTAAATAGAAATATTGTTATCTACGACTTCGTCATGGAAACTTTAATTGTTTGAAGAGACGAATGAAGTTATTCCGTTTAAAAATCCTTTAATATCACAGACAGCATCTATTTTCTGCGCCATTTTGCGCTGACTTGACAACGGAACAAACTCCGCAAAAAATAGTCCGGTAAATAAAATTAATTCGTATGATAAAAAGAAATTGATTTGTCAGATTTTACAAGTCAACTATAAATTTTAGAAGATATTAATACATTTCTCCATTGAATAGCTATTTAACTACTTTCTGAACTCAAAATGAAAAACTAATATTCATACGCATTAAATTGGTGTTGTCAAGGTAATGTGTCAGAATTGGCGCTTTTTTCGAATATATACCACGGAATTCTTCATCAAATTTTTTAAAATGAAAAAAAAACGGCCCATATAATACGTTAATACGTCCTTGAACTCCAATTTATTTCACTACACGATACAATTTTTCAGTATAAAAAAAAATACAACGAATCATCGGGTACATAAATAAGCGCGACTTTTATTGAAGTTGAAAAAGAAAACGAGATAATATAGGCAACGAGACCGAAAACAAAAGCCCCCTCTACAATTCACAGGCAAAAATGTATGGATAATTTACAGAGTGACGGTTACTCGTCGCCTTGGAATTATAATAAATGTTATATGCACTTATTCTAAACTTCGTCGTCCCCCTCAGTCCGACTTGGCATTCTTTAGCTGTGTGCTAAGCCAGTCCAAACCTTCATACAAACCGTCACCGGAAGTAGCGCATGTCGCTTGAATATACCAATGACGATTCCTCAAAGAGTGCAAGCCTAGTTTATCCGTTATTTCAGCCGCGTTCATGGCGTTAGGTAAATCCTGTTGATAGCATCATGTGCATTATTGTTTACAGTACTTTTTACAACAAGACCGTTTATGGCACGCACCTGCTTATTGGCGAATATGAGTAGAACGGCATTACGTAACTCGTCTTCTTGCAACATTCTCATTAGTTCTTCACGAGCTTCAGTTATTCTTTCACGATCGTTGCTGTCGACGACGAAAATCAAGCCTGCAGAGTAGAAAAACAAAAGAGTGGGCGGGGTGAGATATTGAGAAATATATAAACAAGATATTCAAGTTATAAAATATTTACCCTGTGTATTTTGAAAGTAGTGCCTCCAAAGAGGGCGGATTTTGTCTTGGCCGCCTACATCCCACACGGTGAACGAGATGTTCTTGTATTCGACAGTTTCAACATTGAAACCTGTTAGCACAATAAAAAAATTTCTCATTGTAATAAAAAAAAAATGGGAGAAAAATTTGTGTATAAAAATCACCGATTGTCGGTATTGTAGTGACAATTTCTCCTAATTTCAGTTTATATAAAATTGTCGTCTTTCCAGCGGCGTCGAGTCCAACCATCAATATTCTCATTTCCTTCTTGCCAAAAAGGCCTTTAAATAGGGACACAAAATTTCCCATTTTGTCTTAAATTTCCGCCTGAAATAAAATCATAGTTATAAACCATTTGATGATGCTTGAAAGGTGATATATAAATTGACAAATTGATGACTAAACGTCGACATTTGATTTTTCGATTTGAAACGTAAATAAACGAGCTATTTAATTTTCTAACCTCTTAAATATTAAACCGAATATAAGAGTGAAAATTTTCAGTTAATATCAAATAGATGTCGACGATTCCGGCTCTGAAAAAATAATAAAACCGGCTAAATTCACCTTTCTGCAAAGTTCAATAAATATGGCGGACGTGGAAGGACTACCGTTTCACATGCCACGTTGTCAATACCTAGGCAATTGGGATGTTTACAAAAGAAATGCTCAAACCCCTATCACGTGACTATTTTCCGAACAGTATAGAGGTTTACCTAACAAACAGTCGGTACGAAATGGATGTAGAACCTGTAACCTTAAAATAATGCGGGAAATTCAATTTGTAGGAAATTGTAAGATGAGAATTCACACTAATCGAAGACATTAAAGATGAGTTACACTGGAGAATTTTATCTATTTGAAGAAATAATTTATTAATATAGCAATAAACTATTGTAAAATGCTTATTTTACAATTAATAACATATATTACACACATTTTTCATCTGTCCATTATATAGTTCGTGAACAATGATTTGCAATAGGGGAAATACAATATTTACGATAAGAGTTTGTTCAAAAGCATCTATTTTAAGGGTTATAGAGGAGAGGCTATTGAATATTACTCACATTACCTATTATTAATTCCTCTTTGTTATTAACTGTATATTCCCGTTATCGAAGGAACTATTCCTTCAAGGCTATTAAAAAGTCAATGTCTAAACTAAATTTGAAAAAGTACGCAACTCACAAAATATAGGTCACTGTTGACAAAAATAACGTATCATTGGTAAATGTTTAACTTACAATTAATTCCGACTATCAACAACGTTTTCAAACAAAAGTATACCTATAAATAAAAGCACATTCAAATTTTTTCCGTTTTGAACGGGAAGAGGGCGCACAAAAAGGTTTTTTTATACAAATTGAAAAGGTGGTGCCATCTTTCATTCCAATAGTAAATTTCTCACGAAAGAGAATTCCATAAAAGAGGCTAAGCTAATTCTATTAACACTATGAAGAGTTCTTTTTAAATTATTCCAAATCTAAATGATTAATAAGTATTCATTATTGAATTACATTTGAAAGATTTACTGGAACTGACACTTAGCACCTTCAATACAATAGTCATGAAATGTAATCGAAAAATTAAGAACTACGTTTTATTGGATAATAACTGTAGAATCAATAGGCTATTTGGTGTTCTTTAAAATCCAAAGCACGAATATAATTAGGTCACTGTCGAAAATAGGGTAATTTATTGTCCACAGAGTGAATTTTTGAAAAATGTAAACATTTATAGATTGTATATAAAAAATGAATAAATATAATAAAAGTTAACTAAAGAGATATAGAAAAAAATGCATTTTATTAATGTAAAGATAATGAATAATTATATATGTGTTTTAAGACATTTCTATTCAAGCATATTGAAAGAAAGTGTATTAAAATTGATTATAAATCTATTTATATTCTATTCTTTTAAATTAAATAGCAAAGTTTTTACTTTACAATGGTAAGAGGTAACTTTTCAAAATATTTTTTTATTGATGATCATAAATAAAAATGTCGGACATAAAAAAAATAAATAATTATTTTTACTATTGATTACGCAAACTAAATTGCTTATATAACAAAAGATCAACGTAATTATACCTTAATAAAAAATTTGTGTTATTACATATATAAAATATAGAAAAAAGATGTTCAGCAATAGATATAAATGCTTAATTGTGTTTTGGTTAGCTACCGTTTAGTTATTAAAGACAGATGGCGTTAATAATTATAAAGAATTATTAAAACTCGTAGCTAATTAAACATCAAATGAAAGATTGATAATCATTAACATAGCGATTTATATACAATTGCATAAAAGTTCTTTAGCCAAAGCCAACTACAGGATCAATAGTTACGAGTTAAATATTAAAGTAGTTCAGTTATAATTTTCAATTTTATTGTTCAACCGGAAATAAATTTAAATAATGATTAATTAGAGATATCACTTATCAATTTACTAGCATATCCTTTATTCTCGCCTTTAATTAGAATAATAGATTGATTTTAAAGAGCTTTTTATCTATTATGAATCTCTTATACAAAGAATTTATAGTTTTATGTGCTCAATGGCGCCATCTTCCTCTAATAGTACAATGGATACATTGTATCCATCGAATACGGTTGCTATTGAATTATTTATAATCCTCAGAAAAATGATACAACGTAACCTTGTTCAAATTTTGAAAGGTTACGATATATGTAACTGACGCTTTTCGAAGCGTTTAATTCTCCTTATCCTTTCCCCCTTTAAACAAACTTTACTATAAATCTCTAAAAAATCTCAATTGTACAATACCAGTAAATAATCCGCCCTTGAAAACAGAAATACTTGTTAAGAATTGAACTAATCAAAAAGTTACATAATCAAAACAGTATTACGCAATCAGACAAACATAGTGGACGGTGGCACACGAGAAATTTTAATAACATTTTCGTATCCGGTTACGTAGGATAGGTTTAGAGATAGTTAGTTTTGAGTAACGTCTACAGTTGACATTTAATTAATATTTATGATTTATTTAAATTAATGTTTATTTGTTTACAAACATTATCAGCGATTGTATCTTTTGAATGGAAGATAATGATTTTGAGATTTTTCAAAATAGAATCTAAATAATCAAATTATTTACATTAATACGGTTAGATCTTATCATATTTTGTTATATTTATGTATATATATACATAAAAAGTTAATGGAATAATCTATATTCGTAATCATCTTTATCACAGTAATAATCATGATGATACATGGTGACGCTAAAGAATATTCTACGTTTAACAAAGACTCTAATAAGAAACTACTCAAAGTGGATTTATGTAAGAAGGTATGAATAAAAAATTATTGTAATAAACTTATGACGTAATGATGTCACGTTTCATTCTTATCCTTTAATATTGAATGCGATCGTTGAAAGAATAATCAAAGAGGGGGGAGCGGATTTTACGAAACTACAGCAACTGGTATTCTAGGAACAAGGAGAAAGAGTATGAAATTTAATCCCCTACTTTTGAAGGTTTTCCTTTCTTTTCTATATCGCTCGCAACCCCCCCTTTCAAAAGTTCACCTTTGTAACCTCTTAACAGGTTGAATTGGGCAAATCGGCTAGGCGTGGATATTCTAACTTGCCTGATTCCGATTTTACCTATGGTATAAAGAATAACAAAAGGGATGGAGGAGCGGTAGCAGGTATGGAAATCTTTAAAGAGGGCTTATTCAACTTTTAAAAGTAATATCACGTGACCCTTTGTAGCGTTAAATTGGTTAAGTCAAAGAAATATAGAAAATTCCCACCACTTCAAACAATTATCAATGCTTAGAGAAAAGGATTATCATAGATTAAATGTTATGGCTCTAAAAGCAGGAATAACAGATGTCAGAGGTCAAACCCTCTTCCGATCAAGTAATGATTATAGATTACCAGTCAATAAGCGGAAAAAAACAGTATGTCGTTAAATTTTAATTCTCGTAATAATATCTAATTCATTAATTCCCCTTTTGTTTAGATAGTCAAGTTTGAACCTAAACCGGAAATACCAGATATAGTTTTCGGAATTCCTGTTCGTCCATCAACACCGATCAAAGAAGTTATCAGTCATCAATTTCAAGATGAATGGATTAAGGAAAGATCTCGGGAAAGAGAACGCAGAATTCAAGCGATCAAAGAAGCGGTAAAGATTGTTTTGATAAGCTTGAACTTTTTGTCAATAAGGTACCTTATTATTTTTATTCTTTGCTTAGAAAGAAAATATGCTAAACATCAAAGAGACTAAAACTACGATTTTAAGAAAGACCGAAAGAGAAACGCCGAAAGGATTATGGAAGATAAAGAAATTCGAAAGGAATGCCAAAAGTTATTTAGATACTTTTAGGTATTGAAATAGTCTATTTTTTTTAAAAAAAACAAAAAACAATACTAGATAATTGATAGTAATAATGGGATTAACCATCTTAGATCTAAAGAGGCACGTATGTTAGCTTTTCCTCAACATTTGAAGGAAAAGTCGATTACGGAACAACTTCCGCAAAGATGTATAACAAGTTCTGCTTCGGACACGTCCAGGTGTGTATGATTACGTAGTTGACAATTAATCCATCACGGATGTAGTAATTAATTTATGTATATAGAAATACACCTACACATTCTATAATATACGTAGAATGAGGCATAAAAATAACCTTTTGTTTTTGTAAATATTAAATATAAAAATATATTAATATGCACACTAGATGTCGCTAGCATTAAAAAAGTTTTTCACACTCTGTTAATTTACGTTACTTTACACTGCAGTGTAGTCTATTTTATAATTGCAGTAGTAATTTCTAACGATATGTAAAATACAGAATGAAAAAAGAGGCGGGAAAAAACTAAACAATAAGGAATTGGTCTAAATTAATGTTATCTTCAATAGACGATTTCTCTTGGAGAGATTTATTTGCAGTTATAAAAAAAATTGGAAGAAAGAAAGTTTTTCCGATCCGTATTGGCATTTGTCACGCACGAGTAAATTTTTATGCGACTGCAATAAAAGAGAAAAGAGGTGGAGAATTGTTTTTTGTGCCAGAAACGGTCGATTGCAGCCATAACTCGGGAAAAACGAGACAGGTCGTTACCTGTAAAAACAGCAAACGAAGCGCGAGTTCAATTGCTGTTCACCGGCGCATATCAAGAGCGCACGTGCTGCAGCATTTATTAACTGCGATCATCAATTTTTTGGTAAGAGACCGTACACGTTATGGGTAAATAAAGGATAAACGGAATAGGGAAGTGCCTTAAATAGAACAAAAAGGAGGGAGGTCAAATAAACTAGCGTATTGAATTTAATCATGACAAAATTCTAAATACATATCAAATTAAGCAACTATAAAGGTTATCAACGGGAAAAAACTCTAGTCGTTGTTTGTCACTCGAAATACAATTACTCCCTCACTTCCCTCTCTCCGTTCAAACACGTTCAATCATCAGTCAAGTGGGCCCATTGTTGCTTTACAAAATGCTTCATTTAGTAGCAACCGTCTTTTTAATTGGAAATAGGTAAGATAAATAAAAAAACATAAAAAGAACTGGTATTAATATTTTAGTTAACAATTGTCCTTGAAGCTCGCATGTAAAGGGTCGCCTTTGACATTTTTTACACTTATCAAATTTTTAAACGAAAATGAAAACATTTCCTAATATTAACTAACTTTCGAATCATTTTTTTACATATTTATATACTATTTAATAAGAAAACGAATATTTAATGTTTCATTCATCGAACGTTTTTAGTTCTTTTTTTTTTTCTTTTTAAAAAAACAAAATTATAATAGTTTATTTTTTTTTTCCTTTTGTTCTTTTTCTATTTTTCCTCACTTTATTTGAAAAAAAACCAGTCGTAAAGCGGACTTTTCCTGTGTTTGAAATGCGACACTTTTCTTTTTTTTTTATATAAAACTATTCGATATTCAAAGTTTTCTCTTTTAATTCTTGTTCAATTCATCTCTATTTAGCTTTGTTTAGGCGTTTTTTTTATTATTGTCTTGAACGATTTAAAAGATAACGAGAAATAAAGAAGAAAGAAAGAAAGGAAAGAAATGGAAGGAAAGAATAAAACCAAAAATTTGGCGGCAAATACAATTAATTCCAAAAAGATAATAGAATAAAGAGGTTTTGGCGGGAGTGTCTTTCTTTTTGCATCTTGAAATAATTGAAAAATACCACACAAGGCGACTGATATTTACACATAAACGTGAATTCGACTTAAAAGGAGAGATTTTGATCGATAAAATAGAAAGGCACGCGAAATTGGCGTTTTTAAAGGAGAAATTTAAGGGTGTTGAAACTTGGGAAATCAAGTCGGTTCGTAAATGTCGGCAATTGGTTGTTGTTTAGTGCCTCTGCACGCCATATTTCGTTGCTTTCTAAGAGGTGAATCTAGTTGGGTACAGGGTCATTTATTAAAATAAACCATAGAGCAATTTGTAATATAGTAACAGAAATAAACGTGAAATTATTAAAAATGTTCATTAATACTAATTAAACGATTGTTTAACCTAAGAAAATGAAATTTTAGTCAATTAATTACGTAATTTTAGTGCTATCCTACTAAAATCCGCCTCTAGCACATTGGGACTGTAATTTTATTACTCACTTAGCGTAAGCAGGTGGTGTTTAATTGCAACAATCCTTTATTGATTTTTTTGATGTTTTTTCATAAGATTTCTATCTAGTCGATATACCAATTCCACTCACGCATCTTGACTTTAACAGTACGTAATAAAAACCTTTCAAATGTAACAACGTCAACCTAATAAATTTGAATATAGATAAGAAAATCATTCATCCACTTTCCTCCCCTCTTCCCTATGTTTATAAATATTTACTCTTTCCTTCTTCTATAGTCCTAGCTCTTTTGTTCTATGCAACACTTTAATTAGTCTGTCTGTAGAATAAATGAGAATTTTTTTCATTTAGGAAATTAAATATGAATTAATAAATTAATTAATTTTGAAGATTCTATAATAAAGAATTATTTAACCCTTTAATTAAGTTAAATTTTGATATTATTGAGTAAAAGTAAAACAAGATAATTTTCTCTTTTGTTTTCCATCTGTTTGTCCTATTTTGCTTAAGACAATTGGTGCATGTCTAATTAGGAAGAAATCTGTCACCCTTACTCGACAAAGTAATAAAAGGATATAAGAAGAAGGAGTAGGAGATGTGTGAGAGACGTCTTTAAGATGTTTTTGGGGGAGAGGGGCGTTTCCTCATTTTTCTTTTTCTTCTTCTTCTTATAAATCAAATTATTTTCTAAAATAACATTCGATTAGGATGTTTTTAAATGGACCTGACATTCTACCTTGTTCCATAATTAAACGGATATTTTTCAATAAAAATGTACATAAACTATCGAATTGCGTGACAGAATGGAACTAGTCCATATGGCGATGAAGACATGTCTAGATCATTCCAGACAGTTTTGCCAGCTTTAATTGCTACTTTCATGTTGGGGAATTGAAGTTGAGTGCTTTTTAATTAGTCGCCGTTGGACAATTCGTTTGTTACGCTTTGTTAATATTATAACCTTATCTTTTGCTAGTAGTCTTTTCTTATCTTGTCCCTCTCCTCCTTTTTTTTACTCAACTGGTAAACCTTAACATCAACATTTTACAGCTTTCCCCAGTTTTGGTATTCTATGGCCACTTTTTTCGAACCCTCTATGAAAAAGAAATGGATGGAAGCGTTTCCGCGGAAATCTGTCATTTATTGCTTTATATTGATCTATTAAACATTCACAAGAGCCATAGAGCTACTGTAAGTAACTAATTATGGATTAGTAAAGCGTAAAACTCAAAAAAAAAGTGACGGCCTAAAAACTTTACTTTATTAAACACTAGAGGTTGCTTTTTTTGTTTTTTACCCGTTTATTATAATTTTTGTACAATAAAAATTATCAACTTTATATAACAATATAATTAATTATTGAATACATTTTAATAATTTAATTAGATTAATTATAATTTATTATAATTAAGTCTAATTAGACCTATTCTATATTCGTTTTCTTCTTCTTTTCTCTGGCGGAAGACAATAAAAAAATTATATATCAACTTTTGTTATGTATCAAAAGATACTTAATGTAATTGATGCATGAACTAGTCTTTTCACATAAAAACACACTAAAAGGCTGACATTTTTAACGCCGTTCATAATTAAGCTCATATTTTTCTATACAATATATAGACTATCGAATCGCGTAAATATACATTTGAAACATTTAATTTTGCATTAATCAGGAACGGTTATAGCGTTTTATAAAGTAGCTTTGACATTTTATATTCAGTTCATAATAGAACAAATACTCTTTTTGTATTTTTTTCAACTTTCTAAAGCTCGTGAAACAAGGAAACGAAGAGTTGTAGGGGGTTGTGGTGGTGGTGGTGGTGGTGGTATTGGTTATCTATTGATTTTGTATTAAAAAAAAAACGTTACATTGTTAGTTATTGCTTTTGTCCGAAGTGTTTAGTTAAGAAAAAAAGAAAC